TTTCTCCACCAGCAGTCACGGATTCACTCCCCTTCTTGACTTCCGACAGTCTCCCATGAAACAATAAATTACACTCGACACGTTTCTATTGCGTTCGGTCCTTGCCTAAAATAATCTTGAGCCCCCGAAGTGCTTAATTTTAGCTCTCAACCTTTATTTTTGCTTCCAATATTTAGTTTCCGTTATTCAGCGTAATCTTTCATCGTTCAACTTGAACAAACAACATCCATCTTTAGAAAGGATGAGAAAGAACTCCAAACTGAGACTCGAAATTTCAACATTTTCATCGCTCAGTCTTAAACATAAACTCTTACTTTTCCACATGAAATTTCCAACATTTTTTTCGCTTTCGCAACCATGAACTCAGGAAATACTCCTTCTATGTAGGACCAGATGAAAGCTGCTTACAGCAAAGCGAAAAAGATCAATAAAAACCTCTGTTGATACATGACCCAAATATTCAAGTAGATAAAGTAATATTGACGGAAACAATCCATAACTATATAACACCGTCACGTGCATGTAAGAAGACTTTTCTTTCTGAGCCAACAACATAGAAAACTAATAATCAAGGTTGTTTAAACAGCGGATCTGAAAAATCTGCATGGTGTAAATCTTTACCAAGGCGAGATAATCCATTTCCGTTGCTCTCTCGTCCCGTGAATGCGAGCCCGCTGACACCGCACAACGTTGTCAAAAATTCGTCAACGGACCACTCCTTTGAAAAATCTTAACTGTGTCCCAGGTTTCGTCGGCCTGCTTGCAAACTAATTATTCTACTGGACCCGTTCAGTTCAAAACACTACACAGACTTAGCATGCAGGCTAAAGCTACACAAGTTCGCATGGAGCCCCACTGTTGTGGTTATGTGAGGGGTACAAACTGTAATCCCGGGCCTAATGTGGAATTGTTCTAGCGGGCTATCTTCATTGAGGAGGCACCTATGTACACGAATAATTTTTCCGTCATGAGGTTTTCAATTGATTAAAAATTCTCCAAAGCCGGACCAAAGCCGGACACAAGCGTTTAAGATCCAACACTAATGTCTAAAATCGATCACTCATGTTTAAAAATCGAACAGCGTCTAAAATAGGACACTAGCGTGCAAGTTTGGACTTTCGTGTCCGATTTTAGACACCAGTATCTGATTTTGAACACTAGATCGCGCAGAATTGTGTGACACATCCGGGATATTTACGGGTGCAAGGGCGCTAAATTTAAAAGACCGAGACGACAAATGGCATGACACAATAAAGAAAAATGGCCGCAATAGGTAAAGGTGTTGAAGTCCTAAATGTAATAACTGTCCTAAATGTAATAAAGTCCTAAATGTAATAACATTTGGTCCTAAATGTAATAAAGTCCTAAATGTAATAACATTTAGTCCTAAATGTAATAAGCCTCTTATGCAATCGTTTAAAAAAACTCCTGCAGTGCATTGTTGTTATGGCGGACATCCACATTGTTATGTTAGTGACAGCTGTTTCTCCAAAAAAACCGCTGACCAGTATACATGTCACATTAGGGGCCCGCTGATATCAATCAGCGTCTTTTTACTTGCTAGACATAAGAAATAGCAGTCGAAGTATGGTCCCCATAGCGGTTTATTGATCGAGTTGAAGAAAATCATTTCCAGCCCAAAGTGGGCTGGTGCTTGACTGGAAGCTCAATAGGATGGAATCGATTGGTACGTAACCATTAAGACTTTTTGGAAAAGAAATTTACTACAATTGATGATGAACTAGCATGCTATTGTTGATGTTATCGTTCGTGTTAAAGTCTTTAGAAGTGATGCACCATTTTAGAGCAGTTTGAATGATTTCGCTGTGTCACCGTGTTAATCCAAAAGAAAATTATTATTATCAGTAGCGTTATTGAAATTTTGCACATCAATGTCATTAAGTGTCAATTAATTCTAATGAAGCATTTGAGTTCATTTTTAAGAATGACTATCCTGATTTATTCAATTTTGAACCTGGGGTGTTGCATTTCCAGCCCTCTATGGCTTTACTCCACCTCAGTAATCAGTTCATGTACCATATGACTATAAGTGGAAACTGTTGAGCTTTCTTTTTTATTCATCTATTTATCTATTCATTTTCTCCCCTCACGGCAGGGAGAAGAGGTGAAGACAAAAAATGAAATATAAACTTGAGATCAACTTTAAAATGTATGTTTTCCTAATATTTCGGTTCGGGAACTGATGAACCCGTCATAAGGGGCTAAAGGAAAGAAATAAATGGTTCATTAGACCGCCAACTGATCATGATGTGTAGAATGGTGTAGCTCTATGGTTCAATTTGACTCTTGCGTGGAAAAAAGGCAACATGTCGAGACCTGTGATCGTGAAATGGGATAACATATCATTGGTCAGTCGATATCTTGCTCTGCAAGTCACATTATCATATAGCTAGCAGCGCACGCGGGCAAGATGAAGTGAATCCTGTGTTCTGATTGGCTACCTGAGCGGGCATGATGGGCCCACCCTCGCCCGTTCGGGATCCCCGTATTGATCTCACGCAAGAAAACTTACAAAGTTCGTAACTTTTGGACAATGTTTTCATATATACATAGAAAAATAAACGACCCTCTTGGGTTTATTGTGCTGCAAACACAGTTGGCTTTCACTATCGGCTCTCGAAATAAACAGGCCATTCTTGATTCTTATCAAAGCGAAATCTTTTGCTATACAATGAATCCTTTAATGATTAAGCCAAGAGAATATAAACTCTCTTGTATGGTCAAGATTACTGGATATTAGCCTCGTTCTTTTTCTACTTTTTTATGGACCGTGACTTCGTCTCAATCGATAAAAACGCAAACCAAAAAAAAAAGAACTCGGCCAATATATAGCCATTTTGACCTCACGTTCGGTCAATAACGCATATGAATATATTTTATGCAAACCCTTACAAATCTGGCAAGGGACGACAGTACAAAAAATGCCCTTCTGAGCCCAAAATTTGTCTAACGTATAAGTCGGTGGACTTCTTTTTCCTTGTAATTTGGTTCATCAAGTGTTAACTTCAGCACTGAGGACAGAAGTATTTCGTCAAAATCTGATACACTTAAGAGTCGGAGCCAATGATATAGAGAGAGCTATTAGTCAACGTTCTCGTTGCTTCTGCGTCCGTCGATTTGATGCCAAAAGCACGTCAGTATTAGAATAAGGTTTTGTAGCCAATGCTTCTCAACCTACGTCTTTAACAAATAAAAAGCCGCTGATTAATATCAGTGAGCCCGCAATATCCCATAAATATTCGTCAGAGGATTCTTTGGTGCAACAGCTGTCACTTTAACATCTCAATGTTAGCGCAGTTAAACGATTGCATAGGAGGCTTATTACATTTAGGACCGAACGTTATTACATTTAGGGCTTTATTACATTTAGGACCAAATGTTATTACATTTAGGACTTTATTACATTTAGGACAGTTATTACATTTAGGACTTCAACAAAAGGTCCCCTTGCGTTTAATTTTTTCACAGCTTAAATATATAAAATATCGAAAGGGTTGCATACGGTTTTCAAAGAAAAGATTTTCATAATAAAATAACAACTATTTACCACTGAGTGTCCGATTTTTGACAGTGGTATCCGTTTGCCTTATTGCAGAATGATATGGATAAACTTTCCAAAGTACATACCGAAAAAAATTTTTCATATTTCTTTTTTTTTCGTATTTGAGCATTGCACATACCTACCAACGTCGTTGATACTCCGGTCCACATCATTTCTTGAGTAGGCTGAATTGACTCCTGCTCGAGCGACCGTCATAAAAAAAGAAAGAGGTTCAAAATTCCATCTATGTTTTAAGTTATTTTCCACTTTGCAGAACTACCTTCAACTTTCATATAAGAACTCATTGTGAGAGACTGGTTCGCTGTAAACCCAAAATCAAGACAGCGAAAGAAGATAATGAAAACATCTTTTCCTTCGACGCGGCGATTTATGAAAAAAATATAAACTTTTGGTCTTTTAAACTTGTGCTTATACCATCTTTTTCCGGCTCCTTGGTCCGTCCCCTTGCAGGTGAGCTAAGCGATATTGTTTACATTTATTTTCAGGCGAATTCAAACGAGATATTTACCTCACCGCTGACGTCATAAGACATTGACCCAGTCCACGCCCAGTCACTGGTTGTTAGTTAAGGGGACGGTAATAGATTGAAATGCTTTTGCCAAAATCGGACAGCGGACGAGCAAAAACTATACCTGATCACTGAGAGATATGGCTATTAAAAATGTTATTGCTAGATGCTGATAGCTTAGCAATTGTTAAACAAAGCCCAGGTCCATAACAGGCAAAATAAACATTCAACCGCTTTACCTCGACCGATGGCAATCGTCCCAACTTTTCCCAGAGGACCACAGTACGTGTTTATACTGAGATACTGAGATCTAGATGTTTCTCAAGCTCCAGTGGTCGTGCCGCGGTGTAATGTGTTCCAAGTATTATCCAATCTGAACGTGCTCACAGCTCATAGGCGTAGGACAGGCTAACAGTGCGTACGGGGTTATAGAACTGGTCATTATGAAAGCGGGAGCTTTTGCAACGGAAGTTTGCGAGTTGACGTATTTTGAACCGAAGTTATTTTTAAATTATGGGGAAAAGTAGGACAGGAAGTCGTTTAGCAGTTATCCGTGTTTACGTCGAAATCGTAGAATACGTGATATTCAATGTTGCGATAACTCATCAATTTTTGCTGTTTACTGGAAATGGCGAACAGAAAAAAAATTTAATATCGTGCCGTTTTCTTTCAGTTGTTAAAATTCTTACGAATGATAATAATTGCACCAGCTGAATCTGGGGCAATGTCTGTTATTTTAATAAAGAAAATTGGAAGATTATAGGAGGCAGAAGTGGATGTCTTTCTAACTGCTGGAGTAAACATGACCTCTTCTTCCGCTTTGATGGAGCGAAACGATTTGTTGACATCCACAGTAAGTGTGTTAATAGAGACAGCGTAGTCCAGAAACAAGCAAAGCCGAACAAACTAAGCGAAGAAGAGTCCTGTGTAAGACCTGTAGGGAATCCCTGGACGGATACAAGGACAAAACATGTCATTTGCAATCTCTATCGGTTTTATATTTTGTTTCAGCTTTATAACTGCCAGCCAGAGCTGTATGTGCCGGTTTAGAGGACTGCGAAAAGACTTTTGTGCCGCTGCCATCGGTAAGCAATTGCAGTGCAAAAACATGGCTACTATTTTAGTTCAATTTTGGTAGGGTGAAGTTCTTGGTCACAATTCAAAGAAAGGCGTAAGAGATTTTTCAATATATTTTATTTTTTGTTTTTTTCCTCTTAGCAAACACATTAGTAATGTATTTATATTTAAAATTTTATTGTTATCGACATATGTAAAAAATATAGAATTATAGATTCCATTGTAAATAGATTTTAGCCCTTGAAATAAAGATATAAGCTTGTTTGTTATTATCATCTATATCACTATTATTAATATTTTTTTATGCATTTGTTCCACAATATGCACTAGCCACCCTCGTGTTTAAGTTTAAGAGCTCATGTTCTTTTCAAAATTCAGGACTATGATTTCTTTCGATTTTTTTAAACAGTCATGAAAGCCAAGGTTACGTCCAACGCTACAAATGCCATCCATGTCCAGTCTGATAATGACACATTCAGCCTTTATTCTTCTTCTCAAGTCTACAATCTGAAAATTGTTGAAGTTTTCAAGGGTAAAGAACATCTTAATCAGCTGGCAGGATTCACGCCATCTATCAGAGGCGAGAGCCCAGTGCATACAGTTGAGCTGCACACCCCTCCTCGGTTTATTTCATGCAGCTTCCTGCTCCGCGAAGGTCAGGAGTATCTCCTGTCAGGCAGACTAGACAACAACAAGTTAAGTTCCGAATTTTGCGATATCCGTCTGGAGTGGGGTGATATCACGCCAAGGCAGGAATATGGTGTTAGGGTAAAATACGCTGAGGACTGTTATGATGGAGAAATTAGAGTCCATAACCAGTTTCAAGACCAATGGCCGTAATTTGTATCGCGATTCATAATTTCTGTTCGTACTGAAGTGCTAGAATCGTATTTTTTCAACTGTTGTTGTGTGCAAAATTTAAAAATTAGGCCAGTGAATTGTCAAGGTCTAGTTTTATTAACCAAGTTGAAAACTTGTACCTTCTTTATTGCGTAAATTGCTACTAAATAGTTGTATATAAAGTAGACTTCACTATTTGCATTAATAAATTGTATAAAAAATCTTACACCTTCTCCTGTTGCTTGTTCGTTTGATCTTTCCATCTGAGTTGACTGATCTGTTTTCTTTAAAGCCTTTGAAAATCGTTACCAAAAATACAGGTCAAAATCTGCGAGGACTGGCGTTTAACGGTTATTTCACTTAACATGTTTTGGGTGATTTCAACTAGCGAGTTTCTGCCGCTCTCTGGTTTCGAAATTTGCGCCTTGTTCGTTGAGTTAGTATCAAACAACTAATCTCATCGATATCAGGTAAACCTTTTGATTGGTAATCTTGGAGTATGATGGTTTATGTGTGGGTTTTAGCTGGGATAGACAGACGTTGTTTAAGTTGAGAAATGAACATTACAGAGTATTGTTGGAGTTAAAGACTATCTAAACAATGATACGAGCCTGCCTTATTTCTTTTTTACGACATATAGCGGAAATGTCATAGAAATTCGTTCTGCTTTGGAGATTTTAAGTAAGGCACTCGGAATGTTTACATACCTAGGATATAGATTTGCCGAACTACAATCTATTTGTGGTCTTCTGGATACTTATTGGAGACTTATCACTCTAAGTGGTTCCTATTGTTTGTTTCGTAAAGAAAAGATGGGATCACATGATCTCCTGTTTGTTTTCCTTTCATACATCAATAAAGAAATTAAAACTCCCCGGAAAGCTTAAGAAAAATGAAATACCTTATTTAGGAAAACTATTTCGAAAGCATGTTTTCATTTCCAGATCTTCAATTACAGCGTAAGCTTACATGATGATGTGATGATGTAAAAACAGTAACTCTTCCCTCTCGATTTATCAGATTCGCATCTTTCCACGATTTGTTTTCCTGCCAAATAATGGCTGTTAAGCACATATTAATCAATCCCGCAGACGTCTTGCTGAGCAGATCTATGTCTGAAAGCACGAGTGTCCGTGACTCAAATGTTATCAAATTGCACACGTCCATTCTGATCTTCGAACCTATTGAAAACTCGGCGTCTATTTGGGCAGCACGGGCTGAAAAAAAAGTGACCTTTCTTCCTTTCTGTGTTTCAAATACTTTCAACTTGAGCGTGTGAGCATGATGGAATTCGCATTATCTTGCTTTTATGGCAATACAGAAGGATACCTAAGAGAGAGGCTTACTGTTGTATAAACACATCAATAGCTTTTAAGAGTCTCGGAAGAGTGTCAAATTAAATACTTGAAAAGGGATATCAGTACAGATTGGCGGTCAGTTTACAAACATATTCTAACGCAAATGATCTTGTAAACCTAAAATTACAAATTTATGATATAAGAAGACTGACGAGAGAGAATCCCGTGTTTTCAGATTGTTTTCACGCAGAATTCCTCATACCTCTAGCAGCAAAATTAGTGCGTTTCGCTGCATGTTACAAGTGCCAGGAACGTATATACATTTTTAGACAAGAAAGTCTCTTTCTTAATTAGGAGTGGTCTTGAAAAAAACTATTTTGGCTCATCATTGGTATAGTACATCAACAGCAGTGTGTTGTTCCAGCTGTTTATGTAATTTAGGCTACATAACTCTAAAATGAGGGCGTGATGTTGTCATCGTGGACAGGAGTACGTGTTGCAGAATTCAAATAACATTTTTAATTAGAGCTGAATTGCGGTCAGATATGGAATTAGCAGACGTGAATAAGAACATCTGTTAACTATTTAATTCCCTGATCAAATTTGAAATTCTCCTTACTGTCAACCATGCAATTCTTATAATCTTAGTTCAGAGAATTTAGTATTAGATCAACTAATTATCCCCAAATTGATATTATTCTTTATTCCCATCACTTATCTGGTTGATATTGTATCCGCATTGTAGGGGGAAATTCTTTCTTGGTCACTCATGGGGATAAAGGGTTTAAGACAGCTCGTGAAACAGCCACAATTAAGCCAAACTACTGTTAAAGCTTCTAAAATAGCATATTAGCAAGCGCCAGAAAAATAAAACACAAAAACACAGACTCCCAGTTGACTCTGAACGGAACGTGCCCTCGGATTAACTTGGATAAATTCTGCTCGTTGGAAGAAAGTTAAATGTACCGGACGTATAGGCTTGTGTTTTTCAGCAGAGTGGGAGTAGGCCGAGGGTCAAAGAATCCAGAGTTATATTCAATTGTGTTCTTCTTACAAATAACTACTTCAAATTAACCGAAACCAAAATTAACCAAATCAAATTGTATATGAAACTTAGTCCGTGAAGTGATGTGAAATTTTGTTTATTTTCTTGTAAACCGACCTAGATTGCGCCATGAGTTTTCCAGCACTTATCCAAATGATAGGAAATCCTTTCAGAGACAGTGCGAGAGAAGCAATTAATCCACAATCATCGATCATGGCGAAGATGCAAGTGGGTTTCCCTTGCGACTGAAACGTGCCATCCTATTCAAAAATGCTTGATTCAGGAAAACGTCTTTCATGTGCCTAATTGTGTGACATAACAGCGATAAGAAGAGAGATCGGTTTTGTTTTCCCGTAAAACGTGCCTTCCTGTTTGAAAAGTTAATTGTACTAAAACATTTGGCATATGCGTCACTGTTTTTTCGGTACTTCGTAAGTCAATTTACTCAGGTAAGCAGGGTTAGTATTTTCAACTGGGTGAATAAAGTAGATTGCTTAGGGTTAAGTAGATTGGCCTCCGAGTTTAAAAGCTGACGTTTCGAGCGTTAGCCTTTTGCCAGAGCGAAGCCCCTTAAAGTGCGTAATAGAAGACCACTAAATCTATTTTTAATTTTTTTTTCTCGTGAATACAATTCAAGGTCACCATTTGATGATTAAAAAAAATAAACAATAGCGCTTGAAATACATCCCTAAAATTTTTGTCTTTCCAAAGGTCAGAGAAAAACCTCTCAACACACGTGTTGCCAAAGACTCAATCTGACTGCGTGCGCGTGAATGATTTGTCACGAGCTGGAATTTCACCGGAAGTCAAACAGCGGTTAACAATTGCATCATCAGAAGTATTTACGTAACAAGTTTGACATCCTTCCGTAACCCACCCACACAACTCCCGTTGGTACAGGAATTACATAAGGACGGACTTAACTTGTTTCTGTCAAGCAGACGTGATTCATCAGCTGAAGTAACCACACTCTTACTGAACATCAGCGGAAGAGAGTCAGAGCAGAAATTGTGAGCCATGGAAGTTCATGCATGTCTCTTGGTGATCTCATACTTATTGGCGTCCTGTCATGCCGGCCTTATTCCAAAGCCTGAGCACCCTCAGCAGGTTTTTTGTAAAGCAGACTTTGGTGAGTTTTGCGCTTCATTGAAAATTTTAAGAGATCATGGTTCTGTTAAAGTAGCAATGACCATGTGTCAGTTTAGGGTTTATAGGGATCCAAGGCTCCTGTTTTATGTTGCAATATTCAATCGACAGCCGGCCCGGTTGAAAAGGGTCCTATGACGGATTTGAGTTCATCATTCAACTTATAAGGATTCAAGAAGGAAAGCTTAAGTTTTGGAGCTCAACATCAGGGATTCCTGCCACAAGTTTATTTGTCTTTCAGAATTGTCTCACCCAATTAAGCGTTAAATGGTCAATGAAAAATTAGTTTCAAATTGTCGGGAGAACTGAAAAAGGAATCAAAGAAGTTTATGCGTGGCAGACCATAACAAGAAAGTGGTAGATCAAGGCAGATGAAATTTGAATAAGTTTAAAAGTTACGAACCTAAATTTGCACCAAACTTCTGTAATAATATCGCTTAGCTTTGAAAATAAAGAAACAGGCGTGCAACCTACGCTGATTTGCTTATGAGCCCGCGATTTTGGGGATAAATATCCTTTGAACTGACGAAGTTCAATGCTGTAATTTGTTATTTAACGAAAGGGTCTACATATTGCAAAGTTTTCACGACACTATCTTTTCCATCACAGTTATACGTGCCGATGTTGTGTCGGGACCTGAAACAGATCCGGAAGGTCACTATCAAGTTTTCAGCATTAATATCACGGAAGTCTTCAGAGGATTGTCACGCGGACCTGCCCTGAACGCTACCAAACTTTACACTCCCGGTAATATGTCGACAGAGAGAGTGACTGGCCCTTATGGGATCAGAGCAGGCGCTGAGTACCTTTTGCACGGCGAAATTCTGAAAGGTGTAGGAATGTATACGAGATTCTCCTCATTGCGGAAGGAGTGGAATAATGTGATCCCACAAGAGAGAGAAAAATTTCAGTATTATGAAGCCGGATGTCGTCAATGTCAGTTGAAACTGTGTGGTGAAACCGACCTAGAATGTCAGAAAAAGTTGCCCGGATGTGAGATGAAGGCAAATCAGTTAGCCCCCTGGGAGTCCTTGAAATTGTCTTGCTGGCATTGGTATGAGCACTGTGAAGTGGATGCAACTGGTGAGCAGTGTTACTGGAAGAAAACAGACGAACCGAAAGAATGCGAGGAGAGCAATCCTTCTTCCATAGACAGCTTTCAAGGCGTCGAGGCATGAAATATGAGCAGATGGGAAAAAAACTTGTACTTTCAAATGAGACTTAAAAATAAAATAAAAATACGATATTATTCGGTGCTTATAAATTGCCAGTTCAATGTAAACTTAGATATACCTTTCATAGGAATGATGTTAAGTTGTATCAAATCGATATCTGTGAGAGCTGTAGACATCAAAGTAAATCAATTAAAGCTTTTAAGACGAAGAATGCTTCTCAAGATTCTTTTTTGTGATCGATATTGACAGCCAAGGGAACTGTGTACAACTTTAAGGAAAGCAAATATGGAAACTCACATCTTACCAATTGGGTAATATCACGAATGCATAGAAATACGACCATAAAACAAAACATTTCTATTTCTCGGGCTAAAATCTTTGATCGAGTTTTGTCTCATCCGTTTATCACAGCAACTCTTGAGAGAAAAGGTCACCCGTTTACCTTAACTCCTTCCATCTGAACTCAGGCGAAACCTCTCGTAGCATTAATTATGAAGATGGGGAATGAAGGGGGTGGGGTGGAGAAATCCGTGTGTACTCATGACACTCATTCTGAAAGGGGTGGGGTGGGGAAATCCGTGTGTACTCGTGACACTCTCATTGTGACATGATAATACTTACGATAATAATCTTGATTATGATAATGAAAATGATGATATATAACAATACATGACATCATATTGGATGAGTTTTGAGTGATAGCATGAGAAAATAACGGTGATAGATTTCGTTTACATTCCTCGGATTCGCACTTTTTCGCAATCTGAATTTCTAGTTTTGTATCTTATTGACTTAGCAAAAATATTCTCAAGGGAACCTCAATCCCTCCTCCTTTGCAATGAGGTCTATCGCCGTCTTTTGAAACGGATTTGTTCTCAATGGAGCCAAACACTGATATATTGGCCATTATTTAATCTCGAAGAGTGTGAAATAAAGGTGAAGTAAGGATATTTATTTAAAGGTCCGGGTTTTATTCTGGGTTAGAATAAAGTGACCCATCCAGCCGGTAATCAGTTTCTATAACATGAAGCCACTAAGAATATGCAGGGATGCCATTTTATTGCAAGGTTACACCCCAGCATTTCCGAAACAGTTCCTTGGCTCCCATTGACACACGCGGGTGGAGAGAGGCGCTTTGCGTAAAAAGTCTCGCCCATGGATTCGGCCAGGTCTCGAACCCAGACTTCATGACCCGGTCTCTGTATAGATTGGCGGTCAGCTGGTTACTAACACAAGTGCCATATGCATATTAATTCATAAAGACCTAGAATTGGGATTTTTTTTTTCTTGTTTACGTCTAAAGGATTTCGCAAACTTGTGGCAGCCAAAATGATTCGTCTCACAGCCTCAAGTGCTATGAGATAGCAATTCATCCTCAGACGAGAATCTCTATTACTGAGGCAACAGTTAGTGTTATCGAGTTACAAAAGCTACGTCAATTATTTGTTTTGCTGACCGCCAATAGCTCTTTTCTACTTGAAGAGAAGTGCGTTATTCCGCCTGTTTGCAATTCAATACGGGCCAGACAACCCTCAAGTGGCTTTTGTGGTTGTTGTAGGCGGGAAACGGGTTTCAGAATAAAAATAATTGGGGCTTGCTTGTAACTGAATTGTGGTCAAATATGGAATAAGCGGACGTGAATAAAACATAAAGCTGTCAGACAAATCTTTAATTTAAAACCTATATAACAGCCTATTTATAAGCTTTAAAAAAATCAGCAAAAACACGGAATACCAGTTGGCTCCGATCCGAAAGTGCCTTCGCCTACCTTTAATTTATTCTGCTCGTAAAAGAATCCTAGAGTCCAAAGACGTAGACTGTTTTTACGTAGGAAAGTAGGCGGGTATATGGCACGTTTTGTTGACAAAACACCAAGAGAAACCCCTTAACACACTCAGAGCTGAGTATAACTAAATGAAAACATGACAAGACTGTTTCAATGTTTCTCTATAAAAAACCTCTCTACAAATGAAATTGGGTCTTTTTCGTTTTTTGCTTCTTTAAGTGGTTGGGAAAGGACGTGACTTCCTACTGAAATTCTAATTCATTTTACCATTTGGCACGTGCGTGACTTCGTAAACCCTAAGAAACTTCTGCCAAACGAAAGCACTGGGGAGAACGATCTTTTTTCCTTTGGCTTACACGTTTAAAAATATCAAACTTACAAAAATATCTGGCATTTCTGTGAACTTGACCTTCGTGACTTCGTAACTCCATTCGCCGTAGTAGCTAAGCCTTTAGCATATAACAGCAGATGAATTCATCTTGGTTTTTTCTTTCCTTCTCTCGAGAAAACATCTGTGTTCATCAAGATATCCGTCTTGAATAAATTGCTTGAATAACTTCCGTAAAATTTTTACCAGTCTAAAGAGGCACTGAAATCCGTATGAGCGCGTCGCTTAAGGTGTAATTTGTCTCCATCCAAGCGGAGGGCTTGTCCCAACCTAGAATGTTCGGCGGAAGTCGGGTAACAGTCAACATTTGTATTTCGAGTTATGATATTTTCGTGTCCACTTTAAATTCCTCACGGAATCCGCCCACCCAACTCCCAGTTACACAGGATATAAATATAGACGAACCGCCGCTTTTCTCAATCAGCCAAAGGTGATTCAAGAACTTCAACAGGCAAAAGTCAAAACAGAAATTGGAAGCCATGGAAGTTCACCCGCGTCTCATAGTGATGTTATGTTTGATTGCCTCTTGTTATGGAGGTTTCATTCAGTCGGAACATCCCCAACTAGCTTTTTGTGAAGCGGATTTCGGTGAGTTTATAGAATGTTTGAAGATCCTTAGAAATCATAATGCTTTTTAACAAGTTGTAACTTGGAGTTGTAGATCAAAAAAACCGTTTCACAACTGAGAGCAAGCACAACTTGAAACTGTCCTGGTTAGATTGAATTTGGACATTTATGTGCATGTTCCAGGATGGTAAAAGAAAAAACATTGGACTTCGGATTGTGCGTGTAAGTTTTCACGTTTTTCAATGGGTTTAGAGAAAAAAAAAAAAGGACAGAGACAGAGACAGAGACAAAGGAAAGTGTCAAGTGTCGGAAATGTCATTGTTTATTGACGTTACCGGTATTATTTCATTATCTAATTATTATTATTGATATCATCTTATTTTTATTATCATTATTATTATTTTACAGTGATACGTGCCCACATCGATTCGGGACCTGAAACAGAGGGTAACTATTTTGTTTTCAAGATAACCATTAAAGAAATTTTCAAAGGGTTGTCGCTCGGACGTCAAGGTAAGGCCTTCGGTTTGCTGGAAACAGAATTCAAGACGAAACTTTACAGCCCCGACGGCAGCACGTCTGATAAAGTAACCGGACCATTTGGGATCAGAACGGGAGTCGAGTACCTCTTGTTTGGGGATATTCTGCACGGCGGGAGGCTGTTTACGAAATTCTCCTTTCTGCGAGAGGACTGGCGCACAGTGACTCCACGAAAAAAAGCAAACCTTCGGGGGTACTATGAGGCCGGATGCCGTCAATGTCAGATCAGGCCATGTGGTGAATCTGACTTGGAATGTCGCAAAAAGTTACCCGGCTGTGATAAGAGAGCGACCCAGACTCCGTACTTGTATCAATGGACGCTTCTATCGAGGTGTTGGAAGCAATTTGAGCACTGCGAGGTTGATGCAACTGGTCTGCAATGTTACTGGAACGAAACAAGGGAATCGAAACGATGCAAGGAAAGAAACTCATTGCCCCTTCCTTTTAGAGGCAATTCATATGATGCATAAACAGCTGAACTTGACCTAACTATTATCTTCAAATGAAACTAATTAATTTGTAGTTTTGCTCTGGTATTTTTTGAAGTTATTATTCACTGAGTTACTGCTTTTAAACATTTTATTGTAAAACGTGTTAGAGTTCTAGAATAGAAATGTTTGTATTATTATTATTACTATTATTATTATTAACTAAACAAGCACTTTTTGCAATGACTTTGTGAGTCAAACTAATGGTTTGATTCTTTAAATAACAAAAAAATGTTATCCAAAGGAACAAACTCGTCCATAGTGACGGTATAGAGATATGAGTAAACAGTGGCTATCTCCTTTGTTGATTAAAGCTTAAAATTCAAAAAACATTTTCTCCAAGGTCGAATCACATTAAGCATGGCAACTTATAACTTCTAGACTATTTGCGCACTTCAGAGTAAAGCGTTACTTAACGTAATCCTCCGTCTCGAACTGAGAACATTAGTCAATTTGTATCTTTCATGGGACCACTTATCTAATCCGTGCGGGCAAAGGTTATCTATTTTCCGTGAATGGGTCTGTCTCCACACAGGGAGCCCCTCAGAGGCTAGGGGCGTGGCGAAGCGTGTTCGTCTTCCGACAGGCAGAGCCCTTCAGAGGGAAAGGCTTAGGAGGTCCGCAAAGGTCACAACATGATTCCATCCACCTTCGCGGATGTCCTTCGGGAAAAAAATTCGAACGCGCGCTAGTTTCATTAAAATCCTAGCAAACTATACATCAGAAGAAAGAGCGGCATTTCTTTTAAGGAAGTGTCAAGAGCCGGTAAGGCGTGATACGACCGAAGGTTCTTCTATTGAATTTATCGGGTACCGGATGCCGCAGCACGAGTAAAATGGCTACACAGTCTTATTCACAAAGCTTCAATCAACCATAGTGGGTCAGGCTTCTTCGATATTCTGATTGGTTGTCTAGATATCGGAATCTAATGTTGGAGTAGCTAAAAATATGCGAGGCGTGTTGCGTAAATGGACGCCACAGGACAAATATTTCAAATATCAAAATACACACTTTCTTTTGTCATTACTCCTCGAATGTTTTGGCGAAATTTGACAAAAATCCGTCAAATCGATATACCCTATAAATTCGCTCAAAGCAGTTGTAATCCTCTAAAAATCAAATGCGAGATTTGCTCATAAAGGTTCGCAAACAACAAGCGCCACGCCAGGAGATCATCTCGCCTCCTGAAACCGCAAACCAATAGGACAAGGGACCTGCCGGCGTCATTTACGATGAATCAAGATTTCCCGGGAAAAGTAGCCCATCGCAGACACGTTTATTTTGTTATCTCGATGGCTTAAAGAGCGTCGAGGAGGACGATACAATAATTAGCAAAGTTGCCAAAAGCAAAGGAAAAACCAACGGCAAAAATGGAAAACCGGAAAATGTGCTGAGGAGCGAGACAACGAATCGTCATACAGCTTTCAAAATTACGATTCGAGGAAATATAGATTGTTAATATTTTTGTACTGGCTGGTACTTGCATACAGAAAAAGGAAACCTCGTTTTCAACATCATGTATAGCAATTTTTGGTTTGACGGCGACTTCTCTGTTCGACATCTGGATGCCAGCGTGGAGCTCCGCTAGTACCAGTCGCTTTCTCAAAAGATTTTCTTTTCTTTTCTTGACAAAATGGTACTTTCTTTCTTGTTTTTGTTTTTTTTTTTCCTTCCACTTTTGATTTTTCCACGAGCGAAGATTTTTCCACGAGCAAAGATTTTTCCAAAGAGATTCCACCTGTGAATTTTGTAAAGTGCACGATGTAAACAAAATATGGAAATAACATGAAAGTCGAGCCTCACCATAAGCGGCTGCCGCGAAAAATCCCCAGGGGATTCGCCCACGTCCCAGATTATGACGCCTTCCTGATTTACTATCTTTTATATGAAAATACGTTTTTCTTAATAACTCGGGCGCTCTTTAAAGATTTCGGAAAATGTTTTTATGCAAATGTTAGGGTGAATGTTTGAATTCTGTGTAGTCAAATAAAAGAAAAATAAATTTTTTTGGCCTCTGAAGGTGGGAAGTAACCTTAGACAAAAAGAAAAAATCTTCTTAATAGCCGGGTTCTTTATTTACATACAGCTATTTCATATTTACAACGAGACAGCCTATTTAGATAACAGCGATTTATTTGGAGTATACCGTTATATTCCTTCTAAGCCTTCAAGAGCTGACCTGGAAAAAGTGTTTTAGTATAGCAAGGACTGAGCAAGACTAAATTAGAGAGTAAAATTACTTCCAACTTAGAAAGGCTATTGAACCTTGCTTTATACTAATATGAGTTCAAAGTTAAGAACCAGGGAGACGCAGACGCTTTTTATTAAATTTTGCAAGAGCTATCATTTCTTTCCCTTCTAACTTCTCATTTTCCTTCATCCTCTGCCTCTTAACAGACAGCACGAGCTGCTTTATCGCCGTCATCTGTAACAAATTCGTTCTCTTTGTGGTCCCCATCAACATCATCCGTTACAGCGCGGTTTTCGTAAGTAAGAGAGATTTTTGTAATGTCTTCTGTCTGAACTGAACAGTCGGCGGTGTGAACTAGAAGGAGTAAGGTGCATTCAAAATATTACTAAAAGTGTAACGGAATTATCCCATCTCTGGAGATAAAGAAATTGGTGCAAAATAGGTACATCGGGTGATGTTTTTGGAAGGAAGACTTTTCAGGACTTTCAGGAAATGTAGAGGACGTGGTGAACCACAGCAAGCAGTATTAATCTCCTACGGGATGCCACGAAAAAGTAGTTATCCATGACAACAAAAAAAGACCTGGTGTGCCGACAACTGTTCTTTGGTTGGTAGTATTAGTAAGAGCTCTTACTGGGTCAAGAGGGGATAGAAAGCAGCCGAGTCTGAAGAAATTTATATGAAGAAACACCTGGACTCTTATTCAAGCATGTTGTGGTGACGACTAAATGTTGTTTACAGTAACAGGAAGTCCTATCGTTTTCTTTTGTAGTAGTCCATTGTAACTGTACTCGAGCAGTGGTGGCCCATGCACCTGGAGTTTATCGTGATTTCTACAGCATTAAGTGACCAGAAGTATCTTAACTCCCTCCCTGACAGGATGCCAGTTCACCGCCAGGCTACCCCCAGCGCTTCATTAGGCCTCCCTGACAATTCGTCGCTACCCAATTATACTCTTGAGTGGAGATAAATACTGTGAGAGTTACGTGTTTTGGCCAGGAATACCAGACAGTGACTCTGCCTGCAACTTATGGCTACTCATATACTCCAATCTCTTCCAATCGTGTGCTATTTACTTGACTTACCTACTTTCTTACACTTCATGGTGGCCGGAAGGAAAGCAACCACAGCTAAGAAACCCAGTAATGACGCAGCGCCTGGTACCACAGAAAACGCGTATCGGACATACTCAGCGGTGGCTCTGCCGAGATACGTCAAGAACGTGTTACGTCAATACTCATTAAAAAAGTTATATGGTACGTGTTACTTAATTCCGTGTTACGTGCTCACGTGTAAAGCGTGAAGCGTTAAGTAGTAAGGGTTACGCGTTCAGCGTTTGATGTTGTGTTAAGTGTTGCGTGGCACGTGAATCTAGATCCTAAACTCGAGCGGCCTGGAGAATGAACACCTGTAGGACTTTGTAAACTCTCATCAATTATTTAAAGAATCCTAACGGTTGGTCACTATCACTTTCACTTCGCATTTTTTTTTTACAATTGGATTGAATGAGCGGATAAATTAACAAACAAATAAATATTAGAAACATTGCTGCCGCGTCAGTGGGAGGAATAACTTAGTTTATTTACTGAGTTGATAATGTAAATTGGTCACCGTAAAGAATTTCTTAAGCTGACATTTCGAGCGTCAGCCCTTCGTCAGAGGTGCACATGCGTGCATCACTCACCTGCCAGTAGGAAACAATTCCTGAATGACTAAAATAGAAGTCCCACAAGCCACCTTGGCTAAAATGCTCATCGACGCAAAGACGAACGCACCGGACTCTTTATTGTCTCCAACCAGCTTACCAGCCAGAGCCAATGACGTCACGTACATCACAGAACTACCGCATCCTACAAGGATCGCAGCGCAGTAGGCCGCGTTCTTTCCCGATTCGTCTTGAAGGTAAAACCAAGCTGAGGATCCTACCACCAGAGAGGCGGCAAAGCAGTATGTCCACTGTTAAGAGGAGTGGTTGAGTATGCAAATTAGCGAGGCAATCTACTACAATCCAATGCAAAGCTCTAGGCTCCCAAGCTTTAGGTTAATAACCTACTTGTTTTGATGTCATTACCACTCACTTTTTCTCCAAGAATTTTGTCGAGTTTCTTCGCGGCTAAGCTCGAAATTACACTGCTGAGTAAGATCACTAGAGGGAAATAAGCGATGGATTCCTTCAAGAGAAAAAAATATAGTCATATTTTTAATCATTCTGTAGATCTTAGAGGAATTAAAACGAAGATGGATGTAATGGCATAGCGGACTGCCTCTTTCTCACAGCTCATAATACTCCCCAAGGCCTTTCCCCTCACCCTTCACTTCGTATCCATCACTCCCTATTATGTCTCGGTCCAAATTGTACATTCCTCTCACTTAGTTTCGTACCCGGATCCGTGTAACTAAAATATCAAGTTTGGCCGTGAGAGGTCTGGGTAAGAGGATAACTTTCCCCCAAAACGTCCTTCTCCCAACACCCCTGAACTCTACCTCCGCATCCATCACAACTCATGTCTTATTCCTAACCACAATTTAACAAAGCCCCATCTATCATCCTTTCCTCCTCCTTCCATCTTTTCTTATTTTACTGTGACAATAAAGTCGAGGAATAAGAAAGTAGCGATTACCTTTTCAAATCCGAGGGTTTCCGTCAAATAAAGTGGAACGTACGAAGAGCTGACTACTTGAACGAGGCGCGCACACATGAAGGCAAAAGAGATCTGTAAAAAAAGAAAAAGCGAGAATATTTTTTGATGCGATCAAGGTTGTTTATTAAATGTTTTCGGGCAGACCCCTCCTGTTATTTGAGATAAGTTACCACCAACGTTTATCCAATTAGACGTGAATTTTTCGAGCCAAGCTCTCCGCAGCCTAATACATTCTTATCGATTGAAAACACTTCCCAAAATTACCTTATAGAACAGTGGAGTTTTAAACCAATAAGACCAGCTCTTGTTAGTTTTACTACTCTTCGTTCCCTGATCATTCAATATCTCTATTATAAAACTGTCTCCACTGAAACTCGCATCAGTCGTCTTGGAGAGCAAGCCTCCGCGGCTGCTATAAGACGAGAGGGACCTGTGTCCAACGTAGAAAGAGCTGGATTCCATTGCAATATCATCCTGTTTGGCAAAGTCGAGTTTTTCTGTCTCGAGGTTTGATTTGGTATGGGAACTTTCGAAACAGTCAACAGGATAATAATTTTCAGGCGATGAAGCGTATCCTTCGCTGGCGTCGCTGCAATCAGATGTGTTACTCTGACGTTCAGCCATCACCTGCACCTCATTTCCGTCCTCGCTGTTCACTTGATCTGTTTCTAGCGAACTTGTTACACCATTGTCACTTTGTTTATCCTGGCTTTTAAAGGCAGGATTTGAGAAACTAAATTCGTTTGTTATCCTATGTTTTTCTTGCGTTTGAAGGTCACAATTCTCACTAGAATCTCTAGCAATTTTTTCACGATCAAAATCTAGCTTCTCGTCGGTACAAAAAGCCGGATTTGCAAAGCTAAATTCGTTACCATTCAAGCCTTTCCTCAAATCAGTCACGCTCCATTCAATGTCGCTTTTTGCGTGCGATTCACTACCCTTTTCCTGGATAGTTTGAAGATCTTTATTATCTTCATATTCCTCTTGTTTGAGTTCCTTGGGTGTGGCCTCAGTGTGTACCCAATTCTCCTCAGGAGCTTGATCGAGATCTTTTTCTTTGTACATACAAAACACCCCAACTGTTTTATCAGGGAGAGGCAGTGTGGCGCTTAGAATTCTCCGTCTCTCCCCACCCGTGAGGCTGCCGAAAGGACCTGGAATGCGTTAAAAGACATCACGTATTAATTTTGAATTTTACTTGATGGAAGTTTTATCTTTCGGAAAGAAAGGATTCTAGAGGATTCTCACCGATGTACTTTTCAGTACACTAGAGCATTGTGCGTCAAATATTCTTCTTTTTTTTTTTGCTAATCTGGAACTGAGATTTTTCTTTGATTATTCCCTATTCATCAACAGCTAACAACCCAAGAACAAGTTCTGTTCACAAAAACGAAAACCCGAAATCGCATTGGGATCGGATGAAAAATCAAAGAAGAACTGGATCATGCCTTAATTAGAAACATGTGAATTAATGATAAAACATCAGCTCTTTGTCATGCAAATGTTGCTCTCTGTCACGCAAATGCTGCTCTCTGTCACGCAACATTTGCGTGACAGAGTAATGGACCAACTTTCTTTTTCCGTTGAATTACCTTTTTTGTTTTCCACAGGGGTGGGAGGTTCTTTGGTTCCCAAGTGAAAAATTAACGAGAAAAAACAACCTGTCCCTACCACAATCACCGATATTTCCTGAAATAAAAAGGATCTATGGTGAGTTTGGATTCTACATCACCGGCAAATTTATTTTATTTTTTTTTAGTTTTAGAAATGCTCCGGTTTCTATTGTCTCTAAAATGATCTTTGAGAATAAAGCAAGGAATTCATATTATTTATTAATTTATTATTTATGTAAACAAGTACACATGTTTTTTTAACAAGGGAAAAATGTGACTTAATTTCTTAACTAAGACCCCACCATAAAGTCTTTCCACTGACTAAAAGAAATTTTCTCATCTCCGCCATCGGTTTTGAGGACGATCCAAGTGATGGCATACACGAAGATGCCGCTGAGAAATGTAAAACCGGATCTGAAAGAAACCAAAAAGAGAAATTGACAATTTATGGTTTAATATTGAGCGCGATTCACTAAAAGGTTCTATGAGGGTCTCCAAGGGTAATGGCTTTTACGGCAAACGGTTAAAATTTGACCATTTTTTACGGTTCACGGCTGATCTCTCACTTACAGTTTAAAAAAAAATACGGTTAACTCTTTTAAGGACTAAGGATTATCATTTGTCCATTTTTATGCACGACAGGTAATTGTTATGTCTCTTTTTTCGGTTAACCCCTTAAGGATTGATGCTTTTGATCAAAACAATGCTTCAAAGAGGAGGATAATTTTTTCAACAATTAATCAAGAGCTTCCTCAGTTGACGATCATTTCCTGTATTCTCACGACCTTAGTGCTTGACTTGGATGTTATTGTGTGAGGAGAAATAAGATGTTTGTCACTCTAAAGACTCAAAGAGTCAAGAGTGAAGGAGGTTGAGATCACTTCACAAGGTTTGCACAGGCCTACCCAACCTGAAACAAGACAGCACGAACGGTGGCTGAAAAGATTTACAATGACTTTGTACCACGATTCGGATTCCCAGCCCGTATACACAGTGATCAAGGAGGAGAATTTGAGAACAATCTCTTCCATCAACTACATAAGTTGTCTGGCGTTTCCAAGTCTCGCACCAGCCCCTACCACCCTCAAGGGAATGGGCAAGTGGAGAGGATGAACCGCACGCTATTGTCTATGCTGCGAACACTCCCAGATTTGAAGAAACGAAAGTGGGATGAATCACTCAACAAGATGATCCACGCGTACAATTGCACTAAGCATGAGGCGACAGGATACGCTCCGTATTACTTGTTGTTTGGAAGAACACCCCGCCTGCCCATCGACCTGATTTTCAATTTGAATCAAGAGAGTGCAGAGGGAGATTATAACACTTACGTCCAAAACTGGCAGCATGATATGAAGGAGGCATACCGGATAGCTCAACAACAGCGTCTACCCTACCCGACATAATTTTTTCGGATGGGGTAGAGGGGCGGCAGCTAATGTTTGGTTTATTATCAAATCAATTTACCAGCTGTGTAAGTTGTTTATCGTCGCGGAGGTTGCATCCGTTTTCAAACAGGTTTAAAAGTCTACTGGAAAGCCCGCAAATGACGTAGCGGCATCACAACACGGTATAGGTGTCAACATTCCACGAATTGATTTGCAATACGTGAGGTCTGTGGAACATTCATGAAGGTCATTAAAATACTGTAAAAACATTGGCCGGATTTCCCGCGAAAAATAAAGTTTGATTTGTAAATAAATGAGTGGGGGTGCACTATACTCTCCAAGAATTCCATTAAGTGGTCTTAACTCACTGACCTCCAGGAGAGTGATCAATAAACAAAATCTCCTCACTTTTCAATGAGGCTATCACACAAACAGGTTATGAGCATCAAGTAAATCCTCAACTGCCCAAGTTTATATAATTTCCTGTGTCGTATTTGTGGTTTCCCGGTACACGAAAAACACCTCTGCTCGAAAATTCGTTTTGTAAAACCAGCCAGTCATTTCCCGGGTGGAAATATTCATGATCGTTTCAACCCCAAGGAGCAGTTGGAAAAAAAATCAATTGCGTGAATTCCTTAAAAACAAAAAGTAAACAAACCCCATGTGGGTTTCAAGCACGCGATCATCTGAGTAATACACGAGACTATTGCGTATGTACTGGGTAAACGTGATTAAATCAAGTTTTATAGCAACGACCAAAATAGTCTCTCATTTAATTTTTGTTTGTTTGTAATTTTATCCCCAAAAAAGGCCGGCTTTGCTGACATAGGATATAGTTTGTTACTTTATGTAATGCAAAGTGAAAATGTTTAAAAGTCTCTTTTGCGGTCGAAAAATCAGTCGCTTTTCACTCAATATCTGATCAGAATTCGCCGAAATAAGGAAAGGAAAGGATAAACAAGGTCTTTCTTTAGCTCTAAATTTTGCGATACGCTATACAATTGGTTCATGTCGTAATGGATGTTGTGAGATTTGGGTACATTCTGTTACCTAATCAAATTACCGGCAAATATGTGTACAATCCATTTCTGACTGCTCCTGAAAAGGATGCCAGTTGAAAGGAAAATCGACAATATTTTCCTACCTTAAGCCGTGTAGTTCCACCATTTCACTGGGTCTTTTAGCAATCTCAGGTATTAGCGCCAGATGAGTGACTTGAGATAAAGCCCAGCCAATGTTGTGTACAATCATGATCGAACCATAGTAAATGCCCATAGTCTGCTCGGATGAATCCTCCCCGCAGACAAAACACGGCATCATGAGAAATGGAAATAATCCCGCCACTAGAACAGTCCCGAGTAAGTGAAAGCTCTTACGTTTACCGTAATATCTTGAAAGAAGAGGGAACTTGTAGTTGTCGCAGATGTAACCTACACCCAAACATAACACAGCGTCCACAGTGCCGGGGATGATCCACAGAAAGCCAGCAGTTCTGTTGGACAAACCAATAACTTTTGTTTCGAAAATTATCAAATAGGATATCCATGCTCCAAAAACAGCATCGTTGAGAAAGTGTCCAACCGTAAAAGAAAATTTTTGAAAAAGTGGAAGACGAGATTTTGCAACGCGAGAAGGTCTATTTTTCCTTGATATGTCGGTTGTTGAACTTAAGTCAGAGCATTTTTGTTCCATTTTAAATTATTTTCTTCCAAGATACACCACAAGACCAGAAAAAAATGAAACTATCATGAGGGTTAAAAGCGCGTTTTGTTGTCGGATAAACATGAGATGAATATTGCGCCACCAATGTGTTACCGTCAAATGTTTGAAGTATTCAAGTCCAAAGTTTTAATGAAAGCGCGTTTACATGATTGTTTATACCGGTTCAAAACAAGCACTCATACTGAAACAGGTCAAAACTAGTTCGTAACTAGTATTACTGCAAAACATGCTGTGTTCATGTTAAGTGTTGAGCTTATGTAAGCTGTGAGAGAGCTGTCGCTTCATTCGAACCGCGATATAAAATGTTGTAACTTTTCATTCATGGGTTGCGGCAGTTTTTTGCGTGAACAGATTTACTCGTTCTTTTTCTTCACTTCTAGTTTTCGTTTGTTTTGGTTTTTCGATAACGCGCTGATAGAACTCAGGAAAAACCGTTGACCCTCACGACCTCAAGAGTATGTTTTTCGCTTCCTGATTCCTCCCACTCTAAAAAATTCTCAATATAAATTCTCCCTACTGCCTTTAATATATTTCTTATAATTCTGGCTTTGAGACTTTAATTTTTGATCAAACTATGTTCCCTGATTTATATTTTGTCTGCTTGTCACTTTGAAAGCGAGACAGTTCACTGATATTGTAAGAAGATGCCTTTGTGGTTACTCTAAGTCGAGAAAGTGTTCGCTCAGGAACCGTTCATCAAATACAGAAGCCTTCTTTTCGCAAAGGAAATCAGTTCTGAGAGAATGGGGAATGGGAAATGGGAAAATGAAGAGTGGGAAATTGAGAATGAGAGAATAAACCTCTTTTTTTCGATTTATTGTTTGATATGGGGTATTAGACATTTTTCAGCGGTGATTATCGTTTTGTTCGGACAAAAAAAAATTACCCTCTTTGGAATTGAAATTAATTGACATTCTCAAAGATATTCTTTTCGTTACTCGTTTAGCTTCAGATAGTGACATGATATACATTGGGGGCCATATAAGAAAAGTTTAAAAAAAAATCCCCGTTTCCGTTTCCCACATTATCACCCCAATGAATTTTCCTATTCCCCATTCTCATGTTAGAAACATTTCAACGCAAATATTTGTTAGCCTTTCCGTCACCCCTTATGAAAATTCCTTGATTAACTTCCTCTTAAACGATTGTCAAATCCCATATGGTCTAGCGGTTAGGATTCCTGGCTTTCACCCAGGCGGCCCGGGTTCGACTCCCGGTATGGGAACGGATATTTCTTTTTATATACTTTTTCCTTTTATTTTTTTTTCCTCTTTTAACTCATGCTTCTATTTTGTTCATCTTCTATAGCTCTTTCTTGCAGTTATTTTTAAGGCAAAGTGATATTGCTGATCTATTGACACATTCACTGATTCGATCTCGTCATAACTCATCATAACTATATTATTCTTTCCAAAAATATCCCTCATATCATCTCGACTATAACGCCAACAAAAACCATTTTCTGATCGACTTTTGCTTGTATTTTCTCAAGTTTTCGATGAAAAAGTTTTAGTTGGTGTTACTGCATGACTGACAAAGCAGCGCCAGTTCCCTAGCGCCAGTAGTGGAACGTTTCGCATGTACTACTACGCGGTTACTCACTGACAGAGCAAAATAACGAAGCTACGCTCACATAAAAAAGTCTGACTTTTCTTCCTAATGAATTCTCACATCACGTCTTGGTAACTTATGTCGGAGGCGTTTGCATGACGTGGACGTGTTAGATGTGCGTAAATATGGCGCCGAAGTTGATCTCTCAACAATACTCGGCTGATCCTAGCAGCCGATTCCGCCGAGGTCCTGGATAGATCAACGACGTCGGCTTTAATTTTACATTTTTAAACAGCTCGGCATCAAGGCAACTCAGGAATTTGGAACAAATTTTGAGCTAAGTCTCCGTTGTTTTGCGCATCTCTCAATGTCAGCAATTCGCATCATCGTACAATCAGAAGCACCGCATCCGCATTATGCAGAAACCAAACTCGTGCAGCTCTACACCCAAATAAAGGAAAAAACAAATGACACTTTTAAAATTCCTTTAATTAGGCATAAAGTTACACATCTTACAACTCACTGAAAGGTACACTGCATAAATATCGGTAAAATCTCGAGTTAATCAAAGGATAAAATCAGATTTTCGAGGTTTAAGCCAAGGCGAAAATTACGCAAATTCTAACTAAGGCTATTTCACACTGTGCTAAGTCATAGGGTGTTGGAACAGTACAAATGCACTTATAAAACATACGTCCGAGCAACCTCTTTCTAGTTTATGGGGCTAGGACAACCTCTGAGATAATTCGAGTCTCATTAGAAATGCTCTCGAAGTAAAGCCTCATAATCTTCAATCTGATTGACCTAAATATGGATATGTGATCTATACTTCACAGATTTCCTCCTGACGTTCAGAGATTAAATCTTTTGAACGGGCAAAATATAAATTCACGAGTAGGTTTCCAAGCCGAAATAAGGTATTTACTAATAATCTTCACTATTCCTAACTCTTTTGAAGACGGTTGCTTAGGTGTCAGCACAAAAGCCAACCCATTCCTATGGCAACATAATAATGTGTAGTGGTAGCTTGCCATGAAATACAACTGCGCACTGTCAAATAGTATTCAGAACGCTGATGTGTAGCGAATGGATATAATTAACTACCGGATGAAAGATAAATGCCGAACAATGTTCGTGATAAAACTGTCAAAAAGAACTGAGAAAATCTCTCTTTCCATTCATTTCATGCTCCCTTCTTCAGCCGCTTCAAAGAAACGCTCCTTTCACTGCTAAGAATTGGCCGATGGACTTTCTTCGACGAATGGCGCGTCATGCCGAAGGAGTATGGACAAATCCCGATGTTTGGCTCCAAGTTCTTCGCCGTATGGTTTCTCGTTTTCCAGGTCATACGTCCATGTCCAAACCAGCATGTCACAAAGTAACCATCTAGCCAAGTGCCGAAAATTTCCGAATCAAATGGACCAATGAAAGCGCTGAACGAATTCGTCGCAAGGAAAACAAAGCATAGCCAGAACACCTCAATGAGCCGAAGATCAGGCGTTTTGCATGGACATGTCACTGATTGAGGTTATCACCTAGCTCAGTTCATCCCAGGTTTATAATCAGGTCTCCTAACGGACACTTTGTTTCAATAACTTCAACAAAATTTGAGTACTCTGCTTGTTCGGTAATTAAAGTTGCGTTATGCTCTGCCCTGAAGAGCCTTGTGGTGAAACATCGATGGCTGTACAATGGAAGTGAAGATGAACTGAACTCGGAAGATCCTCGAATTGATGTCTATTTACAACGAAATAGTTTACGATTGGTTATTTAATTTTATCTTCTCTTACTGATCTTTCTTTTGACCTGAAAAGGATAAAAAATGATAACTCCACATTAAAACAATTCATTTTGAAGTTAACTGTAAGAGAAAAAAAACCAACAACTATGCAGTATTTGTTGAAGAACAAAACTTACAACTAAAGTAGGCTCTTTTCGCTTGGTTGGCGGAGACGCTGATTCTTTGCTCTTTTTAACTGGACTGGAATTTGATTCCTCGGTGTCCTTCTGTGTGAAAAACCATTTTTTAATAACATGGAGTAAATTTTAAAACATTTGTGACAAACAAAAGGTTATACAACCAAATAGTCAAAGAAGACGCACCTTTCTTTTGACTTTAGATGGGCTCTTATCTGTCTGTAAAATCACGAAGAGATTAAGTTAGCAAAGAGAAAAACCAGCACCTCTCGACGAGTGATAACGCTAAATTTGTCAGCATTAGACAACCAGTGTCTGAGGTTACACTTAACAGGATTTAAATCCTTAAATTTTACCTACAGAATCGTTACTGCGAGGAACAGAAGGAACGTCCCTAACAAAAAAGGATAAAATACTTTCACGATGAATTTAATGTATACTTACCACCCCGTTTACTTCATTTCGTGATTTCGTCCTGGAACTCTGCTGTGATATTTGTCTGCACATAAAGAAGAAAAAGAAATTCTGAGCTTTAGTGGCTCTGATGAGCCGTATCATTTACTCTGTGATGGGACACACGTTGGCCTAGTGACCTTCACATTCTACCTTGTACTAAGTGGCTTCTTCGGCGACTCCAAACTGGAGGTACCGCTGTCCTGCGTTGGCTCATCTTCGGGTAAAGCATCTAATTCAGACACTAGTCTCTTGGCGGCTCGTCCTCTTCGGGGACTGTTCGATTGAAAAAAAGACAAAAGACATCAAAACCTACAGCTGTTGTCTAGAACGGACTTTTTTTTATTTTAATTGGTGGTGTAAGCTGCGCTGGGCCATATCGAACACTAATTTTATTTTTTCGAAATATAATTTTCCAAGGTGTTTTAAGTTCTTTGCTTGTTCTTCAATGTAAAGCATGGCAAGGCTTCAAATAAAACGACAAATTCACCAAATGGATTTGACACCAAGATCACCAACAAAACCACTACGAATAACACTTCCTCCATTCACAGCCATTTTTCTTCTCGATAACCCTACGGGAGAACTGTTGACACACCACACAAGCAAAACGAGAAAACAAGATCACGCACCTTGGTGATGACTTGGTTGTCGAAGATGACTTTTCTGTTGAGCGTGGACTTTCCGGCGGAGAAGCATTTTTTTGTCGAGAATTTTTACGTTTATCTGACATGTTCAATTGTTTTGCCGAAGTCTTCTTTTCTCCCTTGGTATCCTTGTCTGGGGAAGTTTTCCTTGATTTCTTTCGAGCGGATTTCTCTGAAGAATTAGCTGGTCTTCCTCTTTTCCTAGCAAAATATGTTTAAATAACAAAAAAAAAAGCATAGCGGCGTGATTTTTGTTATTTGACTAAAAATTCAAAACTAACATTTTCAAGGTGAACAAACCGCCCATTTAAATGGAGAAAAAAAGAGAAAAAATTCAGAGAACGAAACGCTCTTCCGGGAAAATTTTGGGATTTTCAGTCGGGCTTAAGGAGAAGTTTTTTTTAGAAGTACTTAAACACAAATAAGTCCGAGGGAAGTTTCACATCGAATTTTTTACAATTGCAGAGTCGAATTCTAGCCTCGAAATTAGTGGCCGAGGATGATTCTAGATTGTATAGAAGTTGCCCAGAGGACTTGAAAAAGGATTGATGTTGTATTCATTACCTATTTTTTTTAAAAATTCTTTTCTAACCTCACAGATGTTTGCTCCTCAGGGGGACTAGCAAACCCACTTTCAGAAGTCTCTGAGGAAGATTCTTCTCTGTCCGCCTGACTCTCCTTCCCTTTCTCCTTTGAAGTACTTCTCGGACTCTTCGAAGTTCTGAATAAACAATAAAAAATAATTCTAGCTTTTCACGGCAAATAAATATTCGCACAATCTTTTCGTGGGCCGTGCCAACACTTTCTTCATACGAATCAAAAGCTTATCCCTCACTCTCGGTTTCCCGAACATTAAGTGACTAGGGATAATGTTACTCCCCCTCCCCCGCCCCCTTGGATGCCAGTTTATCGCAGGTTACCCCTCTCCACTTCTGATCCCCCAATTTTTTCAGGCGTTCCTGGCAGTTGGCCGGAACCCATATATACTCCTGGGGTCGAGAGGGTCGGTGTACTGATAAAGGAGACTGTCCTACTCAGGCACACAACAAAATTATCCCAAACAGGATTCGTAGACAGCCCCAGTATCTCCTAAGAGTGAAGTCAGACCAATTCAGGGGGTAAGTTTCTAAAGAAACTGTGGTGCTGCGTCGGTGGGAGAGTATAACAGTGTAATTTCGTATTATCAACTGAGTTGATAACGTAAGGGGAAGAGTTTCAAAGCTGACGCTTCGAGCGTTAGCCCTTCGTCAGAGCGAATGGGGAAACCAAATTGAGTTCATCCTTACTTGCTTTGAGATTTCACTGGTGTTTTCTTGTCACTCTTGGCGGAGGTTTTGGATGATGACTTTGATGGCGTCAACTTCGACTCAACTGCGCTTCCCTTCTTTTGTCCCTAAATGACGAGTCATGATAAACAGTTAATACTCTTTAAATCAAGTTCCTTCTCATTAGAACGCCACACGTTGCTTACGTTGACTTAAAATTTACTAATTACGTGGGATGCCCACTAAGTGTCGTAATAGCTGTCACGTCGGACATTTTTAAAGCATGCATGACGTCTTTACTTTCGCGCGGAAGGCATTTAGAAAAGCTCACACGGGACTTCCCTACACAAACATCACTTCCCTTCTTCGAATTATTGCGGTTTAAAAATAAATTCGCAGAGGAAAGTACTCAAGTGATCTTCGTCTGCTGTTAGATTCAGCAACGTGAACGTTCCGTAAAGACGATTTTGTTGATCAAGCGCGATGGAACAGCGATGTGCACGAGTGTGCTTCGCCTCTTGCCTTAATTTCCGATTTTCACGGTAAATAAGGGTAACTAAAACTGTTTTGTTTAGCGCTTTTACCACCTCCATTATGACTATCAGTTGGCTTCAGGGATCGGTGACATTTGCAACTGATCTTTACATTTAACACAGACAGCAGCATCTCACGTAAACGCCCTCAGACGTCATGCTAAGGTTTAATCAAGGAAAGCTGCACCACAAATACCTTTGCAGTTGTGAATTGGAATCCTTTCGGTAAGTAATTTTTAGTGTTCGGACCACCTCCCTGCAAACGTAACATAAAGGTTATTCGTACGGAAAAAGAGAAAAGTTTCTATTCCCCCAAAAAACCAAAGATTTCATGATAAAAATGTATTCAGACATCAAGAAAGCATTATAAAAATTGCCTGAAAAATTATCAGACTCCTGTACTTCAAAAATCGTGTCATCATAAAAAGCATAAGGTGCTTCTCAAATCTGTCACAAAACACTTATTGAAACTGAATCCGTTGTGTGACGCTGGTGACATAAAAGTACATAACGCAACGCTCCTTCTTGGTAGCGCCATTGCGTGACCTTTACCATTTTCAGAGTCGTCAAGAAAAGCGCACCACAAGTGGATGTGAACAGAATACATTTCTGAATGAGTCCCTTGACACCTTATTCGCGTTAGCTACCATCTTTTTAAAGCGTTTACATCGTTAGCAGAGGTAAGATGTTCAAGCCCTCACCTCGGAAGGTACAAAGAACCTTTTTGGCAAAACAAGATTTCCGGGAAATTCTTTTAGAACAAAAGTGTGGACCTAGTGAAAAAAACAAACATTGACAAAAATTAATACAGTTTAAAGTTCACTGCAACGTGTTGGATTTTATGTAAAAGCCATCGACACGGGACGTCAAAAGTATGCGACGCAATGGGAAACAGAAAGAACAGAAAAAGAAAATGAACTGCGACGAGGAACAAGTAAAATTACAGAGTCAGACAGCTACCTTGTTTAGGATCAGTCCCAGAGCAAGATCACAAACTGTGTAAAGATTCTGGTAAAAAAATTACTAAATGTTAGAAGGCACAAAAATCATACTTTTCTCATTGCAACAATCCTCAAGATATGTAATTCCGTCCCCGCTGTTTTGTGTTCTTCTGAGAACCAGCCACAAGAAAAACACTACAGGACCAATCATATTTTATTCCCTTAAGTAGGCAGGATTTTTTCTTTTTTACACTTTTTTTGTTTTTTTTTTTTTTTTTTTGGGGGGGTCGCTGGTTCTTTAGAAGGAACAGTCGTCGCCAACAGAGTGTAAAACGCTATAGTTAACAACAGGGACCATATCAGAGTCTTAAGAAGGGATCAAGTGAATTTTATCTCGACACAATCAAATCCTCCAAACACCCCTCTCCTTCCTCCCCCCAGTCAGGCGGTAATGACCCGTCCCTTACCAACAAAGGAAATCGTTACAAATTTTTCTTGTTGCTGGTAATATATCGCTGGTAGATCACATTTGCGTGTTTACCTTGTTTACTTCTTCATCGTCTGGTGCTTGCGCGTCTTTGGTTTCTTTGACGTTTTCAACAAGCTTCTTCAGGAAGCTGTAGTTATCAGCTTTGGCCATAATCGGCTCCATGAAGAACCAAAGATAACTTAGGGAAAAGGAAAAGAAAAAGGGCAATTTCTAACCGAGTTTCAAAGAAGAGTGCTTTTTGATTGAGTGACGTAAGACCAAAACCAAAGTAATCACAACAATCCATCAGAACAAAGGAAAATGTCACAAGGAGCCCATGAGAACGCCCCGGGCATAATTCCCTGGAGCTTTCTACGCATGTTGTTACAATTATAGGATGCCAAATTGAGAGGGTGCCACAAACGAGCTATTAAGACGGCGACAGCAACGTTTTCCGGGCTATTCTTACCCGGAAAATCATACACTTATGTCCAGAAATGCACGCAGTACTGTAAATGGCAGATTTGACGACATTTCGTCAAACCGAGTGAATGTTCATAGATTTGATGATTTTGGCGAATTTCAGTCATAATCGTCAAAGTGAAGTCAGCTTGGCGGATTTGAAGATTTCAACGAATTTTTGTTACTGCATGCATTTCTGGAATCTTATTACACAATTAACTGTATTTTTTCCTCCTGTACAACCCATGATGTAATGTTTTTCAAAAAAGTGCAGAATTTTGACTTAAAATGTGACCGAAATAAATCCCCAACGGCAACAGAAGTTGCACTAAAAATTCACCCGTAGGCATAAGAAAATCATAACTCAATCTTACTCTTTGAATTGCACTAGTGTCTCGTGATCATCTTGTTTGAAGTCTGGGTGATGGGCCAGCATATGGATAACACACGGCAGAGCATACTCCGGAAGAATAGAATGAGAACATTCTAAAAGACAACAACAACAACAACAACCATAAAATAATTAAGCTACAAATAATGATTTTAACGTAGTGTTGTCTGTTCTTCTTACCTTGTGCCGCTGAATGTTGTTTCAAGTAATCTCGTCGTGTCTTGACGTTCTTAGTAATCATTTGTCTAACCTGAAAAGTAAGTCCAATGCAACAAACGTTAGACTCTTTTAAGCCTTGATATTTACCCGAATTCCACAAACGTCTGTCAGCCGAGTCCTCGTTTTCATCTTTTCAAAGTGTTGAACTCTTTAATAATTACCTGTGTTTTCCTTTCCTTAACAGGTTCAGGTGCTGCCAGCGCAAATATCCCCAGATATTCCAGAGGAAGTTTTAGTACATCTTCAGCCTTGTGAAGCTTCTTGGTGAACTTGTCACGCACCTCATAGCAAGGGTCCTTCAACAAAAAAAAGCACAAAATGACACATGAAAATGGATCATTTTTCTTCGCCCTCAGGCAAACAATTCAATCACAACCACCGGCAAAAGCATCAAGGTTAGTTTTCATAGAGTAGAATCAAGTCCCGTTTAATTCCAACATTGTTTGGATCAACCATCGCTGTTGGACTATTTTTTTAAACTATTTTTCAATGGTTTTCAGATTAAAAACTTTATACTGCGTTAACGACGACTGATACCCACTCCGCTCCCCATAAAAACCACGAGACTGCACCCGAAATCCCCCGGGGCCCCCCCACCCCCAGGGGACAAGTAATGACTGGTGCATAATGTATGCCTTTCACCCATCACAAAATTATCTAGAGTTATTGTTCCCACAAGCTTCATGTTGAAATTGCATAACCCCTCTTCTCATTCTGCACAACAACAATATCTACCTTGCAGCATTAATCACTCAGATGAACGTCTCCGATCTCAATCCATACATTCAAATTTTACCTGCATTACCAACGAGAGCCGCTGAAAATTTTCCAAGGTTATGTATTCAATGTAATGGGGTTCCTGTGCAATCTTGATCATACCACAGGCCGCTGCCAGTCGAAGTCTTGAACAATCAGCAGCTCTTCAGACAGCAGTAAGAGAACAAGAACAATGAGTTTATTTAAATTGATACAGAGGCTTAAACAAAAATATAGAGTTCTGCCAGCAAATTTTGCGTGATTGTTTCCTATGCCTTCCAATTTTATGCGGAAAATTGGCGTGCGACCGGTCAAAATTTATATTCTTGCGCATGTTCAACGTTAGGCCACTGTTCTACCATGAATATTTGGTTCGAACGATAAAATTTCCAAATATTTTCCACATACTTACTTCACACATCCCTGCTGTTGTAGGTCTCCTTTATGGGTGAGCATACTGTCCAACAATCTAAGCACAGGCTGAACGGACGACTTGTGGTTTCCCTGCCGGCCACGCAGCCACTTCACAAGCAGACGTATACCTTTGATCTTCGTTTGCGTTTCTTGAGTAACATCCCTGTCTTCACACCACTCCCCTTCACTTTCATTCGAATCTGCCGTCTCCCCCCTGTCTTTCATCAAGAGTTCCTTAACGACAAAATCTCTAACAATGGCTGGCCTTTGTGTCTCGAACAGAGATGGCGCTAAAAGTGCGATCTCACCAAGAGCTGTCAGTGTGGTCAGTAACAGAGGACAATCGTAGCTCAAGGAACTGACAAGATTCTGCGATAAAATTGAAATTATAATTTGACAAACTGTAATGTCAATCTGCATCTAATAAAGGGCTTGAAGAGAAATATAAGTTCGAGTCCTGTAGAGCTAGTTGTACCATCAAAGTACTCAAACCCTAGGGCACAGTCTTTTTCCCCATACGGAACTCGTGCTAGTACGTGACTCGCGTTAAAAAAATAGCGTGGCACATTTTTCGCTCGTGCTCCGCAGTTCATTTTTCACGCTCATCATCTTGCGCGTAACTCGTGAAAAAAAAGAAGGGATATTTTATCGCGCTCCTCCTTTGGCGCATGATTTGCGAAAAAATTAGCAGTACATTTTTTTAAACGCTCATTATCTTACGCGTTATTTGTGAAAAAACAAGCGGCTTTCTTTTTGCCTCATCATGCATAAATACTGATATCTGTGGGCACACCATCACAAAAAAAGCTGCATGCCTCAAGCCAATTAAGATTGAGATGGAGACATCAGCGAATCTGAAACACAATGACATTTTGAGGTACATGTAGACTCTTTTTAAAAACACTTACTGTAAAGACACGATCAAACGGCTGTGAAGAAGCAGCAGAAATCTTTGCAATGGATCTCAGCGAGTGCTTGGCTTGGCAAGGAGTTCCCTTTAATGCTAATTTGGACAAGACTGGATGATAATAATTGGCCAATGACTTGTTGACTTTTTCAATTCCATCTCCAGTCAAGGCCAGCATCTTTAGTGAATGATCGACTATTTCTTGATCTTTGTTTTTCAGGAAAACCAGCAGCTGTTGAAAAGTGTCGTCATTTTGAAACTGGGAAGGAAATACACCAGCCAGACCCTGAAAAAGATTCCGTGAAATTTAAGCTTTGACTGTCCATACATAACCCTTTGATTCCAGAGAGTGACTTACAGCTAATTTCTCCTTACAATGACACCCCTTAATCACACATTAAGGTTGCGAAAATAAAGTAAATAATCACCAACTAAAAGAGCTCTTGATTGTCAAACAAATTCTCTTCGTCAGTACCTTAGGATAGAGAGAGAACAGTATGGAGAATATGCATACTGATGTTACGGAGTAACGGGTTAAGCGTGGGAGAAACAGTGACCTAACGACCTGGGCCGAGTTGTTCAAAGCTGGGTTAAGATAACCCAGGATTAGCGTGAAATTTGATTTCAGATCTCAAAACTTCAGAAAAGAGATCCAGCGTAATTTTATTTGTCTGCAATGTTGTGACTACATGCTCTAAAGAAAATAGAGATATTTATCCCAAACAGGCTTCTGAACAAAGGAATTAAAGAAATTCGGAATAAAATTTAACCTTGGGTTAGCGCCAGTCAGCCGTCCAACAACTGAGCCCTGGTGTGCAGGGCGCTTCCTGTCAGGCCGCTGTCTCCCATGCTTACCCTTTTACAGCCTAACATCAGTATGTATATTCTCCATACTGTTCTCAATGAATTTCCTAGAGTGCTGACGAGGAGAATTTGTTTACCAATCTAGTGCTTTTGCAGTTGGTGATCATTTCCTTTATTCTTGTGACCTTCATGCGTGATTCAGGGTTGATTTAGTTAGGAGAAGATAGATGCTTGTCACTCTTGGGGAAAAAAGAGTTCAACGTTATATATAAGAGCAGTCAAACGTCAAACACGTGCAAGTAGGCAGCCGCGCGTCAATTTCCCGCGCAAAATTTCAACGGAAAACATAAGAAACGACCGCTGTTACGCAAATTCGCGCGAAAAAAATTAAAAACTCGTAGAAATTTGTAAAAGGAACAAAACTAAAGAAAAGCAAAAATCGAGACTTTTCGAACAAGAAGCTCATTAAATTACGGGTTATCTGATGATTTAACCCTTCGCTTGAGTTTGTCTCTAACACAGATTAAAAATTACAACGTTCGCATATGACGTTTGACCACTGTGTTCAGAAAACCACTCGTCTCACCAATAACAGTGCCAGTCCCTTTTTCCCGACAGGTTTTATTCCAGAGCTTTCGTGCCACTCATACTCATCATCCTCATCATCAGCAAGCCCTTCAATGGCATCTTTCACCAACTTGAACAGCGCTTTGATGCACTGTTCATCCACAAGAAGAGGAGCGGCACGATCAAGGAGTGCTTTGAGTGTCTCTAACACAGGATGCTTGGACCCAAGCCTAACGACAACGTCACTCTGCCAAAGAGAAACGAGAAGCAAAATGAAACTGGACAAGATGACATATACATTAGCCAAAAAATGTATTAGATGAAAAGTTGGGGAACATTGACCTATGCTTCACAAATCCACTAGTAGTAACAACGGTGCATTGTAATGTTTCCATGTGTAACTCTGTTAGCCTCGAAATTTCGCAAATAAATAAGTAACAAGAATAATTCATTACTTGTTACCAAAAATTAAAAACTGTACGAAAATGTAACTCCTTGTTAATCACATGACCAGCCAACACAGGTCACCCAATCATTGGTATCTTATGCTAGTGTTCCTGCTGTTAAGACCCTTTTGATGGAGTAACTTTAACCGGTTCGACTCTATTAAATGTACTTACCACCGCCTTGAAAACGTTTGAACACCCAACATTCGGGTTAACACATGTCTTCAGTAGTTCTCTCAAGGAAGGTTCTTTAATCATTCCACGCAGTTTTTTTAGATTTTCTTGAAACTTAAAAGCATCTGGGAAAGCTCCTAATTTGAGGAATACAGATCACGACTTCTGTTAGAAAAAAATATACTTAGAACACAAAAATAACCCAACAGATAGTTGTATGTTCCTTAACCCTTTACCTATAATATCCACGCATTATCCTGCAAACAGGTATTGAGAAAACTCCAACTCATCAAGTAGAAGTTGTTATCGTGATCTAGCAATAAATTATCATAACTGATTTACAAGGAAATGTGTAGCAGGTGGAGGGGAGAATTAACAGTCAGATCTTGGGAGTTAAAGGGTTAAATGACAAGACATAAGTAGCTTCTTGGCTCTTCTCTGAAGACTTTTTATCACTCAAGAAACAACTTACTTGCAAGGGAAATAATCTTTGAGAACACCAGTGTCTCGTTATCCTGTGACTGTGAGAAAAAAAAGTGAAGAAAGAGTTAAACCTATCACTCTAGGAAATTACATATCAATTCTCTTCACTGCCTATGAAACATTTTTCAAAATTATAGCTTTAAGGATTTGGAGCTGAATCAAACAAAAACCCTTAGTTGATAGAACTTGATCTTCTCATCACTTTTTTGCTTAAAAATCTATTAATATTGCTAGAAGTTTCTTTTTGATCACTTCTCGGAGTAAGAGCATTTAACCTGTAGAGGGCTGCCCTAATAAGGACTGTAATAAGGTCTTCATCCAAGCATGACATAATCTTTGTGCTGGACAAAAGGATGTGGTAAGGTACCAGGGGTTGGAGGTGGTTCCTTGTTCAAATAGGTCATGGAAATCAAAGGCCTTGAGTAACGTTTTTCAAATAAATAACAGGGCCAAATCGCTTTGTGAAGAAAAATAAAAGTAGTATAGAAAATAACAAAAAACAAAAGGTCATTGAGAAAGTTTACCTTCTCTCCTGTTGATAACTCAATCAGATCTGCTATGTCTGTGCGTACCCTGAAAATAAAGGAAGTATCATTTTGTTATAGTAGTGTTCCAAAAGCTGTTTTAGCTACAAAGATACCGATGAGCTCAACGTTAGAACAACATAAAAAAATATAGCTCACCTCTGCTGACAAGTCAAAATTCCATGAAAAGCACTACATAGTAAAGGAGAGAAAAGAACTGCCTGTAAATAGTTCTGCTTTTAAAAATAAATATTGAGATTTAACAGCATGTAGCTAAGTAAGGAAAAGACAACTACTGCTCACTTGGCACAAGAGAGGAGGAACAATGGAAGGCTGGAAGCCACAAATACACAGATGGAGGAAGGGACAAAAAGATTGACAAACCAACACACATACAAATATAAGGAAAATAACAAGCAGAGGGAAAGAAAAGGAGCGAAAAGATGGTGAAAATGAAAGAACAAGGAGTGGAGAGGTCAAAAAACAAAACAGATTAAAAAAAAAAGAAGACGAAGAAGAAGAAAGAGATGGGATCAAAAAGGGAATGAGGGGGCAAGTAACTTGATAAAAAGAGATACAATAGACATAAACTTTACCTCACTGCTGCTTCGTCAAGTTTGCAATAAATATGCAGCAATCTTTTCATCTTTTGGTCAGCTTCTAAGCTGACTGGCACCAAGCATCCAATCAGAATCCTTTCCACACAAAGTCTTTACAACGTGACAAAAAAGAAATAATAATATTTCAGTATTTTGACAAACCCAGAGCCCTCCTTATGGAAAATGGATAATACCATCAAAACAACCATTTTCTGCTCCAAAAATGTAGAACATTGCAATGAGTTATTCAAAGCAGTTTACCTGTGGAAATTGGCCTGGAAAATTGTACAAAGCACACAGTTCATTACTCTTTTTTTGCCTGTTCGTTTGTTTTATCCCAACCTGATAAAGCCTTGACTAAAGCATTGCTGAAGTAAGACATGCAATCATCTGGCATAATTTATTGCTCTTCTCCTTGTCTAATAATGCAGTTTTTGTTTGAGTATTAGAAGTAAACCAGGTTTGCTTTGGTTTTTCTTTGCTAAATGATGTGATTTGGTCTGAAAACTTGCACCACCTTCACAAACCATCAGACACAAAGCTGAAACCAATCACATCTCTAGAGTTTGCTTTTTCCTATGATTCAGGCAATCTCTGCTGTTTTTATATGCTAGGTTAGTGATTACTTAGGTTTTAGTTTTATTATGCTCAATCAAAAAACTCTCTATCCCTGCATGTTCTAAGATAGTTTTATTACCTGTTTTCTGGAGTGTTAAGGTAATAGCAGTGAAGTAACTTGCTTGGAACCCAAGATAATTTCTTTGCTGCTGTTCTGTTTGCAGTAGCCCTGAGGATAGAGACAAATGAGATGCTCATAAACAACTTATTGACATGAAAACCAGACAGAGACACTCGCTATTAAATGTTAAGCAATTAACAATTATTCCATAACTGACCCTGTTGTCATTTTCTTGTATAATTTTCCAAGACACATCATTGCTTCTCTCCTGACATGCCACTAGTTCAATCAGGAAACAACAAAGATAGACAAGTTAATAATCGTGAATATGAAGTGGAAAAAAAGAGCTTAAACAAAACAGTGCAGCATGCATAGTGAACTTTTTCTTGTTTTTAGTCCATGACTACATGTGTATCAATCAGGAAATTGATCACTGAATCTGTGTAAGAGTCAGTCGGTCACTCTGTCAGCCTGTCAGTCAATCAATCAGTAAGCCAGACTGTCAGTTTATCAGTCAGTCTGTCTGTCAGTTAGGCAACCAGTCTGTCATTCAGTCAAAAAGTCATTCACCCCATATGTCAGTCAGTAAGTTACTCCATCAGTCTATCGGTTAGGCAGGCAGTCAGTCATTCAGTCAAACAGTCATTCACTCCATCTGTCTGTCAGTAAGTCCGTCAGTCTGTCAGTTAGACAGCCAGTCAATAATTTAGTCAAACAGTCATTCACTCCATCTGTCAGTCAGTAAGTCAGTAAGTCAGTCAGTCAGTCAGTTAGGCAGCCAGTCAGTCAGTTCACCACTTGGTAAGTCAGTCAGGGATTTGGTGCAAACCACTTGGCCACTGCAATCAAAACCTTGCAACTGAATAAATGGAATTACCTTCTTATCTCTTGTTCTCTCACATACATCATTGAGAAGCTATGAAAATAATGATAAAAAAAGAATAGACACATAAATATTGCCTGAACTTGCTGACAAACAGTTTTGTTTTATACCAATACACTTCCACCAGTTGCTTTATGTACCTTAGCAACACTCTGACTCAGTAATGACCAGATAATTTCACAATCATACTCAGGACAAAAGATTTCATTAAATAAAAACACTGCTTCTTTTCTTTCCTTCAGACCTTCTCTCTGCAAAGAGAGTATTACCTGATCAGAGACACCACTGATATTTTCTGCAGCTGCATCACAGATGGTAATGACCACTTCTTGTCGAACCCTCTCATCAGGGTCACGTTGTCTTTCGTGAAGTTTATCTAAAGTGCGAAAAGAAATCATGAACTCCTTTAAAAATTAATTTGTTGAATTGACAGAGTTTGCATGGAATTGCAACAGAAATACTGTTAAACTGTATTTTCTAAACGAAACACCTTTGGGATTTGTTCCCTATAAAGAATATTACAAGTTGTTTAATAAAGTAGTTGAGTTTGTAAGATTGTAGTTTTCTTTTTGTTGATTAAATTATGCTGTAATAAAGGAAACTAACTGCAATAAATTGCATTACATTAAATGCAAATGGTTATCTCGCCTAAGTAAACGATACATAACTGCCAAACGCAGGTCACCAAATTGTGGACCTTTGCCACAAATTCAGTCACCAAAAGGTTTTCTTCTTGTCATAGCAACCAAAACATTAACACTTAAAGAGTGCTGGTAGAATGAACACAATGATCACAAAATGAAGTCTCAAGAATGTTTTCAAACTCACCACTTATATCTGCGACCAAGTCTGGGTGATTTTTCAAAAATTCCTTGCATCTTTTTATACATTCTACACGCACATCCACACTAATATCCACAAATCTAAAAATGAACATTTAAAAAGAAACATGTCCAATGACCTTTCAAGCAAAAATATGCTCACACCATGTTTTTCTACTCTTTTCTAGAAACAAATTTCAAAGACTTTTCCAAGACTCAGATTGACTTTTCCAAGACTCCAAATTTCACCTTAAATCCTTCCATTCCTAGGATTTTTAAATAAATTCTCCCCACAGTCTACATACATTTCTTTTAACATAAATTCTAAAAACTTTATTGCTTGTGTTAAGCATATTTCCAGTCCTAAAAAATGTCAAAATAAAATTCCAGGACTTCCCAGGTTTTCCAGGAGTGTTATGAACTCTCATAGTAACATTGTTACATATAGCTATCCCTACATCACCCTCAAGGGGGAAAACTAGTCCAACCCAGGTCACTCCTGAGCAACCTGTCATGTGTAACTATAATTTAGATTGGATCAAATGTTTTTCCTCCTGACCACTAGAAGCTAAAATCAGCAATTTCACCTTCCCAAGTAGGAGTTCCACAAAGCTTTATTTTGAGTTGCTAGTTCAGAGTCCTGCTCAGAAAACATCTGGCCAAGTAATTCAGTCACTGACAATCTCTCTTCCACATCCTCACTCTGCAAAAAAGATTTCACCCCGAAATGCAATTACTGCAAGTACTGCTTAGGCAAAACCAGACAAATTATGTTAGCTTTGTATCATTAAAAAATGTTAAAATCAAGCATTTTGCTGAATCCTAGGATTTTGTTATGTAGAAAAAACTACTTTCTTCAAAATGTACCAATCTACAGGACATTAAGACTGTGGGTGTAAGCACCTTTGGCCAAATCTAGGGCCATTTTGACTTAACTCCAATTTTCCTTGTAGCCTCCAAAGAAAATGGTCTTCAAAATAGCTCCAAACCATCTATTACTAAACTCATTGAAGCAAGAATTACAAAGGGAGTCACTAAAACTACAAGAAACAAGATGCCTGAAGGCATCAACGTGGGACGTACAGGTCATCATCTACAATCACTTAAGTTTTACATGGAAAAAAATAAATTTAATTCTGACTCTTCAAAGTAGAGGAATGAAATCGCCAGTCAACAAGACAGGATATTATGTGAAGTCACCCATCCAAATAGTAACCTCAGCCAATAGGGCTTAATTTCAGTGAGAAGTACAAGCACATGACTAATTTCCATATCTGACCAGACAAGCAACCTAATAACTACTTACAGACTTCTCAAACAGTAACAGATTACAAACAAAGAAATTACCTTCAATTTAAACTCCAGCTGAGGAACCACTGAGAGCAGAACACTTGGACAAATTCTGTTCAACTCCAAAATAAGGTCATAAATGTTTTCTGCTAAAATACTGTCTGCTGTCTTACCCAGAGCTAGACTGCTGTTGAAAAACTTAAAAAGAAATGTGGGCCTGATTATTAAAAAGGTTCATTCGTTTAACCTATTAATTAATAGATTGATGACTCTCTTGAATGCTTGCATTGTATAACTCTCTCCTGCTCAGTGCCTTAATAAGCTTCTGTGTCACTGCTCTTTCCTCTTCTGTCATCTACACCCCCCCCTGCCCCCTGTCCCCCCCCCCAACTATCCACCATCAACCACCTCCAAGGAATACATCCAAACACTACCTACAAAAACTGGTGGATTGGAAATCACATCTTCTGAGGGTTAAAATTCCCTATACATTCTTCTAAACATCTCATATGGTACCAAAAAGGAGGAGTCATTTAACTGTTAGGAGCTTCTTCAGTTTATGATTGCTTCCTTAATTCTCATGACCTTGATGTTTGGTCCAGGGGTGATGCCATAAGGACAAAATAGATGCTGATCACTATTAGGGATTAAAGGATTAAATGTGACACATCCACAGAAAAACTTCAAAGAGGTTTCTTTTAAAACCTTTTTACAATTAACATCTGTATCCCAATCTCTGCCTTTCTTAGGATCCTTAATTAATAGAGACCATTAAGGCTCTGTTCAAATCTTGCTCAAGAGCACCACAATGTACTTTAGTATTATTAATAAAATCAACACCCTCTCACCATTTGCAAGTATGGCTCTAAAGAAGATGAAGTTCTCTTGATGAACTCACAGGTAAGTTTATATGCCACAACGTTTTCACTCTGGAGATAAATAAAGAGTACTTATCAAATCATAATCAATTTTAATTAGTTATAATTATTAATAATTAATTAATAATTATTAATAATTAATTAATAATTAGCTATATTAGCTATAATATAGTTATAGCTATGAGTAATTAGTTAATAGTTAAAAAACTAATAATAACATAACCTGAACGATAAATTTTTGGTAAACCCTTTAACTCCCAAAATCTGATTGTTGATTCTCCCTTCTAGCTGCTACACATTTCCTTGTAAATTAGTTATGAGAATATAATGTTGGATCAGGATAAAACTTTTATCTGATAATTTTGAGTATTCTCATAACTTGTTTGCTGGATAATGTAAGGATATTATAGGAAGAAGTTTCACGTCGATCACTTTTGGGAGTTAAAGGCCAGGTTAAGTTAGAGAGTTTTTTTTTAAGCTGGAATTTTCATCTATGGAGAGTAAGTATTTTAAATTGGAAATCATTCATTTGCAAAAATTTCAAGAAATGTGAATTAAGGAACCCACAGCACCATGGATAATACTCTTAACAGTTCTCACCTAAACCATTCAAATAAATCTCAGACACAAAACAAATGATTACAAAAGTGACAAAATAAAATAACTATCTAAAACTTTCCCAATGCAAATAAGAAAATTAAAGTAAATTAAATAAAATAAAGACAAAAAAATCTATTAAGTTTATGTCCAAATGCATTTAACTATGTTACAATGAAGTTGACTCAAATTAAATTACTTTATTAAAGAATTATTGCTAATCTGACAAGTCAAAAAAGGGAAGAAACTGACCAGAAATAGAGCTTACCTTTTGTGGTTCAATGATGTTGACAAGTACTGTGTCAAGAAGCTCCTGAGGAATTGAGTCCCCTTCTTGTATAATAGGACACATCACATCCAGCATAAAATTCTGAATTTTGTTTGAATGGTTTTCACTAAAAACAGGGTTAAAATGACAATAAGTAGGAATAAATTGAAGCAACTGTTAAACTCCTGTCATCAATTATCAACCCTATATGCCGTGACCATTAATTTTGGGTTGCTAACTTCCCTATTCCCGACTTCCATTCAAACCTTTAACTCCCAGAAATGATGAACATTTAATTTCTCCTCACAGTATCTGTATGTTATCCAGCAAACAGGTAATGAGAAAAATCAAACTTAAAAAGTAGACATTGTTATCTTGATCTAACACCAAATCTTTTCAACTTATTTTTACATGGAAACACAAAGCAGCTGAAGAGGAGAATTAACAAACAGATACAAGTCTACACTGAAAACATTTTACTCACTTTACAACTTGGAAGAGCACTTTGAATAACTGCAGTATAATATCTTGAAAGTCCAGCTCAAGGCAAATATTGAATGACTTAACCAATGCTAAACTCTAAAACAGAATGAAATAGTGCAAAATTTACTCCCAATATAAAAAAAGAACAAACTACAACAAAGAATGTTATAATCCACACACCTCTAAAAGATAGAAGGATTTCTTGGATAGATTAGATTTGGTATTTCCAAGGCCTTTTAACTGATTTGTCATCATAAGAAACACTGCCTGGAAATAAGAAGCACCAGTTGTTGGTTAGGAGTAAAGTTGCATGAACACTGTGTTATATTACCTAACCTGTCTAGCACCACTCACATAATCCCATAGAAAATCATGATAAAAGCTGACATGTGTAAGGCAGAGCAGGTTGTAGGCCCTTACACAACTTTGTTGCCAAAAAAAATTGTTTAATATGAACTTAAAGGAAACAGAAATAGGAATTATGAGTTTCTCATCCTGGCTTGAAAAAAAAAATTTATAGCAGTTTTCACTATAGAATCTTTTTTGTGGTTATTCCATGAGTGCCCTTGTCAATCACATCCTATTTACAAGTCAGTTGAAACAAAGCTTTTGAAAATTTCAACACCTTGTAGTTATACCAGGCCAGAGGGGAGAATAGTTAGTTCTTATTCATAATGTACAGATCTCACTGTGCTCAGTCTGTAATTCATGACCTTGAATCAAATATTTTTGCATCCAGTCAATAGGTAAATATCATGGGAGACTATCTTGCACTTAAGTTTGAAGGGACAAATTCTCTTGCTTTCAGATGGTAAAAATGTCTGCAAGGAACTAGTTTTATTTTGTGGGATTTTTCTCTGCTGGAACTCATTTTTGTGGATCAATTTTTTTTTTGCTATCTTTATCATTACATCTGTGCTAAATCTGCAAATATTGAAACTTGAAACAAACTTTTATAAGGATATGTATCAAGACAACAGAGGAGAATTTGCTTGCTGACTATTTAGAGCCCTCTTTCTATTGGTTGAATTACTGGCATAATAATAAGTGCAAGATGTTGAGAACAGTTTTTAATCATGAGCTTGAAGCAAATGATTTGCAAATTTTTTAAGAGTTCTCCCAATATCCCAAGTCACTTATTACAAAAGTAAACTAATAAAAAGTGGGGCTGATGCTTTTATAAAATCAACTTTATTTTCCCCGAAGTTTACCAGTGCAATTAACAATAGCTCTTTGACCAATCAGGGCCCTCACAATGTCTCAAGTTATTTCATAAAAGGCTTTATTACCTTTAATTGTTCTTCATCATAGGGAGCCTCTGGAGCATGGATCCTAAGGATGTCAGCAAGGCAACATGCAGCATGTGCCTTGACATCTTTATCTCTGTGTTTTAGAATGAATGGGCTGACAAGAGACTGTGCAACTGTCCCATATTTTTCTGCTCGATCTGTCTGATCTGCATTAGACAGTTCATGAGCTAGATTCTATCAAATAAATCAAATTAGTAATATATATATGAACATCCATTTTCCTTTCTTTTCCTTAAGCATCAGTTAAACCGTTTTTCCAGTCAGTGGCAGATTAATAATTCCACTAAGTTTTCATACTCAAGTTTAACACCTTAACAAAACAAGGGGTATGACTATCCAATGAGCTTCATAATGAGAGAATTTAGAATCTGCCTATTTACAGCTCATGTGAAGCTAATAAATCGATCATTTTAAGTTTGTCTTAATCAGGCCATTGCAAGATTTACTGTATCGAAAACAAAAGTCAATAATAAATTTAATTTAGTCCAATTTGCCTGATCACCCGTGTGAGGACGATTTTTTGAACGAAAATGAGGAGTTCTCGCAGTCGATTAGCTAAAAATATCAATTACGATTAATTGTTTTACTTAGATGCTTCTTGAAGCTGCACGATTCAAATCAACCAGTCTCGTTTCGTTCGTTTACGGTATTCTCATATCTTGTATCAAAACAAATATTTATAAACCCGCAATCTCCCACAAAATTCACCTGTGTGTCGCGGTGTATACGCTTGCCGCTCATTTTAGTCATTCCTAAGGTTACCTACACTCACCTTGAGTCGTTTAATAAGTTCGTCTTTACTAAGTCTCTCATGCAGGTCTGTGGCAGCGGCTCTCTTCCTAGGCGAAGAACCAGATTCATTGCGAGGCATATCGAGTTGGTGCTGAAATTACTTCGAGCTTTACGACCTCTGGCCTCCTAAAATCTGTGTAAAATTGTTCACTGGAGAGTTTTTTTCCAAACCTAGACTACAGACGTCTCTATCTGTGGTAAAGTATCGATTATTTTCTATGATAATACAACTTTCATGGTGGTGTTTTGTCCCCTTCTTTCAATCGAACACTTTGAACCAATTGGCGCGAACAGCCCATAATAATCCTGTCGCTGACATCTGTTTTGGAGATGAACGCGGGCCTGCGCTTAGAATTTTCAGATGAAAAAAATCAGACTAAAAAACAACCCTATGAAATATTCGGCTCCCCGATTGAAAAAAAAAAAACCCGAATATTTTGTTACCCTCTCTAAATCCTTTATTATTTATGGCAAATAACCTGCAAAAACGATGCACGCAGTGAAACGAACCCATGGGAGTGGAGGGACAGGGGGGCCGGGAGGGTAGGGATGGAAGTTCAAGGGTATTCTTTATATATAGACATAGACGAGTTTGCGGAGTTCAAATTTGTCCTAGACGGAATGTTAAAGCTAGAGTAACTTATGAAACCTCAATACATTCTGTTGACCATTAAAATCTCAGTCTTGGCCTTGAACCCACTGTTCTGGCTTACCTAGTTCCCCTTTCTCATCAAGGACAGTTAGGTACACAGCAAGCTCAACTACTTAGCCAATCCGTGCATTTACAAAATTGATCATCTTTTAGGACAATAATGACAGAAATCTGTTTTATCTTCTTTTCTTTTCCTCTTTATATTATAGACTTTGAATATAAATACCAGGAAACAACTCGATTACATGTAAGACTTCACCAGACTTCGCCCTGAATCACATTATGACGTCACAAATCTTCATCAATTTCGCACAATTTCGCAGAAATGAGCTTTAAGAATCCAACTTGTCTAGCGGCAGAGGAAACATGTCACGCCGATGTGTTTTTTCATTTTCACTACCTTTGCATTCTTCATCGAGGGAAAACTGTGCGCTCTAATTTTCTATCGACCTCAACCAATATTGATGAAAAAATCAGATGAAGAATTCGAAGACGACGAACAATGCTGCTCATCGTCTGATACCCGAAGAAGTGCCGATGAGATATCGATTGACGCAGAGGACAATGAAACAGGTTTACCATAGCTAACTAAATTATAAGTCAGGTCATGACGATTAGAGTTAGCCACAAAAAACCCAAATTCCACACAATATCTTGCAATTTGGCTTAGTTTTTAATTTTTTCTTAAGAAAAAAGCCAAATTCTGTTCTCAAATTTATCTCGATTTAAGCTGATCTTAATCTCTATCAGTCTAACCATCGACTTATAAATTACACTATCGCACATAGCAAAAATTGTGACCGCAAAAGGTTGTATCGAGAAGGGCGAATTTTCTTTCTTTTACGAGAAGTGGGGGTGGGGATACTCAGCCAAGGAAGGCTCATTGTTTATATTAGCGCTATACCGAGGCCATAGCACGTGCACAAACATGGAGCGCGGCTACAAAGTCTACCCGGGAGAAACTCACCTAAAGAAGGACGGAAAATTAGGGAGAGAAAATACTGGAGACTTTTAATGCCCTAAATTCGAGGTATTTTCCTCATGTCGCAAATATTTAAGCTTATCTTTACATTTGTAAGGCTCAAATGTCAGTTTATGGTAACATTTTGATTGCCTAACATTAACAATAGTTGCATACTTGATGGACATGTTCCTCGAGAGCGTGAGCAAGCGATGGAGTTTGGTTCTCTTGACCCCATTTTAGCAATCGTTTCCGTCCATGTGTGTCGCGGAACTCTGGGGCTGTTTATACAACTACTCGAGCCATATCTTCAATTGATAGTCTATCAACGACGAGTAGAGAAAGACAGATTGATTTTTTTTTTATGTAGGAATCAATGCATGAATTTATATTCTTACGCCAAAGTTCGTATGGTATATCGCGAGGCTTTTGTTCTAGGGTCTGCGTTTTTGACATATTCTTGTCCATAATCTCTGAATTGTTTTCACTGCTGATCCATATATGATAGAGTGTAACTTCATGTTCATCGGTTTTAAAGGTGATATTTTACAGCTAGGTGATATTTTTTAGCTAGCGATATATGCCATGAATTTTTTCCAGGTACTAATCTATGAAAGCTTTATCTTTAATATTTTGCGCTTATTATATTATGGTGAACTTTAAAGCCCATTTAAGCGGCCTGCCTTTTGCTATAAGTCCATTTTATTGACCTTGTAGCTTGTTGAAAGTATACTTCATCGAACTTTAAATGGCAATATTTTTTGCAAATTCGGTGGTTTTTTTAACGACATGTATCATCGCAGAATGATGTCTTAACCTCAAACTATTTCTTTGATTGAAAATGTTGCATAGATTTGGAAGGGATAGCCCCAGTCACATTCTGCTGGGCAATTATTGCAATAGCGGCACATAATTGGCTTGGCAAAGTATTCGGTTTTGTGATAATCCTATCATTGCTCTATCAGGATAATACTTAATGTGATCTTTATTTAAGACTTTTTCTGACCACCTTCCTCCATAGGCATATTCAAATATTTATTAGAGACATGTACTGGATCCTGTCAAAATTGGACAGGTTTGCTTGTGCCAGCAAACTTTGAAAGGGATCTTTTGAAAAATTTTAATGGTGTTATGCACTTAGCTAAGTATATGACCAGGTCTGCCATGTTTTGAACTACTTTATGCTTGTGTAATGAAATATTGTTGCTTGCCTCATGATGACGTCACATTTATGATTAATCTCAAGGATTCCAATACATACTGCTGGCTTTTATAGGTGATGAGATCAACTTGATTCATGTCACTTTTTAAAGCATTAGGCTTTGTTTTGATCGGCTGGTATTGAACAGCTGTGATTGGTACATTTCAAAGACGTGTTCCTTCAGAAGGTTGCTGGGGCACAGTTGTCCTACTGTTGTCGTGTTTTTCGATCATTGACAACCATGCTTGTGGGATTATACTCTACTGTCCCTTTTCATAGTATTGAAGTGGTCATCTTTTATGGTGAAAGAAACTTGAGCTCAATGACATGACTGAGGACAGCAGAATAGAAATTCCACAAGCATCAATTACAACAATCAAGGAATACAACGAAAAGTGAGCTGTGCCGTAGTAAAGGTGCACATCTTGTAATGAACTAATACAGTTGAGCTGATAAAGAGATGTGTATCCAGTCAACCCTACTCCCTGAAGTTACTGACAATATCCAATCAAAAAGTTGTGATTATTGTTTCAACTACAAAGATAGTGAGTTTTATCGAAAATTTCAGTTCATGCAAGTGCCCAGTCTACAATAGTAGTTTTTCAAGGAAATGAAGCAAAGGCAAAGTTTTAAAAGTACTCAATATTATGAGGGGATCCTAGCATGTGGTGTGTATTGTGCAGAGACAGGATTTTCCTTAGTGAAATATATATTTTTCTCTTTCTGGCATTTTTTTTTATTTAACAGCTAGCACAAGTGGTATAAGCTCAGAGATAGTTTCAACAGAAATGCCACCGAGGCGGAAAAGAAAGACCACCACAAAAGAAGAAACAAAGCTCAAGAAACAGAGAGAAGACTGTGTAACAAGGTAGGCATAATATCAATTTGCTTTTAAAACTCTTTAACTCCCGATCAAATTTGTTATTCTCCCTAATGTCAACTGTACAATTCTTTTAATGTTAGTTCAGAGAATTTTGTATTGGATCAACTAATTTTCCCCAAATTGATATTTTTCTTTATTCCCATCACTTATCTGGTTGATATTTTATTGATGTTGTAAGGAGAAATTCTGTTTTGGTCACTCATAGGAGTGAAGGGGTTAAATATAACTTGAGTGACTATAGCTTAGAGTTTTTGTTTTTTATCATATTCCTGTTTCCGAATTTTCTTGTACATGTACTACCTCCCACTGATGCAGCATACTAACAGTTTCTTTAGAAACCTGCCCCTGTCCAAATTAAACCACAACAAATATTGTCTCTTATTTATCTCAAGTGGAGAGCTTCAGGCTAGCTGCTTGATAAAAATTGTTCTTGAAAGCTGCCCAGATACACATTTTCACAAATCAAAAGCCAAGCAAGCTTTTTCTGTTACATAATTAGTTCTGATTCTTATTTTTTCACAGTGATACTTTAGATCTTTACCTGTGAACACTCAATGGACCTAATTAGACAATAAGCTTATTCTGATAGTTTGAAACTAATTTTCAGTTACCTGTCTGATGCTAATGATGTTTATGAAAAATTTTTGTTTCTCCAGTATCAAATCTCAAAGTTTAACTGAAGACTTAGGAAAACCCTTTTCTTTGAGGCGATGTAGAGCATGGTTCGAACATTATGCAGGTATTTTAAAGTACCCTTGATTGTTGTGAATTACCTTTTGGACACTGTGATACCTCTTCGATTTGAGATGTTACTTTTTTTTCCATATTCGTAGGTGAAGATGAACCAGACACAATTGGACCTGAGGGAGTTGAAAAGCTTTGTAAGGACCTTGGTGTGAAACCAGAGGATGTAAGATTGCTCTGCTTCCTTCAGCAATTGTCTAAAATTGTGCATTTTCTCCTTAATGTAGTTGAACCTCTTGTAAGCAGTCATCCATAGGAATCCAAAAAACAGTCGTAACTAGAGCAGGGCGCTCTTATTATAGGTGACCAAGCAATGAAACAACAGACTGAGTCTGTTCACTTATGAGAGCTTTTATCTTCTTAGCATAAAACTTGCAAAATGTAAATATGCAAAAATTTTGTTGTACTTTGATATTGAAAATCACTAATTGTAGCTAATCCATAAGGGTTTAAAAAATTCCCAGAATCAATTTAATTTGGCAGAGAAGTGTGCAAATAAGACTGTTTGAGTGGTCACTGCTAAGAGCAGTCGCAAGAAAGCCTCAACTGAATCAGATATTTAAAGAAAATATGTTTCCATTGTACAACTCGGCACGATGAATAAAATGATAGGGAATGAAATAAAGATGTCCATTATACATGGAAACAATTCAGGTTGAAGAACTTTTCACCCACACAGATTAGTTCCCTTTAGCTTGTAATCTGTGGAAACACCATGGTATTCATGATGACGCAACCACCTACTATTTCTTTTTTAACTTTGACTTTATGAGATGTAAACATAGTGGTGAGTTTTTTCTTACTTTTTTATTTACAGACCGTAATGCTTGTTATAGCATGGAAACTTCAGGCAGCAACAATGGGATTTTTTACTTTTCATGAATGGAGCAAAGGAATGCTCTCAATAGAGTAAGCAGTTCAAGTATTTAATTCTATAAACCTTTAACTCCCACGAGTGACCAAGACAGAATTTCTCCTTTAAAAAAAATGGCGAGAACCAAGTAACATCAGAAGAATTGTATTGCAGACAGTAAGGAGAATTACTAATGAGATCTTGGAAGTTAAAGGGTCAAGATTACCTAATAGAGTAGTTTTGCCTGTCTTTAAAGTTCCTTAAACCTTTTAATCATTTATCTCCCAGAGGGGATCAACATGTAACTTCTCCCTATAATATCCATACATTATCCAGCAAAAAGGTAATGAGAGTACCTAAACTAATCAAGTAAAAGTTGCAATCTTGATCTAACACCAGATTCTCATTACTAATTCACAAGGAAATGTCTAGCAGCCAGAGGGGAGAATTAAAAACCATATCTTAGGAGTTAAAGGGTTAAAGCCACTATTTTTAACATTTTAACAAGATTGGGAGAAAAAATGACAATTTTTGAAAACCTGAATTACACCATCAAAATGTCTTTTGAACAGGGCTCACCTGTACTTAGCATGAAAGGGAGGAAGTGGATGTAACCCTTCAATGAATTATATATTTACTTTTACCAGTTTACCTGGGGTATATAATCTCTTTAGCAAATAAATGTGGAAGTGAATTAGCTACATGTATTTTTGTTGTTGTTTTTTTGGACAGATGTGATTCTACAGCTAAACTTAAAGCTCAATTAAATGGCCTTAAGTCATTAACAAGGGACAGTGCAACTTTTAAAAAGATTTACCGCTATGCATTTGACTTTTGTAGGGTAAGTTTGAGATTCTTCTTTTTGTCTGATGTAGATTACTTGCACTGCTGTTGATCTACTTGTCAACATTTTGCAATATTCATAGGCAAGTACCTATTGAGGAAAAGTGTTAATAAAAAAAGCCACTGAATTTGGACGTTGGCGGTTAATGAAGTCATCAGTTCCCTCATGAGCACATTAGAACCCCTTCAACTCTTATGACTCACTTCAGCTCAATTTCTCCTCACAGTATTATTCATCAATTAGGATTTTTAGTTGATCCAATACCAAATTATCTGAACTAATATCAGTAAGGATGTAACTAAGGAGAAATCTCCAGCACTAAGTATTTGGACACAGAAAACACCAGTTTTACTGTGAAACTTAAAGGTGAACACATTAATTTGTTTCTGACAGGACCAGTGGTGAAAATTTATTCAAAGTAGCTATGTAATTTCTTAATTTCAGCTATAACCATGGAAATATGTTTTGTGTTTAGCAGAGAATATGAGGCATTTCACTGCCTGTATTTTTACTGGCTGTGAAAGATCTCGCATTTTTTGTTCAACAATCATCAGTTGGTTGGAAATGATTTGCTATTTGATCAGTAATGAAAGAAAAACTTGACAAATTGGTTTTTGTCTTGTTTTGGTTTTAAATATATACCAGTATAGGTGCTTGATATGATTTAAAAAATCATTGGTGAGAGTGAAGGAAAATGTCTGTGGCATGTTGAGTAGTAAATCTCAGGTACTTTGTTGCCTGTTTTTATACATGCTCTGAAATATCTGACATTTATTATTCCATGTGTGTGTAGATATCAGACATCCACTTTTTTCTATGCTAAATTTATACAGACTGTAATTCATCTGTTAATAAGTATTATTTAGTGTGTGGATGATCATCAAATGGAGCAAGTAACATGATTCCTGGTACTCTATGTGTCTTTTCCACAAGCTCTACAGTATTATAGGTAGTTATTATTGAATCAATTATCAGGTAGAGCTGAGGAAAATACTTGTATATGTTGTAGACAAATGATATTCAATACTTAACCAATCAACATGTACTGTTACTATTGCATTTGTTGTACCCTGGATATGATGGAAAGAAAAAGAGCCATAATCCTCTTCTGTTACTTTCTCTTTCAAACAGAATCAAGACCAGCGCACATTAGACTTAGATACTGCTGTTACAATGATTCAACTTTTGCTCCATGATTCATGGTCGTTGCTAGATGATTTCTTACAATTTTTGCAGGTAGGTAGGTTATCATGCAATGTTGCTTTATCAGCAGCCTATTTATATCATTATTTCTTTTTGGAACCCACCCATAAATTTTTGGGCAATTCAATGGGCTACTTTATGTCATGTGGTGCAAAATCAAAGGACAGTAATCATGCAATAACCCTCATCTATGTGGATATTTGCCCCCAATTATTCCCGTTGGAAAGGAACAAAGCCAGAAGAAAAAAAGGCAGCCCAAGAGTTTCACTTTTTCATCTTTATTACTATACATGGAAGAAAAGTGAACTCATTTTTTAAACTCAAGTGAGAGGGATGTGAAAAAGCAAATCTCAAACACTGCTTCGCAAAATACAAAAATGTCAACAAAATTTGCTGTCAACATGCAGTATGAAAATTAATGGGAGGGCTAGATAAAACCCCTTCTTGCTTTCTGGTATGTAAGCTAGTAATGTCTTTGGCAGATATACTCTCCTCAAAATTTTACATTTGTCCTTGAGGCCTTGTTTCTCAGCAAAATATTCATTTCCAGACAGTATCTTAGCCATGGACACCATCAGCTGACATAGCAGTTGCCTGAGGGTTTTTTTTTTTTTTTTTTTTTTTTTTAATTAACTTACTGCACCATGCCTTTTGAGGAAAAACAAGAATTGTGAAGTTAGAAATATTAATCAGGAACACAAGAGAAAGTTGAGATACATTTTGTATGGATTTGTTAAGTCTTTGCCTTTAACTCCCAGAAGTGACCAACATGTAACCTCTCCTTATATTTTCCATATATTTTCCAGCAAATGAGTAATGAGAATACTCAACTTATCAGGTAGAAGTTGTTGTCTTGAGCAAACACCAAATTCTCATAACTAATTTACAAGGAAATGTGTAGCAGGTAGAGGGGAGAATTAACAGTCAGATCTTGAGAGTTAAAGTGTAAAAATGGTACACAATCAGGTTCTCAAGTTCTGTCCTTTTTTGGCAAATTGTTTGTGTAAAGAACTCCATGCCAGACATGGAAGACACATAACTATCTAAACTCCTCAATTTCTAAATGAGTATGCCTTTGTGCTTTTTTCTCCTTAAACTTCTCAATATTTTGATCAAATTGTTAGAACACTTTGGAATTAAGTGATTTGGCCAGTCAGTTTCAAACAACTTTATGAATTTTTTTATTGATTGATGACAAAATTCTCTTCATGAATGGAGGCTTATGACTAAAACGTTCTGATTTATGGCAAGTGGCCCAAGCCTTGGACTTGTTGGCTGTTACAGTAATAAGAAAAACCCCAAATTTTTGCTTAATTGATCTGGTCATGTGGCTGTCTGCTTACAGGACTGCTGTTACATATGAATAATTTTTGCATTTATTTAAGGATATTTCTTTCTTCCCTGCAGAATTCAAAATATAAAGTTTTAAACAGAGACCAATGGTGTAATGTGTTGGAATTTAGTCGATCAATACTTCCTGATTTGTCAAATTATGATGAAGATGGTGCCTGTAAGTTTCACATTTTTTGGATTTTTGTTGTAGTTAAAGCAACATAACTGCAAGGCAGTCACACTCTCAGGGTACATGCGGGTCCTGGGAAACCTGGAGAGTCCTGGAATTTTATTTAAACATTTTGCAGACCTGAGAAGTCCTGGTAAAAAAAGACTACCAGTCCTGGAAAGTGCCAAAAATCTGCTTAACTCAAGCAATGAAGTTTTCAGAATTTACGTAATAAGAAATGTATGTAGATTATAAGATGAATGAAAGGGTTTAAGGACAAATTTGGAGTCCCGGAAAAATCAATCTGAGTCCTGGAAGAGTCCTTGAAATTTGTTTATCAAAAAGGTTACAAACCCTGTGCTCTGTGTTTTAGTCCTCTCTAGCCTGTAACCTCTTGTTAAGGCTGGTGCAATGAGGAAATTAAGATGAAAAACAGAGGAGGGGTCCCCTGCCCCCACTGGCCACTTCACTTACAGCCAGTTCCTCCTCTGTCCTTCTATCTCTGCTGACAACAAGTCTAGTTCTTGCCAGGTCATTAACCTTTGTTTTTAAGCTTTACACTTTCTCCTCATGATGTCCTTTTCCATACAGGGTGTAGAGTAAACTGTTAACATGTGGCATGAAAATTTATAGGGAATGTTATCTTGGAGATTGATGATAAGTTGTTCATGAGCTTTGCTGAAAAAAAAAATGGTCTTCTAATTATTATTAGAACCAAAAAAAAGACAATCAAATTTTAAAATTCTTTACGACTGATCAATAACAATTTCCTTTTTTTTTTTTTTTAGGGCCAGTTCTTATGGATGAATTTGTGGAGTGGTATCATCACAAATACCCTCCTCAATCGTCTTCAGCCTGAAATTGTCCATTTTACAAGAAGCAATTAATACAACTGGAAAAAACACGGCAATTTATTTAAACTCACAAAAAGTGGAATGCTGTTGGTTAAAGACAGAGTTTCATAAAAGGGCCTGCTGCTGCAGTGCTTGGCAGATAATGACTTGATGTGTCTGCTTGGCTCATGAAAAGAAGGAGAAGGGAAAAGATAAGAACACCAAGAATATTAAAACAAAGCGTTGATCCAGTTTGTGTTTTCTACAATAGCAAAGAAAACTGAAAATGAATATAATTTGATAGGAATCATTAAATCAATTGGTTTGATGGCAACTATGGCTTGTTTGAGTTCACATACCAACATTTTGCAATGCCAGCAAATTGAAGGACTCCATTGCTGCTAAAGTTCTAGATACAAGATAAAGTTTCGTTTACAATGACATGAAGCTCTGCCTTCAGAGCTTTATATTTCAGAGAGCACCTTTCAACTCTTGGAGTATTTGCTTCCCAATTATTAAATATCATTTATTTTTCCATTCAATTTTTTGCAATCAGTTGAGACAATTTAACATAAAATCACATCAATATTAGCAAGTTTCGCTTTGTAATGCCTATTTTTTAAACCTGACCACCTGATGAGGAAGTAAGCAGTGGAATGAGAGATTTATATGATTAGCATGGGCAGTGAATGACAAGACAATTTTCATTTTTGAAGACTAAAAGCCCTTGTCTAAGTGAGACTAACAAGTGTTAGTAACACTTAACTTATTGGTTCTTAATATCAGGTCAGTTAAACGTTAAGTCAACAGAGAACAATGGAGATGCCTTACTGTTTATTGGGAAGTCCCAAGTGCACAAGTTGTTTGGTGTTTTTTGTTGCCTAGAACAAAAGTTTATAATTAAAGACCAGTTTCTAGACCTGTTTGTGTTGAAGTTCTTCTAGTGGTTTGTCTCCTCTTTAGGAAAACTGTTGCGCAAGCAGTGCACGGCTAAAAATAATAGAGATCTGGGCAATGAAATTCCAATTATAAACGAAAGCTTCCTATCCCTTGGTTGCGGGATAGTTGGGCTCCAGAAAAAGTGATAGCTTCAAGGAACAAATAACTGTGACTTTTCTCTCAAAGTCGTGGCTTTGGTACGTGAGGAATATTTTGTTTGTTTCCGTTTGGAAGCGGAAAGATGGTGTTATTTCAACCAGCTTAGATCACTCATAATCTGTAAATTAGTGAGGCACCTTTATTACGTTATTGACAATTAAAAATCTTGGATAAACATCATCCTTTATGCGCTAACTGAAGAAGACCCAACCTTGCTAAAGGACACATCCGACTTGCACCTTGAGATTGATACCTGGAATAGTGAACTAAAAAATCGTGGTGAACTCGATAATTACTTTCATAGAGGAAAAACTGACGGCGCTAAACGATACAAGTAGACTTTTACAAGTTTGCTATAATACAAGTGAGATGGAAAAATTCACCAATCAAAAACGGTTAAAGCTTAATATTTTACAAGATCATTCCCTCTTTGTTCTGATAAGAATTCAAGATGTCATTTGTCTACTGTTTCTTCTTCTTGCGACCTCTCCCATCAGGAGTGCCATCGGCCTTTCTTTTCTTTTCATCCTTGTTCGGCGTTTGAGCCTGCGATGGAAAAATACGAAATAAGTCGCAATAATAGATGCACAAAGCAGTTTATCGGAGGTACTATAGAAGGGCGCTTCACACTCGTTTTTTCCTTGCAGCTCTTACGTTTCAAGACCCAGCGATTAATTATCAAACTTTCAGCCAATCAGAGAGCACTGACACAGTCACGTGGCGCACCAAATTAATCCTAGTTTTTCATTGGTCTAGCAGATGGAAACGCTTCTAAGTTCGTCATTAGCAATCTGGTCTAATCCCCTCGCGTGTTTCTATCCTTTAAGCGGAAGGTAGATTAGCGGGTGACAAAATAAGACTAAGACTTGTCATATATTTCATATCAGAACCCACAAGGTGTCACCTACCTTGGGTGTTCCCCCAGCAGCCTTTCCTCGTTTCTTTCTCTCAGCTTTTTCTTTCTCCTCAAGTTCCATCATCTCTCGTTCAATCAGTGTTATCAGCGTGTTACAACGGCGCTGAAGCTCCTGTAACGACAACAGTCGTCAAAATAAGTTGTAGCCTTCGAGCTTCCTTTTATTACTGCTGCGACACCAGCCTTTCTTAACCCACAAGAAATTCTGAGTGCTTGAGTAAAGCGAGCCCACGAAAGGTCTGGCACCAACCATGAGATTATTAGTGCCAGGCCTCAACTCGTCTCAAATCTTCCTAAATCTTAACAAAAATAAAAGATCGAGAGCGTTTTCCACACCTGAGCTGTCCTGGATTTCAGGAACCAGTCAAACCGGAACTGAGGAGCACTTCTACAAGCCATTCTCAGTTCTTCATACACGTTCTCCTTGTCAAACCCGAGTTTGTGCAGCATGCAAATCTAATGGTCAGAAATATACATTAATTACATTTCAAGTTTGCATACAAGTAGGGCAAATTTCAATCACATGTCCAAATTAATCTATTATCGCATTTGTTTTATTTCTCTTCGATCAATTATTAGCTTAGAAACTTCGAATCATTCTCTCGACCAATCACATCTTAAGCTTTACAACATCCAATCAAAAGGCACTCTTCTTTTCGTTGCCTTCTTCCAAGAAGTTGAACTGTTAGCGAACAAGATATCAGTAAAATTTGTAGTTGGTTGAGCAAAGGCCAATCTCTTACAAGTGTCAACCGAATTAAAGAAGAAAGTTAATAAGAATAGAGCGAACGAGCGAAATTACCTTGGAGATGGCGAACGTTCTTGTGCCAACGTAGCACAAACTTATCTAAACCAATATAAAGAAGCTTTCTTACTAACCAGGAAGCGATCCTCCTCTTCAGTGTAATTCTTTCCTTTGTTTGTTCCGTATGCGATCCTCATCTGGTGGAATGGGGAGCGATAACGCGCCATCTGTAACGCAAGGATAAATTTCCATGAATAAGATGTAGAAAGTTATCTAGGATTGCATCTGGGATTGCATAACTTTGCTATGCACTGTGAGTCGTCTTCAGAGAAAACTCGTACCATTCCCATAAAAAGCTCTAACTAAAACTGAGGTTATTCAATAACATCTAAATAGTTTTCTAAATAACTTTCAAATGTTGATTCGATCGCTTTGATGAATTTCTTACCTTGGCCTCCAGCGCTTTCTTTATGCTGATTCGCCGCTGAATCTTGGCTTCACCTCGTTCAATTTGAGCCATTATCTTCTCGATATCGGTCATTTCGTCTTTTCGCTCCCAAAACACAGCGGAATAAGCCCGCACTTCATCTGGAGTTTTGCCCTCAACTTCCTGGCAGATGTTGTCCAAGTCATCACGACCGTACTTCTCACACGCTTTGATGAACTGGTTAAACTCACGCTTCGACCAGTTTGTAAAGCCCTAGATTCAAACAGAATAAAATTAGTAATAATTAACGATCAAGAAATGCAGGGTTACGAGATGATGAGTTACATCATACAAATAATCAGACCCAGGAGCATTGCCGCGCTTCAAATTCTCTACGCGTTTGACATTCGCTTCATGTTCCCATAGCTGGACCCCTTAAAACACTTTTCCAGCGCTTTACAACGCTTACATATTTCCCTCGCTTGACTGACACTGGTTACATGTTTTCCGCGCTTGACACCGGTTACGTGTCTTCCCGCGCTAGACACTGTATACAGCTAACCTTTTCCTGCGCTTGACGCTGGGTACGCTATCCTACGCATGGTGCTGGTGACACGTTTTCCCGCGCTCAGCACCTGTTACATGTTATTCCCACGTAACACTAGTTATACGTTTATCCACCCTTGACAATCCTTACATCTAATCTTTTCCTGCGTTTACAACTGGTCACACGTTTTCTCACGTTTTCTCCTGTACTTGACAAGAGTTACAACTTTTCCCGCGACTGACACTGGTTACATATTTCCCGCGCTCAGCACCGATTACACGTTTCCAGCAATATACCGATGGTTAAAGTTATCCCGCGCTTACAAGGTTGGATGTTATTTCGCGCTAGACACTGGTTATATGTTTATGCGTTCGACTTTCTGAGAGTGGCACCCATTTTACTTCTTCGCTGCAAAGCGTTCACTGCATATTTCCCGTGCTCTGCAAGAGTTACTTGCTTTTCTCTTCATCAGATCGCGAAATGGCAGCTCCGGCAGTCATAACTAGGCTGAAAAAGGAACAGTCACAACAAAAGACAAATAGAAGATACCTCTTGGAGGAGCTGTTCTTTCTCGGCAGCTTCCTCTTCATTTAGCGGTTCAGCATCATCTATTAAACGCTGTTCCTCCTTCTGTCTCTCTGCTCCTTGAGGGTCTTCAGGGTCTCTCGGAACCTACACAAGCAAAACATTGTCAGGTGAGCAAGAAAAACGAAGTAACACCAAGTCAATGAACATACCCTGATGGTTCCTTGAATGCGGAAGCTCACACTGAGGTCATAACATGACTATTCATCTGAGCCCCTAAACTAGTAGTTAGTGCTAATTTGAGTTCGAAGGTTCCCAAAGAGAAGAGGCTAACACTTAGGTTGTAAAAGAACTCTTTATCTGAGCCCCTCACCTTGTAGCCAATACTCTTCCTGTACGCGTAGATCTCTTTGTCCAACAATTCAAACAGCCTCGGTGGGAAGAATTGGTAGTCCTGTACGTTAGGCTGCTTTGGAGGTCGCGGTGCCTGAAAGGACGAGAGCAAAAACATTTTAAAAATAAATTATGAACATTTTCGAAAGCTCAGTTAATTCAAGCCTTCAATATTGCTTGAAAAACGTGTTCAGTTGCCGTGACATTCAACATTAAATGTTGAACTGAGTAAGACCACTAAGCTACCGCTATCCCCAACACAACTAAATCATCAAATTTATACAAAAATTCCTAGTTTACTCATATTTTTCCCACCTTTGGCGCCTTTGGTTCACTAACTCGCAGCATTTCCCTGAAGTAGGCGTCAACAGCATAGTTCGCTTTACGTTCTCTCTTAGGCGGCTCAATCCAGTGCGGGAAAACGCCAGACTGAAAGAGATCAAACAAACCAAACTCAATAAGCACGCTTTCAACAGCGTGTCCACTGACACCAAAATCAAAGCAATCACAACGGCCAATCATAGCATGGAAAACATCACCAGGAGCCAATGAGAACTCAAAGTAAAAACAAGCGAACGACCTAAAGCGCGGGAAGACGCTGGTCGCGATTGGTTTTAGTTTTGAACCTGATTGGTTAAGAAAGTGGCGCGAGTTTTCTAGGCCAATCACGTAACGAGATGGAGCAAAACCAAATCAATCCCAGATTACCTTCGACACTTAATAGAAAATTTCTCTGATGGAGCAATTTTCAGTTACTAGGTCGAAAGACTAAGTCCAAGACAACTTTTATTCTTTACTCCCTCTAATGACAAACCTGAGAAATTCTTCTCACCGTCTCCACCAAAACGATGAAAAACTTAACAAATCGCCACTAACCCACTTAAGAAGTTCACAGATTTCCACTTAAATTTCTTGTTGGACCCTTGAGATATTTCTTCTTGTTTTCATTAGCTGTCCTGGTTGTATGGTTTTAGTTCTTACCAGGAAACTGCATCTTTTTATGGAAATTAACCATCGCATTTCTGTTGCAATTTTCTTATCTAGCAGTTAGTTCTTATTGTTCGCCCTAATTTTGAACACGCTCCTTAATTAATTCTCTCACCTTACGCTTTTCTTTGTAGTCTTCGCCCTCGAAATGGAAGATGCTTTCTGCTGGGGCATCCATGGCCAGTTTCCTCAGTGAGCTCTCGCCAAACTGCTTCATCTTCTCAGCAAGCTCAGCAGTCTTAAAAACAAACACAACAGCAAAATTTTGTTACTAAAGAAAAACAAATCCTTGACCTGAAATCGTAAACCTCGAATCTTGCTCGTAGCTGATTAAAAAAAATAATTCTTTATTCGACGACAGAGCCTAAAATGAATCATCTGTTTTTATCTGTTTATTACAAAAGACACATCACCTTTTTCTCTCCTTTCTTCATGATGGCATCAATGTCTTCGTCTGTAATTTCTTCATCTTTGGAGGCAAACACTTCATCTGCACCGTGTCTGATCATGCTCAGCATCTCATCCTTGCTGACCTTAAGACTAGGATCAACAAGTCGACCTAGGGAAACAAATAAGTTGAAATTTCATCGCAAGTGAGTAAATAAAAAGTGGGTAGCGCAGGACTGTGATAAGGAATTTCCTCTGATGAAATATGCATCTCTTTTTTAGCAGCAATTAGCAGCCAATGTGATCAATCCACTGGCATAAGCTTAAATTTACTCGTATAAACCTGTTAGTGTACAATAAAAAATGATACAAATTGATTGGCTATGGTACTTCCTTTCATTTCTAAAAATAGATTCCTTGTTGCCATGTGATTGTTTACTTCTATGTGATAAGCTGAATCATGCACACATTTTGGTAGTTACTAAACTCTTACTCATTTACTTACGCTCTGCATTTTAAATTATGGTCTATTCTTTAAAGTTTAGCCAACTGAAGGCTAGAGGAAGCAACCACTATGCCTGACCTTGTTGGATAACAATGGCATCAAGTCTGAGTTTCATTTCTGCTCGTTCCACAATCCTTTCTTCAACAGTGCTCTCTGTGATGAACCTGAACACGTGCACCTGCTTCTTCTGTCCAATACGATGGGCACGATCCTGTAAGCAGAGAGAAAGATGTTATAAAGTCTTGACTATATACCAACCCAATGACATGAATGTTTTTGTTGCTGTTGTTGTTCATCACAATATGATTATAAATTCAAGAAATTATTTCCAAACATTGTCTTCTTTAAGATTAAAGTGTACCCATTTGAGGTCTTATTGACTTAAGATGACATCAAGTTAACTTCCTTGATGTAAATTTTTTGTTTACCAAATCAAAATTCACATATACTGCAACACACCATAGCCTGCAAGTCTACTTGAGGGTTCCAATCACTGTCATACAAAATCACAATATCTGCTGTGGCCAAGTTGATCCCCAGACCTCCTGCCCTGGTGCTCAACATGAAAATAAACTTTTCACTTCCAGGCATGTTATATGCATTGATTGCTGATTGTCTCTCCTCATGCGGTGTCTGTCCATCCAGACGGCAGTACTCAAATCCTTTCCACAGACAGTAATCTTCAAGGATGTCCAGCACTCTGGTCATCTGGGAGAAAATCAGAACTCTGGAACCCTCCTGTTGAAGCCGAACAAGCAGCTTGTCTAACACTCTCAGCTTGCCACTGTTGTCTACAAGATGTTGATCTGTTGTGTATGGAGGACCTTTTGGAAAATCAATCCATCAATCAGTCAACTAATTCACCCCTAACAATCTAACTTCAGTATCTAGGTTCTTCATATTGTTCTCTTTACTTTTCCTACAGTACTTACGAGGAGAATTTGTTTAACAATCAGGAGCTTCTTGATTTGCGATAATTCACTTTATTCTTATGACCTTATTGTTTGATTCCGAGGTGATATTGTTGTGAGAAATTAGATACTTATCACTTTTAGGGGTTTAAGGGCTGATCAATCTATCAATTAGTCAGTTGATCAGAAAGTCAGGAAGTCTGTCAGTCAATTAGTTGTTGGATCACTTTGTCAGTCAGCTATACATTCAGTCAGTTCATCGGCCATCAATAGGACAGTTGCTCTATCAGTCAAACAGGTTCCATCCGTCTGTCAGCACGGAAATCAGTTAGTCTGCCAGTCAATCAGTCAGCCTGTGCTTGATACATTGGATAGTTACTTTGTCAGTACTTAAGTCAGAAAGTCTGTCAGTCAGTTAGTCAACTACCATTTATCATCATTAAAAGAGTCAGTTGTTAAGTCAGTCTGTAGGTCAGTTAGTAAATCTCCCAGCAGGCCAGCCACTTGTCATCAGTCAACTAGTCAGCTGGGCTTCAAGTCAGTCACTCAATCTTTTAGATTACTAGCTGGCATCACAAAGCCTCTCAGTCTGCAAGTCAATATAAAAAGTGTTCCTGCCCTTGCACCTCTGTCAACCTTCCAATCTTATCACATCAGTCAACACACAGACCATAAGCACTTTGAATCTCACTCTTCTACATACCAGGTTCTGCTCCATCAAACAAGTAAGGGTGGTTTGTACACTTTCTTAACTGCATCAGAATGTTCAGTAGTCGCATCTTGTCTGATTTCCCTGCTCCATTTACCACATCAATATCCTTCATCAAGATCTTGGTGTACCTAAATAGGCAATAGTAATAACAATGATTATTGCTATATACTTGTGAATAATGCTCATCTGGGGCTTTTATTTTCTCGGTTGAGATAGGTAGGCAGATTTTAATGCTACCATCTTGCAATTTGTAGTGTTCAACGATTTTTTAAGCAGATTTCAGATTGGGTGTACTTTTGGCTGGTTTCCATTAAAAAGTGACCTGCAATTAACCCCTTGACCCCTAAGAGTGATTAGAAATTAATTTCTCCTCACAATATCATCCCTGTTCTAAGGAAATGATAACCAGCAAAAGAAGCTCCTGATTGTCAAACAAATTCTCCTTGTCAGCACCTCAGGGAATTATAGAGAACAGTATGGAGAATATGCATACTGATGTTAGGATGAACATGTAAAGGGCAGTTAAGTTAGGAATTATTAAATTAGGAATTATTTCAAAGAACATTGAAGGAAGCAGTACCAATATCTTTGCATCTTTGTGAGTCCTACATAGATCTTTGTCTCCTTCTTTGGGAGAAGTCGAGTTTCAACATCAGCCTTGAGACGACGCAATAGGAATGGTCTTAGAACCTGTGATAAAAACAAATTTATTTATTATGAGTGTTTCAACATGTTGGGGAAAAAGATAACTGGACATTTTTAGACAACAATTTTATCATATCACACCCTGCTTAATGGAAAAGTATGCTAAAAAAACCTGACAAAAGCTGAAGTCTGTTGCATAGCATTTTTGTTAGAAACTTAAAACTTTATACTTCACAAATGAGCAGCCAAGTTGCAAAATGAAAACGAAAACATTTTACATCACAGGAAAGCAGCAAAGTGTGAAAACAATATGGAAATGAGGGCATCCATTAACACATTTGAGGACAATTTTCATACAGAGGTTATCCAGGTATGTATGGTATGTATGGTATGTATGGTATGTATGGTATGTATGGTATGTATGGTATGTATGGTATGTATGTATGTATGGTATGCATGTATGGATCCTGGACAATACTTAAAACAATATGAAATGAGGTTCACAAAACCAAAGTTGTCTCCTTGGCAGTTATATCATATCATGCAGTACTTACTGAATGAAGACGTTCCACAAGTTGTTTTTCTTCCACAAGAGAATTGGTGTTGAACCAGGCGTCAAAATCCTAGGAAAAAGCCCAAAAACTTAAAAATTAAATGATGTCCTTAAAACTAACACCATCCTAGGCAGCAGTTACCTTTATTTATTTCAAGAACTTTTATGCTCCTTCCAAAATGTTGTTGTGTTCTGAGCAGCTTAAGTGATTAGTCTTACAAAAATAAATCATACAAGTTCCCTAATACATTTAGTCTTATTATACAGGAGCAACTTACATCAGACGAGCTAAAAACATCTGGCAATAGAAAGTTCAGCAATGACCACAGCTCATGAAGATTGTTCTGCAAAGGAGTTCCTGTCAGGAGCAACCGATTTGAGGAACGGAGTTCTCGTACAATTTCTGAGAGCTGGAAACAAGATGAGAAACATAGTGATAATTCATCAGAGCACAACCACAAAAAATGAAACCATAGAAGTAAAATGTGGCAACCACACTTGGTAGATACATACTTTAGACTTCTCATTCTTAATTCTGTGTGCCTCATCAATGATGATATACCTCCAGGCAAACTTCTTAAACACCGCTTTCTCTCTTATCACCATTTCATAAGATGTTATACAAGTGTCCCACTCTCCAGGGAGCATGGTGTCTCGGATAAAAGCTGCCTGAAAATATACAATAGTACACCACATCAGCCCTTTGACCCCTAAGAGTGACTAGTATCTACTTTCTCCTTACAATATCACCCACTGAAATCACTAATAAAAGTGACAAGAATAAAGGAAATGATCACAAACTAAAGAAGCTCTGGATTGTTATATAAATTCTCAGTGTCAGCACCTTGGGAAATGTATAGAAAACAGTATGGAGAATATACATACTGATATTAAAAATTTTGAGATGTTCCAGACCTTTGGTGGATAAGGAAGGGGGGGAAGAAAGAATGCCATACACTTCCCAGTCCCCCACCCAAACCTAGCTTGGCAAGGTCTTGATTGACTTTCCCTTTTTTTTTTCCCAGCAATTTACCTCCAACTCTAAATTTGTTCCTAAAGAACACAGACGTATTTAACTCACCCTTTGCTCTTGATTGCCAATGAGACAAACAGCTCGGATACTCGGACACCACCTTTCAAATTCAGACATCCAGTTAGCTAGCGTGGACTTTGGCACAATAACAAGATGAGGACCTGCCATTTCTCTGAAATGCTTCATGTAACCCAGCAAAGAAATGGTCTGCAAAGTCTTACCAAGACCCTGTTACAATAAAAAAATGAGGTAATGCCTTTAAAGCCTGCTGGTGAATTAGCCCAAGAGCTTACTTTGATTTTTTTATCAAGAAGAAAGGCAAAATGTTATCCATCACAGGTTGTCCTAACAAATTCCTCAAGGGAACTCATGACACTCACAAAAAAGAAGGATGTTAACAATTTTCTCACCATCTCATCAGCCAAAATTCCATTGATTCCGTTCTCAAACAATGAGATAAGCCAGTTGAGACCTCTTAACTGATAATCTCTCATTTCCCCATTCTTGATGACTACCGGAAAATACAAAGCCTTTGAGTTCATTACTGCAACATTTCATAACACAGTACTTCTGGAGCAGAAGTGTCATGACAAAACATGTTAGTAATTAAGCATTTTAACTCCCATGAGTGACCAAGACAAAATTTCTCCTTTCTACATCTATAAAATATCATGCAGGCAAGTGATGAGAATAAAGAAAAATATCAATCATGGGATTACCAATGGATCCAATACCAAATTCTCCAAACTAATATTATGACAATCATTTGGCAGACAGTAAAGAGAATTACTAATGAGATCTTGGGAGTTTCAAAACTAGAGTGACTCTGAAAAAACCATTTTACTTTAATGCTTCTATTCAGTCTTTGAACTTGTGGCTGATTTACTCACACTGGTATGATTTTTTTTTGGCTCTTGTTCTTTAAGGCAATACAAGCAAGCTTTTTGTTCTTGTTTGCGAGCTTAAATATCTGTAATTACAGCATTTTGAAAAATTGTGTTTCAGTACAGATGAACATGATGAGGAAATTGTCTAAGTGCTCCTTATGACCAAAAAGGTATGTTTTTTCACCTTATCAAACAGGAAAATTTCACTTACAGTGTGGATTCTGATCAAAGTGAATCACAGATGTCTGTGAGTGTTTATTTTGACTAATCAGTTCCTCATCTTCTTCTTGCTCCGTGCGTCGATGGCGATGACTAAAAAATTAAATAAGTTTCAAATTGAGACAAACAATCCCAAACTCTGCAGTTAAGAGGAGTTCAATCGCTTCAAACTCATTCGAGCTGGTGTTAGCTACAAAGTTTTCAGAGATGTACCAGTTATCTTAAAATTCTTCAACTTTCAAAATTATTGACAGCCCTGCAAATCTGTTGTGAAAAGGAGTAGCATGTTTCATATAGCCCATTTTCAGTCCAATACTTACTCCCCACAGTCAGATAACTTCCTTGATCTGCTTGGAAACTGAGGTGCCTTCATTTTCAGTGGACTTGTTGGCTGTTTCTTTGATCTTGTTGTGTTCATGAAATGAGCAAAGATCTCTGTTCGTTTCAGCAGGTAATTAAACCTTGTGGCCTTGTCCCTTTCCTAGAAAGCACCAAAAGGCAATTATGTATGGGTCCTGAATTTCCAATTAATACCAAAAAATTGTTACCATGGTTATTCCCTTTTACTAGAAGAAAGCCTGTTGATCATTTCTTGCTTCACAACTCCTCAGATAAAAGAAAATTAATAGGAAATTTTACATTCTTTTATTAATTAACTTAACTTAAGCATTTTCATACCTTTTCATAGAGATTTTATGATCTGTTTCACATCAATTTAAACTTTTCCAAAAAAGGATTGGAATACAAAAAAGGAAAAAGTTCTCTTTCGCTGATTATTACAAATGAGGTAGGCATTGGAAAGGTATTGAACACAGAGTCAGTCATATTTGGTCTCAAAACTGACCAAAAATTTTTCATTCAGCCTCAGCTAATTTAGCCCATCAACTTCCAAAAGTAATTAATATGTAACTTCTCCCTATAAACAGGTAAGAGAATACTCAAACAAGAATAGAAGTTGTTATCTTGATCTAACACCAGATTCTCATAACGAACTTACCAGGAAATGTGTCCTAGCTAGAGGGAAGAATTGACAATCACGACTTGGGAGTTTAAGGATTTTTTTGTCACATATGGTTAGCAGAATGTGTCAGGAGTTGGAGTCCAATTTCTAGCTTTTATTTCAAAACTAGATTGATATTTAGTCATGTCATGTAGCTATTCAAGCAATTCATACCAGTTTTTCTTCATATTCCTGTGAGGCACCTTTGAGTGGTCCAGGTTGTGCTTTAGGTTTGGGGGCTTTTTCTTCACCTGCTTCATCACCAGACTAAACAAAGATATTAACCCCAAAAAAAGTTATCAAACTATAAACTTACACAGAAACTAAATTATCTACCTTCAATGAGTGACACAACAAAATGTCAGATAACCATTATTTTATAAGGAAACAAACCTCTTGAGAGAATCAGTGACTTGAGAAATAAGCGATTTCTTTACTTCGTTCTAATTTTATTTATTTATGGTACACCTTGAGATCCATGATGAAATCTCCTTACAACATCAGATTGTTACAAAATGCTTCTACAAAGATAATGAAAAGTGAATGATATATTCAGCTTGAAGACTGGCAAGTTGTCTTGATACACAAGTGGTATAGCTCCATCGTAATAACATTAGAATGAAACTATAATGATTCAATAACTAGGAAACAACCCGCGATGGGTTGAAGTAAAGTAATTCTGAGGATACAATTGTCTTAGTTCAAATTCAATGGCCAAATCCAGGAATCCATTCACAACCACTAAAAATAAATTTACCCGGTTTCAGGTGATGCTTTTAACACGACAAAAGCTTCTGTTACTAAAGTTATACCAGGCAAATATGCGCATATGGAAGTTTACTGTTTCACTTTTGATAGAAACAAAGACTTTATTAGCTCCTCGGCCTGTCAAAGCTTTGTTTAGCTGCGTAAATTTCAGGTCTTGTGGATTATAGTCTCAATCAAAATGAAACATTTTTTTACTGGGTTAGGATCGAAAAAACTGACACACTCAATTCAATAGAAGTGCGCTGGATACATCCAGTTGAAATGCACATGGCCTTGTTTGCATGCGCGAAAGAATTGGCGTGACTTAAGATCATTTACTCGTGAAATCAGCCAACTCTAACTTCAATTCCGGTAAATTTGCCCCTAAAATGAGCCATTCAGTAACTTTTACCTCTTCTGGTGTTGTACTTTCGCTGCTGGACGATTCTCCTTCGTCGTAATTAGGCATGTTTCCAGTGGAAGAGAGAAAAATTACTTTCAAATCGGATAGCTGAAAGGCCGGGAAGATGATTTTTGGCGGCACACGAGAGAGGCTATTGATTAGCACCTCGAACTGCACTACGGGATAGTCTAGGGCCTAAGTCCTACCGGCTAGAGGTACGCCCGAGGAGCACTAGTAACCAGTTTTCCAGTCGGGTGATTATCAGATTGTCTCAGATTATTATTATCAATTTGGCGGACTATTCCAGTGACACCGTTTGCGATTTATCAATAATCAAGCGACGTGATTGAACCAGGCATGAACATTATAACATGCTTTACATGTGAAGAATACATAATTGAGTTTAAATCAAGGAGATTTCGCTAAATTTTGTACGGCTGTTTCCTTCACTCTCGTCGATCTTAAGTTTCTTGTTCAGCAGAGTTTTAGCTCAAAACTGTAGCCGCTAAAAGCAACGCTTGCAAAGGTAAACAAAACTTTGACACTAATTTTTTATTTTTACAGTAGTTTAAAGCCTCACTTGAAACTATTATATCATTTTGATTCTCTGTTTCCAAGTTCAAGATAAATAGAACTGAAGCTCTCAAAGTGAAGGCAAATAGGAAGGAAATATGTATGTATGTATGTAAGGCAGACAACAAGGTTATTTATTTACTTATCGTACACTACAACTCTTTTTCAATCAGCTCTGTTTCTTGTAGGGACTGTCAATGCTATTATTGAATCAAAAGACGACTGCCAGCCGACACATGGGAAAAAGGACTTGTGATGGAAGTTTTCTTGGAACAGGTTGACAACAGAGTTGCAGTAACGGCTGCTTTTTCAAATAAGGTAAATACTTCAGTTATCTGCCATACGAAGTGGAAGCAACTTGCAGATGACCCAGCTTTTATTTTCAGTTATTTCTAATAAATTTCACATGGTAAGAAGACCATATCCCCTTCACCCCTTCACCACAGGTCAAAATTAGCTTCAAAAGATACGTTCTAAGTGATGACTGAATATTATTTTTTCCAGTCTCTAAAATTTAACTATATGAGGTTTCAATTTAAGAAGTGTTTTACTGAAAATGTATTCCTACTTGTGAACAATAACTGGTAGGGTCCAGGGTCTAGATTGCAATAGACATGGGCACCAGTGCGACTTAAATTTTCTCACTAGTGACTAAACTTTCTTGTTTAGTCTCCAAACCTTGACTGGAAACATATAATACCCTTACCTTTTTTAGTTCCAAAGGGGAGCCAAACCTCAGAGCTTTGAATTTTTGTACTTAGAGGTTGTACAAACCCTTACTTCAAGGAACTCATTGGTGAATGACAAAATCATAGGTTACATACTATGACCCAATGTGATGATTACTATCAACACCTGCGTATACAACAGGCTGTGAAGATTCCTACTGACCTCTTCTGTGAGCCAAAAAGTTAAAAGGGAGGGGGAGGGGAGAGGTTTCCACCCAGGGCTTCAAGATTCTCTTCTTTGCTCACTATAAATAGCTTAGACACCATTAATAGCTTTGTTTTTCCTCACCAAAATCAACATTTTCTACTGGCAAAAACTGATAGGCATTATTTTGGATTTTTAATGACATCTGAATGTAAATATAGGGAATCCATTTACAATTGCAGAATTTTGTCATTCATTTTATTTTTCCGAAAGGACCCATTTGATGAACCTTTTCATAAAATCAAAAAGGTCAAACTATGCCTAGACAGCCATTCCCTCTCCCAAAATAATGTATTGCCAACTGTTTAACAGCTCTTATGCAAGTGGTCATGGCCAATCTTTCAGCTTCACCAGGAACTCTTTTCAACCTGGATAAAGCTTTGAGATGATGAATATTGTGATTTGTCAATAATTATATAAATCAGACCTTGTTATAAGCCCATTACCTAGGGTCCTTTAGGAAAATAAAATGAATGACAAAATTTTTGCAACTGTGGATGAATTCTTGATATTTAGGGTCAGTACCTCTTGATCACCTTTTTTATTTAATAAATTGGGTTACTTGTCCCCTTTTGATTTGTCTGGTCATTTTTATAAGTTCTCAAAGGTTACCAAATCTAACTTAATTACTACAGATTCTAGAGGACACAAAATCTCTCATCAAGCATTCCTACCAAGAGACACTTGACAATGCCAACAATGAAGAATGGATATTATTTCTAAAATATCTTGGAGATGATAACGTGTCAGACACTCTGAAAACAAACTGGCTTCTGTATGTTATTACTTGATTTGATTATTATTGTCATTAATATTATTATTGTTTTTAGGTTGTACCTTTCAAGCAGATAATGTTGCATTTGCTATAAACTTAAAGGCACTACAGTGTTTCACTCTCTATGAAGGTAAAATGTTACCCTCTTTTTTAACTGCTTTTTGTCAAATTTTTTAACATTAGTTTTTTTTTTATCCTTTTTCATCTTTAATACCTCTTCTGAGTGATATTCTTTCAGTTACCTTTGGTTTGCAGTCAGCTAATGATATAATAATGGCATACCTAGTGTCCAGCAACACATTACTAATATCCACTATATGTCAGTGTACTTACCCCTAACATTGTACTTTCTTGAAAAATAAACAGTCTTTGGATTGTTTGTAATAGAGACCTTAAGCAAACCACCATGGCAACAGTAACAAAAGCATGGCCAGACAAAAGATTCAATGGGCACACAAATAGCTCACTATGTATGTTTTATAATTGTATTTATTTTTCATTTATTTTCTGAAACAAAACAACATAAATCACTCAAATTTGCATGGAGTGAGAACAGAACCTCTGATGGCTTGGAACTCTGATGGCAAATTATTTACCTGTCATTGTTTAGAACTAAACCCTGCTCACTTTTGTTATGGAAAAGATGATGTCTTGCTCTGTTAGAGAGGGTAATCACATCCACCATCCATTTAGTGGACATTTTTGTCAGCTTGCCATCCTGATTGCGTAAGATCCCTAATGATTTCTGTGAATTAACTCTCTTGTGTTTACAAATTACTTCTAAGCACAATCATCCTCTCTTCATGGTAAACTCCCCCTTTTTAAATTCTTGCTGGACATAATAACTGTTCAATCTCCACTTAGCTGGCTTTTTATCTAATCAACATTAGTTGAAGACTGAAGAAAAAACCCTTTTACATTTAATTTTTTAAAAAACCCTTTTTAATTTTTGTTTTTATTTGTGGGAATTTGAGAAGCAAGTTTTACATTAGTTTTGAAAGACTAAATATACATTTAACACTCAGGTAACCCACAATTTATACTCTCTTAGTGGGGAAGAAAATTTGCAAGACACCTCTGATATTAAATTTTTGTGCTGTGAAGTCCTCACCACAAAGTAATGTGTTTTTTTTATAATTTAGATTAATTTGATTTATATTTCTGATTAATTTTTTCTTTTCAATTATCAAGTTTTCTCACTGTTACAATGATCTTCATGTAAAGCCAGATTAATTTCTAATAACTGGGTGGGATGTTGATGTTTTTAACTAATTTATGATACAGACTTCTTTTGTTGTGTCTGTGAAGGGTTACTTCTTTTATCCATTTGGTACTGTTTTTTTGACTGGTTTCACAAATCCGGGATTTTTGTAAATTTTTAACAAGTTTGAAGTTTATTTTATTGGAAAATGCTGTTTGATTATTTGTAAACTGAGAAACATAATTTGCTTATCAAGTCTACAGCATTCCAATTGATAGTATGGTTACAGCATCAAAAGTAGAGATGACTACAGAGGATCTGTTCTGTGGAATAGGATTCCTTCTGAGATTAAAAAACTGCCTAGTTTGAATGTTTTTAAAACTTCATTTCATGGGAAAGATTTCTCTGATACACCATTGTAACTCTTATTATTCATGATATAAGTTTTTGTATTTTTAACATTATAGTAAATAGCTCCTTGTTACTCATGATACAAGTTTTTGTTTTTGTATGTTTAACATTATAGTCAATAGTTCTTAAAGTATTTTAGTATAATTTAAACACGATTCCTAGGAAGACCATGTAAAATGATATGATTTCGTGTATAAATAAAGATTGATGATGATGATGATAAACTTAACTAGTAAAGGTGGTTTTTGAAATTAACTTTTGTGAGGTGCAAAACAGAACAACAAGATTTAAATTGCACTTCCTTGCAAGAATTGTGTGTTTTCACCACATTGTCTCTCCTCATGTTATTAGCTAGAAGTTGTTCTGATTGTGTTCAATTAGTTTTTTCCATCCCTAAGATGACAATATAAATTCTCTGCACTGTTTGCTATACATTTCTTTGAATTTTAGCTTTCAGAATTTAGTGTTAGATCAAGCAAATACCCACAGATGTTAACTATTATTTTTCTCATCACCTTTCTGCTTAATAATGCATTGTATTGTAAGTAGAAACAACTTATTGAACACCTCTGGGAGTGAAAGGGTTTTTTGTGTGGGGGGGGGGGGGGGTTAGCCTAAATATATAATTTCCAGTTTTTAAGTGGACACAGTCACTGTAACATGCATTTAGATGAGATTAAAAGATAAGTTTGATTAAAATGTTTGGATGCACGGGAATTGTAATTACTTCGTTTTCAGAGTAGGATTTTACAGATTTTTTAATTCTTCCCTAAGTGTTGAAAAGAAATGATGTAAAGAAATTTTGATTTGGGCGACCATCTTTTAGGCCTGGGCACCCAAGCTAAAACGCTTGGGAGCCCGAAGGGCTCCCTGAAATTTTCCTTAGAGCACAGCCTTGGGTTAGCCTAAATATATAATTTCCAGTTTTTAAGTGGACACAGTCACTGTAACATGCATTTAGATGAGATTAAAAGATAAGTTTGATTGAAAAGGTTGGATGCACAGGAATTGTAATTACTTGGTTTTCAGAGTAGGATTTTACAGATTTTTTAATTCTTCCTTAAGTGTTGAAAAGAAATGATGTAAAGACCTGAAAATATTACAGGAAATTAAAAGGAAAAAAAAGGTGGGGAAAGAAGTCTCTACTATAATCCCTAAGCTGAAACAAGTGGTTACTTCAAGGTGGAAATATTTGTGATCTTTTTCTTGTTCTTTTTAGCCTAAATAATTCCTCTCTGTTTCCGTATTTATTTTCTTTTGTTTAATTAGTAGTTTATTTTGGCCCTTAAGGTCCTCTTATTACATAAATGTGAGATCAAAAACATTTTAAATGCCCTATTCATTTAAGTTTGGCCAAATTTTAAATATGTAGCTAAGAACATTTTCCCATTTATGTCATGTCTGTTACAGTTTATGCTTCTTAAGATATTTCATCATTGGTTTTAGGTGTGGAGTGGAAGTTTGTTTTTATAATTGGAAGGAGAAAATCAATAATATGAGATATGAGGAGGGTTTTAAGAGGAATGCTGCATACCCCCACTCACAATTTTTTTGACTATACCCTCATTCCCTGCTCATTGTTAGAGGATTAGAGCTTCTCTACTGGACTTGAGGCATTTTTCTCAGATAAATTTACTATATTTTTGTCTGGTATTGAGAAGGCTACATTTCCCCTTCTCTCATGGTTTTTCACTTTGGTTTGATTATTTTAAAAACAAAATGTAGCCGTTCTTTAACAAAACTGCAACCAAAAAATACTCAATTTAGCAAGATGTTTTATCTGAACATTAAATTATTGTGCACAGGGTAAAGAGGCTGGATAGCTAACTGTGGAATGACACTTACTTCATTTCATAAACCCTCTTCTAGAGAAGGCCTGAAGCTACACTGTGTAAATAATAAATGGCCCTTTCAGTCTAACCATTGGGGCTCAACCCATCACAACGAGTAAATATCAATTTACAACATTTATTCTGCACTGATAAAAGTGGTGGTTCTGAATCTATTACAAGCACTGGTAACTTAAATTGTTAACTGTACGTTGAAGCCTGATGCCTCATCTTCAAATTTTGCTGTGCAACTTATTGACATTTTCATTCTAAAATGCTAGTAACAGTCCCAAAATTGTACATTTGTTAAAAAAAAAATACACTAATATCTACAAAAAGATGCAGAAACACCAAAAGATTTCTAAAAATTAGTATGATAAAAAATCTCGCACCACTAACCTACAATAAAAGCTTTTGATTAAGGCACGACGATTTGAGTTATAATAGTTTTTTGCGGTACTACTCGAACCGGATCGTTGCGATCGAAAAAAAAGAAAAAAACAGCCCAAAACAAGAACTAGGTATTCTACCAAGCAATCTCTACTGTATTTACTCATCTGATCGCCTTACAATCTCCAAACATATCTAGACAAAAAACTGTTCCGTGTAACAGTCTCAGGTGATCAAAATGTAAAGAAAGATGGAGAGAATTTACGATGGAAACTAACCAATCATAAAATGACAAAGTTTCCTGAGAGGTCCGAGGTTTGTTTGTTTTCTCTGCAGGAAGCTTTGTGTTTTCACTTAAATCTAATTGGTTCGTTTATAAAAAAGTTTGACATCGTCTGTTCTCAATAAACATGTTCATTGGTTCATTTTTCTTCATTTCGATCCGGTTCAAATAATCTCACTGCTCTGAGCACTTTACAGATTTGTTTTACATTCATTCACGGGCTGAGTCAATGGGTAGAATTATCACTGAGCTGGTTACCTCACTGCTATTTTGAATAGTAAGTGGTTCAAATAATTCCTTTTTAGTTTTTAATTGGAATTGCTGAGGCCTAAAGAATTAGCCTACACTGAGACTGACTATTGCTTAGTAAATTACGTGCCTTGTGTGAGATGTTATTGTCTGAGAGGTATAACGTGTGTAGCTGACAGTTGTTGTTGTTGATGGCGTAAGCCAAGTGCTGTGCTCCAATGTGTGAGATGTCATTGTGTGAGAGGTTTAACGTGTGTAGCTGACAGTTGTTGTTGTTGATGGCTTCAGCCAAATACTGTGCTCCAATGTGTGAGATGTTATTGTCTGTGAGGTTTAACGTGTGTAGCTGACAGTTGTTGTTGTTGATGGCTTCAGCCAAGTGCTGTGCTCCAATGTCTGAGATGTTATTGTATGAGAGGTTTAACGTGTGTAGCTGACAGTTTTTGTTGTTGATGGCGTCAGCAAAGTGCTGTGCTCCAATGTCTGAAATGTTATTGTGTGTGAGGTTTAACGTGTGTAGTTGACAGTTTTTGTTGTTGATGGCGTCAGCCAAGTGCTGTGCTCCAATGTGTGAGATGTTATTGTTTGTGAGGTTTAACGTGTGTAGCTGACAGTTGTTGTTGTTGATGGCGTCAGCCAAGTGCTGTGCTCCAATGTCTGAGATGTTATTGTATGAGAGGTTTAACGTGTGTAGCTGACAGTTGTTGTTGTTGATGGCGTCAGCCAAGTGCTGTGCTCCAATGTCTGAGATGTTATTGTATGAGAGGTTTAACGTGTGTAGCTGACAGTTTTTGTTGTTGATGGCGTCAGCCAAGTGCTGTGCTCCAATGTGTGAGATGTTATTGTTTGTGAGGTCTAACGTGTGTAGCTGACAGTTGTTGTTGTTGATGGCGTCAGCCAAGTGCTGTGCTCCAATGTCTGAGATGTTATTGCTTGTGAGGTCTAACGTGTGTAGCTGACAGTTGTTGTTGATGGCGTCAGCCAAGTGCTGTGCTCCAATGTCTGAGATGTAATTGTTTCTGAGGTTTAACGTGCGTAGCTGACAGTTGTTGTTGTTGATGGCCTCAGCTAAATACTTTGCTGCTTCATCTGTCAATTGATTTTCTGTGAGGTCTAACCAGCTCAGTTGAGATTCCCTACATTTTAACAGTTTACAAATTTCAAAACAACCTAATGGGCCAATGTTATTGTCACTCAAATCTAAATGTGAAATTTGTTGAACATTAATTACATTTACTAACGAAGAGCAATCAACAGCTGTGAGGTGACAACGAATAAAATTTGCACAATTAAAGTTCATTTGTTGAAGTTTTCTCTGTGCTTCTGACTTCATTCTGCTATTTTCGTTTAAACATTTAATTAATGTTACTGCCAATTCTCGTTCGTCTTCAGTCGGCCAGCAGGTTACTTTCCTTTGCTCTTCATTCTCTGTCCATTGTTCGTTGTAGTCTGCGCTTTCTATTTCTTCAGTTTTCACAGGAAGAAGGTCCGTGATAATTTCAATTGGTAGGTGAACTTTATCCTCCATAAGTCCTGCTAGAAACTGAAAAACCAGCTGCCATTTGCCGTTCTTAATGTTCTTGGAAACAAAGTTTCTTAATTCTGTTTCACTCAAGTTGCTCACCAAGTGCCTCGCAGCGAAAAACTCTTGCATTGTTAGGTGAATGAAACAGAATTGCTTCTCATCTTTTAACGCGGCACGACGGTCGGGTAAGCGGTGAAAAAGAGCGCTGTCTTCCATTCCTTGTACTTTGTTTCCTCCAAGGATCAGTTTTCCTTCTTGGATTCCTTCAAACGCCACTCTTCCCAGTTTCTTGAATTTCTTCTCCACCACCTTAGGCAAATTATCTGACAGATAGTTTTTGCGGGTGAAATGTTGATCGCGGAATTCTTTCGTGTGTTTGAAATAAAACACTTTGACCGCAATCTTGTAAATTGTGGTTAATTCGGAAGGCAGGGTAACACTATCGGAACTTTCGAACCGCATTATTTCTGACAGACTTGAGCACATGATGAAACTGTTCACAGGGACATAACAGAGCGAAAGTAAGTTCATGTTGCTGCTGATGTGTCGCCATAGCGTTTCGCCTGCTTGCTTGTCATCTCCGGCGAATTTGTCGATATACTCTTTAATTTGCTTGGTTGAGAAGCCAAGGATTTCAAAGCTTTTGTCGAACTTCAGATGTGCGATGCCTGACAAAGCCGTAGGTCTCGTAGTCGTTACAATTGAAGCATCTTTAAGAAGTTTCCCGGTCACAAGCCATTGATAAAGAATTTGGAGCGGCTTTCTATCCTCAATGCTTTTGGGATAAGGAGAAGCCTTGGTTTTCTTTTCGTCATGTTCGAATTCGTCGAATCCGTCAAAAAGCATGAGAACACCTTCAGGGTTCTTTTGGAGGTGATTCCAGACCTTGTCATCCATGTGATGTGTAGGGAAATATTCAGACCTCATCAACAGTTCCTTGAGGCTAAGGTCGTCGGCTGAGTTGAATCTTCTAAATTTTACGAAGAAAGCAGCATTAAAATGGAAATTGGCACCTAATGTCGCATCTAAAACTTCATCCGATGCCCAGTCTCTGAGAAGTTTGATACAACATAGTGTCTTTCCAATTCCGGGTCGACCGACGATTAAAACTTTCTTACTTTCCACATCCAGAAGGTCTTGCATGCTTTTCGGTTGTGAGTTTTCGTCGCGCGACCTTGGATAAACTTTGAGTTGCTCCTCTCGGTTTTCAGTAAAGTCATGCGTTTCTCTGTTTTGAATTACCACCAGGTTGGTGTAAATCTGATCGAGAGTCAAATTTTTAGCAAAAGGTGATTGGAGTTCTAAAAGTCCTTCGGTCTCTTGAAAAATTATTTCCTTTGTGCGTTCGATGAATTCTTGAAACGTTCGTTCTCGGAGTTCTTCAGTGTCTCTTCCGTTCGGTCCATCTAGGTGTTGGTTGAGACTAAGATGGGTTTTTAGAAACTTTGAGTCTTGCATGAAACTCCTTTCAATGCATGCCCGTGATAAAAGGTAGACAGTTTCAACCAGAATGCCAGCGACAAGAATTCCATTCACCGTAAGGACAGCGTACATCCAGAATGTTTTCTTTTCCGCTCGTTGATTGTGACAGTAGTGTAAAGTAGAGTTTTGGGTGTTGTCAGATGAATTCCTTGGCTGAGTGGTTCCATCGGTTAAATAACAGTTAAACTTAGAAGAAAACTTCAAAGGATAAAACAACTGTGTTTGTAAGATGATGAAAATAACTCCTAACACAATTCTTATCGATAGTTGAGAGCAGTAAGCGATAAAAAGCTTGTTTCCAGTTAATGACGCAGTGTCTTGGTCGCGCAGCTGCCTCTCTTGATCACCGTTGCGGTTACCTCGTGACAGTTGATCGACTTTGGATCTCACTATTTGGGAGTAAATAGCACATACAAGTGCAATAAGGACAAAATTGATGATCACGAAGCCAAACATAGGAAAACTAAATTTGTTGTACTGCTTCATATATTTCTCGTAACATTCTCCACGGACGACGTCGACGTTTTCACTCTTCGCTCCGCCACAGCGGAAATCAAACCTGGACTCGCTATTTTCCATGTCGACGAATATGGCAAAGAATATTACACTGAACAGGATCCAAAAACCCACTGCCACATAGTGGACTTTGTTGAAAGTTTTTGGCTCCAAATATTCTAAAACCTTTTCCATTGATACTGTTAGTATTGTTACTCACTTTGTTAGAATGCTGATCAGCACTGGAGCTGTAGTAAACATCTAATGCAACCTTGGTCTATTTGTAGCGCATGATACTGAAAACTTGTAACCATCAAAAAGACAATGGGTCCTCTATGCAAGTTATTGTTCTACATAAGAGACAGATGTCAGAAACTGAGACGGTTATAGATATCTGCATCAGCGCCAGGCATCAAATAACAGGTTTGCCTTTCATGGCTAAAGGGCGCAATTTTTTTTTCACATAACCACTGCATTGTTCATTAAATTCACACTAGTGCAAATTAGAGAATTACCTTCCCCGAATATTACAGATTTCTAATTCACAACTGAAGTATTTCCCTTTCGTAAATTACCGATTTGAATTTATCTCATAAATAAAACTTGTTCATTTTGTATCGTTTCGCAAATCTGGGTTATCTCATGGTTAACACGACACGCCATCTGACAAGTCGTATAAGGAAAAGGTCTATGTTTCCATTTCCACTTGGCATGGGGTAAAATATGGACTGGACTATTTTAAGCATGAATCATCTTTCAGTTGCCACACGTTTCCCTTTTTGTATGTGACAAAACAAGCGAAGAAAAAGCGCGATGTCGTCATAAATGGTTTCACAAAATAGGGTGTTATCCAGCTGTCAATGAAACTCATGACATATCCAAGCTCCAGACGATAACATTTTCCAGGCAGAAACGGACTTCTACGTTTTGCCGACGGAAAACATCGGCAAGCAACAGTAGTCGCCATAATTCCACTTCGCAGGTTTCGTAGGTTTTTACGCAAGAAGTGATTGGCAGTGGCCCGGGCAAATTGGAAACAGGCCGAGGGGAGTCGCGAGGGATACCTCGTCGCGTTTTCTGGTGTTGGTGATTGACTCCTTTGTTTGCGAAATAGATAACATCCATATTTGCGCTTTCTCATATTGCAAATACAGCAGTATTTTTGCTCGATTCGAGAATATGGATTCCTCTTCGAAATCGTTTGCTGATGATTTTACAAAGTAAAGGTATAAACTTTAAAATTGCGATAGCGCTTGTGAATTCTATGCGCTTCTAGGTTGAGGGCTAATGACCGGAAATTCTGTAATCTCGTCTGATAAGATAAGTGACAAAAGAAACAGAGATAAATTTAGTAATTACATACTGTCTACAGAAAAGGAAACGTGAAGCAACTGATGATGCACAAGTCGACTCAAAAGGTGCACGCATAACTCAACAGAGGAGGATCGTAAACGCGATATCTTCAATAAAAATTTAAGTCCAGTGTTTACAAGGCAGTTTCGCTTTCGCGTGACAAAAAAATGAAGAAACACCCAGCGCTGAAATATTGACTTACCAAAAGCCAGTCGAAAAGCCGATTAAAATAATTTGTTCGATCAAATAAAAGCTCCATTAACCAGTAGTGCTCACTATTACAACCACCTCTCACCCCTCGTTTTTTATCTTTCTTTCGCTTAGACGAGCGTTAATTAGTATGCATTAACTAGCTGTCAAAGTAATACAAATTGAAAGAGGAGATTATTGCCCACGTTTTGTTATCATAAGGTCATTGCCGCCGACTCTGACATTTGTAGCGCTACTTTTGAATGGTAGCTTCTTGCAAAACTGTCAGCTTGTCGAACATTGTGAGGAAATTTCCTCCTGCATTTGTCCATACGGCAAGGGAAGAACTCAAATAAAGAAATGTATGGCACCTCCACTCTCTTGCAAGACGCGATTTTCAGGAAACAAAGAGTCCCTCGATGTGGCCCATCGCAATCAAATACAAATAGAGTTGTTTATCGATAGCCCAGCAAATACAACAGTAGGTGATATAACATGTATAGACAGAAAAGTTATCGTTGCACATTTCCTCACAGCCCATAGAGTGGCTCTGAAAAAACCATTTTACTTTTATGCTTCTATTCAGTCTTTGAACTTGTGGCTGATTTACTCACACTGGTATGATTTTTTTTTGCTCTTGTTCTTTAAGGCAATAAAAGCAAGTTTTTTGTTCTTGTTTGCGAGCTTAAATGTCTGTAATTACGGCATTTTGAAAAATTGTGTTTCAGTACAGATGAACATGATGAGGAAATTGTCTAAGTGCTCCTTATGACCAAGGTATGTTTTTTCACCTTATCTAACAGGAAAATTTCACTTACAGTGTGGATTCTGATCAAAGTGAATCACAGATGTCTGTGAGTGTTTATTTTGACTAATCAGTTCCTCATCTTCTTCTTGCTCTGTGCGTCGATGGCGATGACTTAAAAATTAAATAAGTTTCAAATTGAGACAAACAATCCCAAACTCTGCAGTTAAGAGGAGTTCAATTGCTTCAAACTCATTTGAGCTAGTGTTAGCTACAAAGTTTTCAGTGATGTACCAGTTATCCTAAGTTTCTTCGACTTTCAAAATTATTGACAGCCCTGCAAATCTGTTGTGAAAAGGAGTAGCATGTTTCATATAGCCCATTTTCAGTCCAATACTTACTCCCCACAGTCAGATAACTTCCTTGATCTGCTTGGAAACTGAGGTGCCTTCATTTTCAGTGGACTTGTTGGCTGTTTCTTTGATCCTGTTGTGTTCATGAAATGAGCAAAGATCTCCGTTCTTTTCAGCAGGTAATTAAACCTTGTGGCCTTGTCCCTTTCCTAGAAAGCACCAAAAGGCAATTATGTATGGGTCCTGAATTTCCAATTAATACCATAAAATTGTTACCATGGTTATTCCCTTTTACTAGAAGAAAGCCTGTTGATCATTTCTTGTTTCACAACTTCTCAGATAAAAGAAAATTAATAGGAAATTTTACATTCTTTTATTAATTAACTAAACTTAAGCATTTTCATACCTTTCCTTAGAGATTTTATTGATCTGTTTCACATCAATTTAAACTTTTCCAAAAAAGGATTGGAATACAAAAAAGGAAAAAGTTCTCTTTCGCTGATTATTACAAATGAGGTAGGCATTGGAAAGGTAATGAACACAGAGTCTGTCATATTTGGTCTCAAAACTGACCAAAAATTTTTCATTCAGCCTCAGCTAATTTAGCCCATCAACTTCCCAAAGTAATTAATATGTAACTTCTCCCTATAATATCCACACATTATCTGGTAAACACATAAGAGAATACTCAAACAAAAATAGAAGTTGTTATCTTGATCTAACACCAGATTCTCATAACGAACTTACCAGGAAATGTGTCCTAGCTAGAGGGAAGAATTGACAATCACAACTTGGGAGTTTAAGGATTTATTTGTCACATATGGTTAGCAGAATGTGTCAGGAGTTGGAGTCCAATTTCTAGCTTTTATTTCAAAACTAGATTGATATTTAGTCATGTCATGTAGCTATTCAAGCAATTCATACCAGTTTTTCTTCATATTCCTGTGAGGCACCTTTGAGTGGTCCAGGTTGTGCTTTAGGTTTGGGGGCTTTTTCTTCACCTGCTTCATCACCAGACTAAACAAAGATATTAACCCCAAAAAAAGTTATCAAACTATAAACTTACACAGAAACTAAATTATCTACCTTCAATGAGTGACACAACAAATGTCAGATAACCATTATTTTATAAGGAAACAAACCTCTTGAGAGAATCAGTGACTTGAGAAATAAGCGATTTCTTTACTTCGTTCTAATTTTATTTATTTATGGTACACCTTGAGATCCATGATGAAATCTCCTTACAACATCAGATTGTTACAAAATGCTTGTACAAACATAATGAAAAGTGAATGATATATTCAGCTTGAAGACTGGCAAGTTGTCTTGATACACAAGTGGTATAGCTCCATCGTAATAACATTAGAATGAAACTATAATGATTCAATAACTAGGAAACAACCCGCGATGGGTTGAAGTAAAGTAATTCTGAGGATACAATTGTCTTAGTTCAAATTCAATGGCCAAATCCAGGAATCCATTCACAACCACTAAAAATAAATTCCCCGGTTTCAGGTGATGCTTTTAACACGACAAAAGCTTCTGTCACTAAAGTTATACCAGGCAAATATGCGCGTATGGAAGTTTACTGTTTCACTTTTGATAGAAACAAAGACTTTATTAGCTCCTTGGCCTGTCAAAGCTTTGTTTAGCTGCGTAAATTTCAGGTCTTGTGGATTATAGTCTCAATCAAAATGAAACATTTTTTTACTGGGTTAGGATCGAAAAAACTGACACACTCAATTCAATAGAAGTGCACTGGATACATCCAGTTGAAATGCACATGGCCTTGTTTGCATGCGCGAAAGAATTGGCGTGACTTAAGATCATTTACTCGTGAAATCAGCCAACTCTAACTTCAATTCCGGTAAATTTGCCCCTAAAATGAGCCATTCAGTAACTTTTACCTCTTCTGGTGTTGTACTTTCGCTGCTGGACGATTCTCCTTCGTCGTAATTAGGTATGTTTCCAGTGGAAGAGAGAAAAATTACTTTCAAATCGGATAGCTGAAAAGCCGGGAAGATGATTTTTGGCGGCACACGAGAGAGGCTATTGATTAGCACCTCGAACTGCACTAAGGGATAGTCTAGGGCCTAAGTCCTACCGGCTAGAGGTACGCCCGAGGAGCACTAGTAACGAGTTTTCCAGTCGGGTGATTATCAGATTGTCTCAGATTATTATTATCAATTTGGCGGACTATTCCAGTTACACCGTTTGCGATTTATCAATAATCAAGCGACGTGATTGAACCAGACATGAGCATTATAACATGCATTACATGTGAAGAATACATAATTGAGTTTAAATCAAGGAGATTTCGCTAAATTTTGTACGGCTGTTTCCTTCGCTCTCGTCGATCTTAAGTTTCTTGTTCAGCAGAGTTTTAGCTCAACACTGTAGCCGCTAAGAGCAACGCTTGCAAAGGTAAACAAAACTTAGACACCAATTTTTTATTTTTACAGTAGCTTAAAGCCTCACTTGAAACTATTATATCATTTTGATTCTCTGTTTCCAAGTTCAAGATAAATAGAACTGAAGCTCTCAAAGTGAAGGCAGACAACAAGGTTATTTATTTACTTATCGTACACTACAACTCTTTTTCAATCAGCTCTGTTTCTTGTAGGGACTGTCAATGCTATTATTGAATCAAAAGACGACTGCCAGTCGACACATGGGAAAAAGGACTTGTGATGGAAGTTTTCTTGGAACAGGTTGACAACAGAGTTACAGTAACGGCTGCTTTTTCAAATAAGGTAAATACTTCAGTTATCTGCCATATGGAGTGGAAGCAATGTGCAGATGGCCCAGCTTTTATTTTCCGTTATTTTTAAGAATTTTACATGGTATAAAGACCATATCTCCTTCACACCTTCACCAGGGTTCAAAATTAGCTTCACAAGATGAGTTCCAAGTGACCACTGAATATTATTTTTTCCAGTCTCTGAAATTTAACCATATGAGGTTTCAATTTAAGAAGTGTTTTACTGAAAATGTATTCCTACTTGTGAACAATAACTGGTAGGGTCCCAGGTCTAGATTGCAGTAGACATGGGCACCAGTGGAACTTAAATTTTCTCACTAGTGACCAAAGTTTCTTGTTTAGTCTCCACACCTTGGTTGGAAACATATAATTCCCTTACCTTTTTCAGTTCCAAAGGGGAGCCAAACCTCAGAGCTTTGAATTTTCGTACTTAGAGGCTGTACAAACCTTTACTTCAAGGAACTCATTGGTGAATGACAAAATCATAGGTTACATACTATGACCCAATGTGATGATTGCAATCAACACCTGCGTATACAACAGGCTGTGAAGATTCCTACTGACCTCTTCTGTGAGCCAAAAAGTTAAAAGGGAGGGGGAGGGGGAGAGGTTTCCACTCAGGGCTTCAAGGTTCTTTTATTTGCTCACTATAAATAGCTTAAACACCATTTTAAAAGAGCTTTGTTTTTCCTCGCCAAAATCAACATTTTCTACTGGCAAAAGCTGATAGGTATTATTTTGGATTTTTAATAGCATCTGACTGTAAATATAGGGAATCCATTTACAATTGTAAAATTTTGTCATTCATTTTATTTTCTTAAAGGACCCATTTAATGAACCTTTTCATAAAAATCAAAAAGGTCAAACTTTACCTAGAGAGCCATTCCCTCTCCCAAAATAATGTATTGCCAACTGTTTAACAGCTCTTATGCAAGCCGTCCTGGCCAATCTTTCAGCTTAACCAGGAACTCTTTTCAACCTTGATGCACTGTTTTTGTTGGGCCAAGAGAGAAAATTTAAGGAATAAAACTTCAAGGATAAAGCTTAAAGATGATGTATATTACGATTTGTAAATAATTATAAGCCCTTTTCCTAGGGTCCTTTAGGAAAATAAAATGAATTACAGAATGTTTGCAACTGAGGATGAATTATTGATATTTAGGGTCAGTAGCTTTTGATCACCTTTTTTGTTTAATAAATTGGGTTACTTGTCCCCTTTTGATTTGTTTGGTCATTTTTGTAAGTTCTCAAAGGTTACCAAATCTAACTTAATTATTACAGATTCTAGAGGACACAAAATCTCTCATCAAGCATTCCTACCAAGAAACACTTGACAATGCCAGCAATGGAAAATGGATATTATGTCTAAAATATCTTGGAGATGATAAAGTGTTAGACACTCTGAAAACAAACTGGCTTCAGGATGTTATTACTTGATTTGATTATTATTGTCATTAATATTATTATTTTTTTGAGGTTGTATTTTTAAAACAGATAATGTTGCATTTGCTGTAAACTTAAAGGCACTACATTGTTTCACTCTCTATGAAGGTAAAATGTTACCCTCTTTTTTAACTGCTTTTTGTCAAATTTTTTAACATAGTTTTTTTACCCTTTTTCATCTTTAATACCTCTTCTGAGTGATATTCTTTCAGTTACCTTTGGTTTGCAGTCAGTTAATGATATAATAATGGCAGACCCAGTGTCCAGCAAAACATTACTAACATCCACTACATGTCATTGGACTTACCCCTAACATTGTACTTTTCTTGAAAAATAAACAGTCTTTGTAAAAGAGACCTTAAGCAAACCACCATGGCAACAGCAACAAAAGCATGGCTGGACAAAAGATTCAGTGAGCACACAAATAGCTCAGTATGTATGTTTTCAAATTTTATTTACTTGTTATCTATTCTCTGAAACAAAACAACATAAATCACTAAAATTTGCATGGAGTAAGAACAGAACCTCTGATGGCAAATTATTTACCTGTCATTGTTTAGAACTAAACCCTGCTCACTTTTCTTATGGCAAAGATGATGACTTGCTTAGTTAGAGAGGGTAATCACATCCACCATCCATTTAGTGGAAATTTTTGTCAGCTTGCAATCCTGATTGCTTAAGATCCATAAAGATTTCTGTGGATTGACTCTTGTGTTTACAAATTACTTCTAATCACAATCATCTTCTCTTCCTGGTAAACTCCAATTTTCAAATTCTTGCTGGACATAATAACTGTTCACTCTCCACTTAGCTGGCTTTTTTTCTAATCAACATTAGTTGAAGACTGAAGAACAAACCCTTTTACATTTAAGTTTTTAAAAAACACTTTTTTATTTTAATTGTCTTTATTTGTGGGAATTTAAGAAGCAAGTTTTACATTAGTTTTGAAAGACTAAATATTCATTTCACAATCAGGTAACCCACAACTTATACTCTCTTAGAAGTGTAGGAAATTTGCGAGGCACCTCCCATTTTAAATTTTTGTGTTGTGAAGTCCTCGCCACAAAGTAATGTGTATTTTTTATAAGGAAAAATCCAGTCTGAAATATATTTCTGATTAATTTTTCTTTCCAATTGTAGTTTATTTTATTGGAAAATACTGTTTGATAATTTCTTAATTGAGAAACATATTTTACTTTTTTGAGTCTACAACATTTCAATTGATAGTATAGTTACAGCATCAAAAGCAGAGATGATGGACTTAACTAGAAAAGAAGGTTTTTGAAATAAGCTTTTGTGAAGTGTTAAACAGGGCAACAAGATTTAAATTGAACTTCCTTGCAAGAATTGTGTGTTTTCACCCCATTGTCTCTCCTTGTGTTATTAGCTAGAAGTTGGTCAGATTGCATTCAATTATTTTTTTCCATCTCTAAGATGATAGTATAAATTCTCTGTACTGTTTGCTACACAGTTCTTGGAATTTTAGCTTTCAGAATTTGGTGTTAGATCAAGCAAATACCCATAGATGTTAACTATTCTTTTTCTGATCACCTTTCTGCTTAACAATGCATTGTATTGTAAGTAGAAACAACTTATTAAACAACTCTGGGAGTGAAAAGGTTTTTTTGTGGGGCAGGGGGGAGGGGGGTTAACCTAAATATGTAATTTCCAGTTTTTATGTTGACACAGTCATTCTGTTACTGTAACATGCATTGAAATGAGATTAAAAGATTAGTTTGATTAAAATGTTTGGCTGCACAAGAATTGCAATTACTTGGTTTTTTAGATCAGGATTGTACAGATTTTTTAATTCTTCCTTAAGTGTTGAAAAGAAATGATATAAAGACCTGAAAAGATTACAGGAAATTAAAAGAAAAAAAAAAAGGGGGGAAAGAAGTCTCTACTATAATCCCTAAGCAGCAACAAGTGGTTAATTCCAGGTGGAAACCTTTGTGATCTTTCTCTTGATCTTTTTAACCTAAATAATTCCTCTCTGTTTCCTTATTTGTTTTCTTTTGTTTAATTAGTAGTTTATTTTGGCCCTACAGTCTTCTGATTTCATAAATGTGGGATCAAAAAACATATAAATGCCATATTGGCCAAATTTTAAATATGTGACTAAGAACTTTTTCCCATTTATGTCATGTCTGTTACAGTTTACACTTCGTAAGATATTTCATCATTGGTTTTAGGTGTGGAATGGAAGTTTGTTTTTATAATTGGAAGGAGAAAATCAATATTATGGGATATGAGGAGGGTTTTAAGAGGAATGCTGCATACCCCCCACTTACAATTTTTTTGACTATACCCTCATCCCCTGTTCATTGTTAGAGGATTAGAGCTTCTCTACTGGACTTGAGGCATTTTTCTCAGATAAATTTACTATATTTTTGTCTGATATTGAGAAGGCTACATTTCCCCTTCTCTCATGGTTTTCACTTTGGTTTGATTATTTTTAAAACAAAATGTAGCCGTTCCTTAACAAAACTGCAACCAAAAAATACTCAATTTAGCAAGATGTTAAATATCTGAACAATTATTGTGAACAGGGTAAAGAGGCTGGATAGCTAACTGTGGAATGACAGTTACTTCATTTCATAAACCCTCTTCTAGAGAAGGCCTGAATCCCACTGATTGGGTGAAACCATGATTTGGGTTACACTGTGTAAATAATAAATGGCCCTTTCAGTCTGACCATTGGGGCTCAACGCATCACAACGAGTAAATACCAGTTTACAACATTTATTCTACACTGATAAAAGTGGTGGTTCTGAATCTATTACAAGCACTGGTAACTTAAATTGCTAACTGTACGTTGAAGCCTGATGCCTCATCATCAAATTTTGCTGTGCAACTTATTGACATTTTCATTCTAAAATGCTAGTAACAGTTCCAAAATGGTACATTTGTTAAAAAAAAATACACTAATATCTACAAAAAGATGCAGAAACACCAAAAGATTTCTAAAAATTAGTATGATTAAAAATCTCGCACCACTAACCTACAATAAAAGCTTTTGATTAAGGCACGACGATTTGAATTATAATTGTTTTTTGCGGTACTACTCGAACCAGATCGTTGCGATCGAAAAAAAAAAAAGAAAAAAACAGCCCAAAAAAAGAACTAGGTATTCTACCAAGCAATCTCTACTGTATTACTAGTTACTTCTACTCATCTGATCGCCTTACAATCTCCAAACATATCTGTAACATACATTGAAATGAGATTAAAAGATTAGTTTTATTAAAATATTTGGATGTACAGGAATTGTAATTACTCGGTTTTTCAGACCAGGATTGTACAGATTTTTTAATTCTTCCTTATTAAGTGTTGAAAAGAAATGATATAAAGACCTGAAAATATTACAGGAAATAAAAGGAAAAAAAATGGGGGAGAAGAAGTCTCTACTATTATTCATAAGCTGCAACAAGTGGTTAATTCCAGGTGGAAATCTTTATGATCTTTTGCTTCTTCTTGTTCTTTTTACTTAAATAATTCCTCTCTGTTTCCTGATCTGATTTCTTTTGTTTAATTAGTAGGTTATTTTGACCCTCAAGGTCTTCTGATCTCATAAACACGAGATCAATTACATTTTCATTAAATGTTCCACCAGACTAAGTTTGGCCAAAATTTTAAATAGGAGGCTAAAAACTTTTTCACATTCATTTCATGTCTGTGACAGTTTATGCTTTGTAAGATATTTCATCATTGGTTTTAGGTGTGGAGTGGAATTCTGTTTTTTATAATTGGAAGGAGAAAATCAATGATATGGGATATGAGGAGGGTTTTAAGAGGAATGCTGCATACCCCCAATTACAATTTTTTTGACTATACCCTCATCCCCTGTTCAGGGTTAGAGGATTAGATCTTCTCTACTGGACTTGAGGCATTTTTCTTAGGTAAATTTACTTTATTTTTGTCTGATATTGAGAGGGCTACATTTCCCCTTTTCTCATGGTTTTTCACTTTGGTTTGATTTTTTTAAAAACAAAATGTAGCCGTTCTTTAACAAAACTGCAACCAAAAAATACTCAATTTAGCAAGATGTTTTATCTGAACATTTAATTATTGTGAACAGGGTAAAGAGGGTGGATAGCTAACTGTGGAATGACAGTTACTTCATTTCATAAACCCTCTTCTAGAGAAAGCCTGAAGCCCACTGATTGGGTGAAACCATGGTTTGGGTTACACTGTGTAAATAATAAATGGCCCTTTGAGTCTAACTATTGGGGCTCAACGTATCACAACGAGTAAATATCTGTTTACAACATTTATTCTACACTGATAAATGTGGTGGTTCTGAATCTATTAACAAGCACTGGTAAGTTAAATTGTTAACTGTACGTTGAAGCCTGATGCCTCATCTTCAAATTTTGCTGTGCAGCTTATTGACATTTTCATTCTGAAATGCTAGTAACAGTTCCAAAATGGTACATTTGTTAAAAAAAATACACTCATATCTACAAAATAATGCAGAAACACCAAAAGATTTCAAAAAATTAGTATGATAAAAAATCTCGCACTAACCTACAATAAAAGCTTTAGACTAAGGCACGACGAGTTGAGTTATAATTGTTTTTTTGCGGTACCACTCGAACCGGATCGTTGCGATCGAAAAAAAAGAAAAAACAGCCAAAAAGAAAAAAACAAGTGTTCTACCAAGCAATTTCTACTGTATTTACTCATCTGATCTCCAACCATATCTAAACAGAAAACTGTTCCGTGTAACAGTCTCAGGTGATCAAAAAGTAAAGAAAGATGGAGAGAAGTTACGATCGAAACTAACCAATCATAAAATGACAAAGTTTCCTGAGAGGTCCGAGATTTGTTTGTTTTCTCTGCAGGAAGCTTTGTGTTTTTACTGAAATATTATTGGTGTCATGTATTACTTAAGAACTACACACCCCAAACAATATGGCGGTTCGGCAAGTAAAAGACAATTTGATGAAGCCTCATGCGTGCGCATGAGCAAACCATATATGGTAACACACAACATACAACACACTGGAAAACCATAACATTCCTCCACACATAAAACGATCTGTCCCTAGCTTTCAAAACAAGCCCTAAAATACAATTTCAAGGAAAACATAAAATAAACCAACAGTGTCCGGTAACCACAGTTCGAAAGGTAAGAACGACCTTTAAACAAGAAAACGAACAGAATAAAACAAAGTTCAGAGATCAAGCCTCTGTGGTGCCCCCCTGCGAACTCTCTGAGGGTGTTGTCGCATTTTGACCATCGGACTAACTGTAGCTGGTTTAGCATCAGGAGGGTCAGGTACCGTAGGTGTGGAAACAGGAACCATCTTTGGTTGATCTTTTTTGGAACCTCCTGGAGCTGTGCCGCCCTCAGTGGTTGGAGTACTCGATGTAATTGGGGTCAGTGGTGTGTTGGCCATTTCAGGTTGGCTGACTTCAACACTACAGTCGGCGTCAGTGCTTTCAACTGTGTGTCCAACTGCCGTTGGCCTCAACTGATCAATATGTCGGCGCCAGGTCAGTCCCGGTGCCACCTGCACCTCATACATCAGCGGACCTGTTTTGTTAACAATCAGCCCTGGACGCCACTTCAGATCCCCTCGATAATCCCGTGACATAACTGAGTCACCAATCTCTAACTGGCGATACTGTTTACCCTTGTCAATCGCTGCCTTAATGCTCTGCTGGTGTTGTTGGTTAACCATCTTACGGTTTAAGTTAGGTTTCACCAAATCTAGGAGAGTATGCAATGGTCTTCCCAGGAGTAACTGTGCTGGGCTCTCACCGGTGGTGGAGTGTGGAGTGTTCCTGTAAGCTATGAGAAACTTCGCCAACTTCTCCCTCACTGGCTTGGGGCTTTGACGCATGGAACGCATAAAGCCTGTTTGAAGGTCTGTACTGTCCTTTCCGCAAGACCATTCGTCGCTGGATGGTACGGTGCTGAAGTTATATGGCGGATGCCATTGGACTTGACAAATGTCTGGAATTCCTCCGAAACAAACTGTGTACCATTGTCACTGACTATCTGTTCTGGAATTCCGAATCTGGCGAACAAATCGCGTAGAATTTCGATAGTCGAACTTGAAGAAGTTGACTTGACTGGAACCACTTCTGGCCACTTGGTGTGTGCGTCGACAACCACTAAGAACATCGAGTTCTGAAATGGCCCTGCGTAGTCGATGTGTATACGCTGCCATGGTGTAGTGGCCCACTCCCCACGGATGTAGTGGTGTTTTAGCAGGCATCTTCTGATTTTGCTGACACCCGCTGCAGCCTTTCGCTAGCTCTTCCAGATGACCATTGATATTAGGCCACCATACGTAGCTCCTCGCGAGTGCTTTCATTTTGACCATGCCCAGATGCCCATCATGAAGTTCCTCTAACACTCTGCTTTGTAACTTATTGGGAACGACCACTCTCATTCCCCATAGGATGCAGCCTTGGTGAACTGTCAGTTCATTGCGTCGCTCGTAATAAGGCTTGTCTCCCTCCACACGAGTAGACCATCCTTTCACGATAGAATCGTGTATCCTCGCTAGGACAACGTCACGACGTGTTTCTCTTGCCACTGCTTCACTGGTTATAGGTAATGGCACAAACTGAGAGGCGTGGAACACCTCTGTTGAATCCACCTCCAAGTCTTCTCGCTCTTTCTGCTGGAGAGGGAGCCGCGACAGTCCATCGGCATTGCAGTGTTTGGTTGTACTCTTATACTCAATGATATAGTCGAACCCAGACAAGAACAATGCATATCGCTGAAGCCTTGCAGCAGTCATGGCTGGAACTCCCTTTTCTGGGTGGAAGATGGCAGTGAGGGGCTTGTGGTCTGTAATGAGCGTAAATCGTCTCCCATAGAGGTAAACATGAAATCGTTTCACCCCCCACACAATGGACAATGCCTCCTTGTCTATCTGTGCATACCGTCGTTCAGTCTTGGTCAACGATCGGGACGCAAAAGCTACCGGCCTTTCGCTACCATCGGACATGACGTGTGAAAGAACCGCGCCGATGCCAGTTGGTGAAGCATCACATGCCAGCCTAACCGGTAATGTTGGGTCATAGTGCGTTAGCACCTGCTCAGATGTAATCATACGCTTAGCCTCAGTGAATGCTCGCTCGCACCGTTCAGTCCACTGCCATTCGTTGTTTTGCTCTAACAACTGGTGAAGTGGGTGGAGAACTGTAGACGCATTGGGCAAGAAACGGTTGTAATAGTTTACGAGCCCTAAAAATGAGCGAAGCTGTGACACATTCTCAGGTCTTGGTGCACTGACCACTGCTTCAATCTTCTCTTGTGTCTTGTGTAGACCTTCCTTATCGATCTCATGCCCACAAAACTGAACTCTATCTTTGAAGAACTCGCACTTTTCCTTGTTAGCCTTCAGACCCGCAACTTGTAATCGCTTGAGTACACTCTCCAGGTTCTCCAAATGTTCTTCATCGGTTTTACCTGTGACAATCATGTCATCAAGGATGCACTGGGTCCCAGGTATTCCCTGTAATACCTGGTCTATGGCACGCTGCCAAATGGCTGGAGACGAAGAGATGCCAAAGACTAAGCGATTGTATCGAAAAAAGGCCCTTGTGTGTATTAATCGTAAGGAGTTCCTTGGATCTTTCGGTTACTTCCATCTGGTGATAAGCTTGGCGAAGGTCAAGCTTGCTGAAATGTCTACCGCCAGCCAAATTTGCAAAAATATCCTCTATACGTGGCAGAGGGTACTGTTCTGCAAGAAGTACTGGGTTCACTGAGACCTTAAAATCGCACAAAACTCGTACCGATCCGTTTTCGCTTGACTACCGGGACAATTGGGGTCGCCCATTCACTGTATTCTACTTTAGAGAGAATACCTTCCTTCTCTAAGCGTGTCAATTCTGCTTCTACTTTGGGGCGGAGTGCGTATGGCACTTGGCGTGGTTTATGAAAGCTGGACTGGCAGCCTTCCTCGACCTTCAAATCCGCCTTGTAGCCTTTAAGTGTGCCCAGATTTTCGGAGAAAACAGACTCGTACTTCTGTAGTAGCTGATCCACTTTGCGTGCCATACCCCCTTCTGAAGTCTTGCTAAGCTTAAAGGTTTTGATTTCACCCCAGTTCAGTTGAATGTTGGACAGCCAGTCACGCCCAAACAGTGCTGGTCCCTGCGTCTCAACAACTTGTAGGTTTAACTCTTTTTCCTGGCCCTTGAACTTAACATTACATCTCATCTCTCCCTTAGGTGTGATTTTCTGCCCAGTGTATGTCTTAAGTGTCACAAGGCTCTTTGAAAGTTTGACATGATTAAAATGTTCCTTATATTGTTTGTATGGAAGTACAGACACCGCTGACCCTGTGTCTAGTTCCATCTTGACCACCTTTCCCTGTATTTCGGGGTTGACCCATATTACGTGATCCTTGTCACCCACATTATTAACCTCAAGGGATGCCAAATAATCATCGCTGTCCCCGTCATCGCTGTCTACATAATTTACTGGGGGTTGGGAAACTTGTGTTTCTTTTTTCTTTGATTTACAAGCCCTCACAATGTGACCAGTCTTGTTACAGTGGTGGCATTTTTCTTTCTTGAATGGACAACTTTTGTGATCATGAATTCCCAAACAGCGGTAGCAACTTTGATCACCCGTTCTCTTGGGGAAAAAGAACCTTTTTTTCTCTGAAAGCTTGGCTTCTCTCTTGAATTTAAGCTTCTTGCCTGGCTTTGATTTGGCTAATAGATCGATTGATTCTGACGCTTTATTCCCTGGAGAGCTTCAACATCCTTGTAAGATTGCTCAATAGCTAAGCACTTTGCATCAGCAATGTCAAATGTTAGTTCCTCAAGCTTAAGTTTCAAAAGCTCTGACATCATTCTCTTATCTCGAATACCCGAAACCAGTCTATCTCTAAGCCTTTCCAAACGCATGGCGTCGTTAAATTTGCAATCCATAGCTAGATGTTTCAAAACAGCAACATATTGACTCACCGTTTCTCCTGCGTTACGTGCTCGGTTGTCAAACTCATACCTGGCTACTAAAGCAGACTTCTGTGGCTTCAATTGTTCGCGGAGACGCTCTACGATTGCGTTGTACGTGAGAGAATCTTCTCCTAACAAGGTCGGAGCCATCAAATCTTTCGCCAGTTGGTACGTTTCAGTGGGAAGATTGGTTAACAGGATGGCTTTCTTCTGTTTCGCGTCGGTCACTCCATTGGCCACGAAGAAGAATCCTAACTGTTCTGTATACGCCTCGAAGTCAGTTCCCACAGTGAACTTTTGAACTTTTCCGACGTTACGAACTGGATTTGGTGCCGTATTTGCATCGCTGGCCATCGTGGACGTTATGTGGATTTAGTTTAGGGATGTCTTCACTTTTAGCAGCCCAAAAGGTCCCTTAATATCCCATCCTCGTCGCCAAAATTGTCATGTATTACTTAAGAACTACACACCCCAAACAATATGGCGGTTCGGTAAGTAAAAGACTGTTTAATGAAGCCTCATGCGTGCGCATGAGCAAACCATATATGGTAACACACAACATACAACACACTGGAAAACCATAACAATTGGTTCGTTATAAAAAAAAAATTTGACATCCTTCGTTCTCAATAAACATGTTCATTGGTTCATTTTTCTTCATTTCGATCCGGTTCAAATAATCTCACTGCTCTGAGCACTTTACAGATTAGTTTTACATTCATTCACGGGCTGAGTCAATGGGTTGAAATTATCACCGAGCTGGTCACCTCACTGCTATTTTGAATAGTAAGTGGTTCAAATAATTCCTTTTTTAGTGTTTAATTGGAATTGCTGAGGCCTAAAGAATTAGCTTACACTGAGACTGACTATTGCTTAGTGAATTACGTGCCTTGCGTGAGATGTTATTTAGTGAGAGCTGTATTTATTGCGAGGTTTAACGTGTGTAGCTGACAGTTGTTGTTGTTGAAGGCTTCAGCCAAGTGCTGTGCTCCAATGTCCGAGATGATATTGTCTGAGAGGTATAACGTGTGTAGCTGACAGTTGTTGTTGTTGATGGCGTCAGCCAAGTGCTGTGCTCCAATGTGTGAGATGTTATTGTCTGAGAGGTTTAACGTGTGTAGCTGACAGTTGTTGTTGTTGATGGCTTCAGCCAAGTGCTGTGCTCCAATGTTTGAGATGTTATTGTCTGAGAGGTTTAACGTGTGTAGCTGACAGTTGTTGTTGTTGATGGCTTCAGCCAAGTGCCGTGCTCCAATGTGTGAGATTTTATTTCTTGTGAGGTTTAACGTGTGTAGCTGACAGTTGTTGTTGTTGATGGCTTCAGCCAAGTGCTGTGCTCCAATGTCCGAGATGATATTGTCTGAGAGGTATAACGTGTGTAGCTGACAGTTGTTGTTGTTGATGGCGTCAGCCAAGTGCTGTGCTCCAATGTGTGAGATGTTATTGTCTGAGAGGTTTAACGTGTGTAGCTGACAGTTGTTGTTGTTGATGGCTTCAGCCAAGTGCTGTGCTCCAATGTTTGAGATGTTATTGTCTGAGAGGTTTAACGTGCGTAGCTGACAGTTGTTGTTGTTGATGGCTTCAGCCAAGTGCTGTGCTCCAATGTGTGAGATGTTATTGTATGAGAGGTTTAACGTGTGTAGCTGACAGTTGTTGTTGTTGATGGCTTCAGCCAAGTGCTGTGCTCCAATGTTTGAGATGTTATTGTCTGTGAGGTCTAACGTGTGTAACTGACAGTTGTTGTTGTTGATGGCTTCAGCTAAATACTTTGCTGCTTCAGCTGTCAATTGATTTCTTGCGAGGTTTAACCAGCTCAGTTGAGATTCCCTACATTTTAACAGTTTACCAATCTCAAAACAACCTAATGGACCAATGTCATTGAAACTCAAATCTAAATGTGAAATTTGTTGAACATTAATTACATTTACTAACGAAGAGCAATCAACAGCTGTGAGGTGACAACGAACAAAATTTACACAATTAAAGTTCATTTGTTGAAGTTTTCTCTGTGCTTCTGACTTCATTCTACTATTTTCGTTTAAACATTTAATTAATGTTACTGCTAATTCTCGTTCGTCTTCAGTTGGCCAGCAGGTTACTTTCCTTTGCTCTTCATTCTCAGTCCACTGTTCGTTGTAGTCTGCGCTTTCTCTTTCTTCGGTTTTTACAGGAAGAAGGTCCGTGATAATTTCAATTGGTAGGTGAACTTTATCCTCCATAAGTCCTGCTAGAAACTGAAAAACTAGCTGCCATTTGCCGTTCTTAATGTTCTCGGAAACAAAGTTTCTTAATTCTGTTTCACTCAAGTTGCTCACCAAGTGCCTCGCAGCGAAAAACTCTTGCATTGTTAGGTGAATGAAACAGAATTGCTCCTCATCTTTTAACGCGGCAGACGGTCGGGTAAGCGGTGAAAAAGAGCGCTGTCTTGCATTCCTTGTACTTCCTTTCCTCTAAGGATCAGTTTCCTTCTTGGATTCCTTCAAACGCCACTCTTCCTAGTTTCTTGAATTTCTCCTCCACCGCCAAAGGCAAATTATGTGACAGATAGTTTTTGCGGGTGAAATGTTTATCGCGGAATTCTTTCGTGTGTTTGAAATAAAATACTTTGACCGCAATCTTGTATATCGTGGTTAATTCGGAAGGCAGGGTAACACTACCGGAACTTTCGAACTGCACTATTTCTGACAGACTTGAGCACATGATGAAGCTGTTCACAGGGATATAACAGAGCGAAAGTAAGTTCATGTTGCTGCTGATGTGTCGCCATAGCGTTTCGCCTGCTTCCTTGTCATCTCCGGCAAATTTGTCGATATACTCTTTAATTTGCTCGGTTGAGAAGCCAAGGATTTCAAAGCTTTTGTCGAACTTCAGATGTGCGATGCCTGACAAAGCCGTAGGTCTCGTAGTCGTTACAATTGAAGCATCTTTAAGAAGTTTCCCGGTCACAAGCCATTGATAAAGAATTTGGAGCGGCTTTCTATCTTCAATGCTTTTGGGATAAGGAGAAGCCTTGGTTTTCTTTTCGTCATGTTCGAATTCGTCGAATCCGTCAAAAAGCATGAGAACACCTTTAGGGTTCTTTTGGAGGTGATTCCAGATCTTGTCATCCATGTCATGTGTAGGGAAATACTCAGACCTCATCAACAGTTCCTTGAGGCTAAGGTCGTCGGCTGAGTTGAATCTTCTAAATTTTACGAAGAAAACAGCATTAAAATGGACTTGGGCACCTGATGTCGCTTTGAAATCTTTATTCAATGCCCAGTCTCTGAGAAGTTTGATACAACATAGTGTCTTTCCGATTCCGGGTCGACCGACGATTAAAACTTTCTTACTTTCAACATCCAGAAGGTCTTGCATGCTTTTCGGTTGTGAGTTTTCGTCGCGCGACCTTGGATAAACTTTGAGTTGCTCCTCTCGGTTTTCAGTAAAGTCATGCGTTTCTCTGTTTTGAATTACCACCAGGTTGGTGTAAATCTGATCGAGAGTCAAATTTTTAGCTGTTGAGTGGTCGCCTGGATTACCTACAAAAGGTGATTGGAGTTCTAAAAGTTCTTCGGTCTCTTGAACAATTATTTTCTTTGTGCTTTTGATGAATTCTTGAAACTTTCGTCCATCTAGGAGTCGGTTGAGATTAAGATGGGTTGTTAGAAACTTCGAGTCTTGCATGAAACTCCTTTCAATGCATGCCCGTGATAAAAGGTAGACAGTTTCAACCAGAATGCCAGCGACAAGAATTCCATTCACCGTAAGGACAGCGTACATCCAGAATGTTTTCTTTTCCGCTCGTTGATTGTGACAGTAGTGTAAAGTAGAGTTTTGGGCGTTGTCAGATGAACTCCTTGGCTGAGTGGTTCCATCGGTTAAATAACAGTTAAACTTAGAGGAAAACTTCAAAGGATAAAACAACTGTGTTTGTAAGATGATGAAAATAACTCCTAAAACAATTCTTATCGATAGTTGAGAGCAGTAAGCGATAAAAAGCTTGTTTCCAGTTAATGACGCAGTTTCTTGTTCGAGCAGCTGCCTCTCTTGATCACCGTTGCGGTTACCTCGTGACAGTTGATTGACTTTGAATCTCACTATTTGGGAGTAAATAGCACATACAAGAGCAATAAGGACAAAATTGATGATCACGAAGCCAAACATAGGAAAACCAAATTTGTTGTACTGCTTCATATATTTCTCGTAACATTCTCCACGGACGACGTCGACGTTTTCACTCTTCGCTCCGCCACAGCGGAAATCAAACCTGGACTCGCTGTTTTCCATGTCGACAAATATGGCAAAGAATATTACACTGATCAGGATCCAAAAACCCACTGCCACATAGTGGACTTTGTTGAAAGTTTTTGGCTCCAAATATTCTAAAACCTTTTCCATTGATACTGTTAGTATTGTTACTCACTTTGTTAGAATGCTGATCAGCTCTGGAGCTGGAATAAACAGCTAATGCCACCTTGGTCTATTTATAGAGCATGATAGTGCTTTTATTTAATTGGCCTTTTTGGAAACTTTCAACTGTCGAAACGACAATGGACTCTTTATGCATGTTATTGTTCTACATACGAAACAACTGTCAGAAACTGAGACGGATACAGATATTTGCTTATGTGGCAATATACAGGACCTCGTTTCTTCCCATCCCCTCCCCTGTGTCCATTTTCACCCCCTCTCTCTTCTCCTTTTCTATTAATGTCGCCGCTGAGGCCCTGAAGAGAAACTTTTTGTGCCGATGTACCTTATTTTGAAGGTTGAAGACTAAATTCTGAGTTGTTAGGTGTGGACATTTCATCTGGGTGGTAATTGTTTGGAAAGAAAATTGTAACACATGGTTGATTCAAGTCACGATTGGTTGAGGTTTCGCATCTTATCAATTTTGAGGGTGGTGTGAAGTTTTCTAGCTAATTCTAAAGCAGCTTAGTGAAGCAAGACTAATGCAAATCAAGTTATTCTCGACTACGTCGTGAAAATACTGCCCTGTTTCGATCAATGTTATTCATCTTACCATGATCATGACAGGTGTCAGGGTCTAGAAATACGTTAGCATGTCCTTTGTTGTTTAATGGAGGCCCTATGCATTTCTGAGCCGAAAACTCGCTAATTAACTGCTCAACTTAGAGGTCATATATCCGAAAATGTTTTCAATGAGATTTGACAAACAGCTTCCCAAGATCTAACCTCACCATGAAAACCATGTGATCCTTCAAAAATCCTCCACCCACACCTCCCCCTTTTACAGGTGATAAATGAAGACTCTCCCCTTGTTTACCCATAATTTTTCTTTTTGCTCTTTCCGATTTTCTTTGCTGCTTTTTTAAAGTTTCCTATGGCAACATTGTTGCAGCCAACTGCGGAAATAACAGAATAGTCAGTCAGAATAGTTTGAAATACTATTAATCCTTTAAACCCTAAGAGTGTCTAGCACCTAATTTCTCCCTACAATATCAGCCCTGAATCAAACATTAAGGTCAAGAGAATAAAGAAAATGCTCACCAGGGAAGGAATCTTTTGATTGGCAAACAAATTCTCCTTGTCAGCACCTTAGGAAATGTATAAAGTACAGTGTGGAGAATATCCATACTGATATTAGGGTACCGGTGTAAAGGGTGAAGAAAATGAAAGACGTCTTCCTTTTTAAGTCTTTTATGAGAGGTTGTTGACAGACTTGTCAATTCTGTTGCAGCAGTTTCTATAATTAAATTTATATTTTTAGTTTTCAAGAAAATTGTCCTTAATCTGGGCGCAGACTTGTAAAATTTTTCACGAAAATATATCAGGAAAACGATAGCGAAATTTTCATGATAGGGTTAAGGTCTGGGGCTTAGTACTAGGAGCAAATCTATCCAGATCGAGCTGATTCAACGAGGTATAAAATTTAAGTATACAGCCAAGTTCCATTTCAGCGTACCAATCAACCTTTTTCTGGTTAGATTTGAGAGATGATGAGTCGAGCAATTTTGTTTGCTGTAGCGTTTTTATTTGCATGAGAAATCAACTCTATTTTTACGGTTTGCCAATCAGTAATGTAGCAACCTTCCTGAAATTTTTTTACCCCATAAAAGTTTGAGCATAACCTGAAATACGAGTCAATTCTACGCAATTGAAGCAGTTATTTCCTTCTGCGGTCAAATTTTTTCACTCCACAAACGAAAAGTTTATAGCTTTTTTTTGAGTGTTATCCTTGTTAGTTTGAACTCACTTTGTTTTAGGCATTTTTGGAAAATGTGTCATTTAAGTTTAAGTTGTCGAGGAATACGGCGAAGAAGATAACACTGATCAGGATCCAAAAACACCCTGCCACATAATGAACTCTGTGGAAAGTTTTTGGCTCCAAATATTCTAAAATCTTTTCCATTGATATGGTTGGTATCTTTACTCACTTCCCCAGAACGCTGATCAGTTCTGGAGCTTGAATAAACAGCTAATGCGGCCTTGGTCTATTTGTAGCGCATGATAGTACTTTTATTTGATTGGCTTTTTTGGAAACTTTCAACTGTCAAAACGACAATGGACTCTTTATGCATGTTATTGTTCTACATAAGAAACACTTGTCAGAAGCTGAGACGGTTATAGATATCTGCATATGTGCCAACATACGGGACCTCGCTTTCTCCCACCCCCTTCCCCGTGCTCATTTTCAGTCGCTTTGTCTTCTCCTTTTTTATTAAAGTCGCTGCTGAGGCCCTGAAGAAAAACTCATTATGCCGATGTAGCTTATTTTGAAGGTTGAAGACTAAATACCGAGTTGCTAGGTGTGGATATTTCATCTGCGTGGTAATTGTTTGGGGAGGAAATTGTAACCCTTGGCTGATTCAAGTCACGATTGGTTGAGGTTTTGCATCTTATTAATTTTGAGGGTGGTGTGAGTTTTTTTTAACTAATACCAAAGCGGCTTAGTGAAGCAAAACTAATGCAAATACTTATTGAAGATGATCATCTCACAGCTGGAGCTTGGGCTGCCTGTGGCTTGACCACCCCCCCCCGTGCTCATTTCCACACACTCTTCCATCTCCTTTTCCTAACAAAATTCAGTGCGGAAGCCCAGTAGACTTGATTTAACTTCTGCTTTCAAACCCAGGGAGCTAATGTTGTTTATTTTGCAGCTTTAAGCCTGCTAATTCCTGAGCTACCAAGTATCACCATTTTCTGCAGTACTCACTTGAAAAGAGATTTGTATTTCTTACATAATAGACGCTAACACACCAGGGTGTGATGCAGTTCAAAGATTTCTTTTTTAGACGACAATGGGAGACGTGATGAAAGAAACAATTATTAGTCTGTAGACTCTGTGAATTGTCAAATTCCTGTTTGGGAATGTGTCCGCAAAACTTGTTTATATCGACTATCACCTGGTTCGATTGGTAACAATAAGAACACAAACTAGATAAAATTATTTCCGCCGTATTATTTAGTTGTAGCTCTTTACTTCGCCTCGCGTTTTCGTTATTTTTTTAGGGAGTTAAGAGGGCAGTGTAATTAACTGATAGGTTTGGCGCCAGATTAATGCTTGGCGGGAGGATAAAAGAGCTTCAGGACAAATATCGTGACAATAGCGGAGAGTACTAAAGACAGCATGAAATTTCAGTTCCCCCAAGTGACTTTAGACATACAAAACAAACGACATTCGATTCTCTAAATAGTGTAATAAACGAAAAGTGTACGAGGGGATGGCAGTTCGCTTTCTCTGGGTGTTACTAAACTGTAGATTGGCAGACCGTGGAACCTGCGAAACCATTAGTTTTTTGTTAAAAAGAAATATTTATGAATTGAAATAGAAACTAAAATACCTTAACATAATACTAGACCCTGTAAGCAGGGTAACTGGGATACCTGGATGGTACTGGATCCTTGGAATCAAGTGTAGTGATACTACGGGTGTCGGACTAGTATACTGAAATAGTGCGCTCAAGTCTGGCCAAGGGCATAGACGTATTTCAAAACATAGGCATGGTATGCATGCAAGAGTTACTTTTTTGTAGGGTTGGTGGATTACTTGAAACATTGTGAGTGATGTCTACATTCTTACAAAAGGAGAGAAGAATATTAATGTGGGAAAGAACGAAAATGTCGAATTACCTCACACACAGGTATTTTGCGGTAGATTATGTGTGTTTTGCGAATAAATGTAACCAAAAATAAACTGTATTGGTGTAAGTGACCTTAGACATACCAAAACAAACGACATTCGATTCAATAAATAGTGTGAATGTTAATGAAATGAAATGGAAACTAAAAATACCTTAACGATTTTCGAAATTTCGTTTTCGGGTATAAAGAAGGTAGCGTTAACAGAGAGATATGTTTTTTTATCTCCTTTGACGTCGAATCACAGAAAACCCAAGCTCACGCGGAACGCCCGGAAATAAACAACCGCATAAAAAGATGTGGACGTGTTTTGAATAAGACTTTGACAATAAGAATTTGACAAATTTACCCCGCTCAAGTGGTTGTTCGTTTGCATAGTGGTTTTTTTTTTTGGTGAGATAGGTTAATTTAGCTCGGTTTTAGTTCATCTGCCCAGCCCTCTACATAATCCTTTCCAAGACAAGTCTGTGAGTAACGCAAACTGAATGAATCCACTGGAAGCAAAACGCTGTTAAATCGCTCCGAACTCCCCGATCACCCCAAAATTCGGCTTACTGTTATTTGCGAAACGAAGCGAAACGGATAGAAATGAAAATCTGTAATTTGTGAAATGGATCGAAATATGCTAATGTTTGCAAAATAGAAATCGAAGATTGCAGCTTTCTATCAAGCAACATAAGCAACCATAGTCCTATGATCCAGCATCCATGTGAACTAGACCCTGTGAGCAGGGCAACTGGGATACCTGGATGGTACTGGATCCTTGGAATCAAGTGTAGTGATACTACGGGTGTCGGATTAGTCTACTGAAATAGTGAGCTCAAGTCTGGCTAAGGGCATACACCTATTTCAAAACATAGGCATGCTATGCATGGCAAGAGTTATTTTTTGTAGGGTGGGTGGATTACTGGTGGTCTACATTCTTACAAAAGGAAAGAAGAGTATTAACGTGGAAAAGAACGAAAATGTCGAATTACCTCACACACAGGTATTTTGTGGTAGATTATGTGTGTTGAGCGAATAAATGTAATCAAAAATAAACTGTATTGGTGCCACAGATACCTGTTAGTACAAAATGCAGTCAGCAGACCGGATACAAAATATAGACTGGAGACTACAGAGTGGGTACAAAATGCAGACTGAGAATCTGAAGAGTTTTTACGTCTGGTAAATAATAACATGTCATCTTAAAGCTTACCGAGCGTCACGCAATCGCTTTTCCTCGATCAGCCTTCACGATTATTTGCACTATTGTGGAAAATTCCTGGCCCATTGCTTGATGAAAATCGATCGTAATATAATTTCAAGCCTTCAATATACTCTTCTTACTTTGTGCGCGAGTTGGTTTGTGTGATGTCTGTACAGATTTTACCAACGTAACAAAAGTAGATTATGTGAATAACAGCGATGGTAAAGCAAGCTTAAAACGGCAGAAATCACCAGAAACTTCAACGGATACACAGTTCGCGATTCAATCCGGTCCAAAATTACCGCTCAATAACATCTTTTAGTGTGGATTGGCGGCGAACAATACGACTTGTGTATGCGTCTGTAAGTATTTCGAGCGTTTGCGCTATAATGCTTCAGGTGATCGTAATCAGAACACGTTGAAATACAAAACGACCGACAAAAGAGTTTTCTAAGCAAAAATCTCATGTTCGTCATGTGACCCGGACCTGTCCGTGCATGACAACGTCAATCATTATCAAGATAACACGTGATCAGCATGTGAACACCTTCACCCTCATTGGATCACAGTTAGTTGTCATGGTGTTGAGGGCGCAATGACCACTGGGTACTATTGCGCAATTTTTCCATTTTGTGGCGGAGGAAAAAAAAAAAAAAAAAAAGACAAAAAAACAAAGGCATTTTATGACTGGGCTACCACAGGTATCCCAGTAATTAGGTAGAAAGCAGGAAGACACTTCAGATTTATATGTGATCCAAAGAACTAATCAAAACAAGACACACTAAAACCAGAATCCTTCAATCAACAACAAACTTGTCATGTCAATTCTGGTGTTAAGGATCCTTCTCCCTTTTTATAAACCTCTTGATTTAAGGAAAAAGTCAGAAGAAATAAAATTCCCACTTTAAGAAATACTTCTGTAAAGGAAAAAGAGTCAATTTTTTAGTTAGGTTTCACTATCTATCGAGTTATTTTCCACTCTTTGTTTGAGCTCTCATATAAGCCCACTAGTGTAGATCATTAAGGACGAGTTTCCCTGGGAACAAATGCCTCTCCAATGGTTAAACATGGCTACCGAGTCGAGTGTTAGACAGAGAATTTCAAGATTTCTTTTGTGTTACCAACGTGAAAGAAAGAAAGAAATTGTTAGGTAAAGATCTACAAATTTCAGAATTTATCGAGGAAGATGATTTGAGGTCCGGAAAACTTCTTGATATTCATTACGACATGTTGGCTTATTTTGTAAACAATGGATTTCCATGACGAGAAATGACTCTGCTATGGGAGGTATTTCAAAATTTATTGAACGAAGTACAAGGTTAGCGATTACTTTCTATTCATAGATCGATGAGCGTTGTCGCTGCTGGTGTTATGTGCTACCTAACCATGGTTCAAGTCTGGTTAAGGTATTAAACACCATTACCTTAGCCACATATCAGCCTTTCTTTTTATTGATTGACTGTGTACAATTATTCCACACTGTCTAAACTCATTCACTGTCTAGTGTCTTTGACATGTACAAAATTTAACGTACAAAATTCAGGAATTGTCGTATTCAGAACAAATGATGTGGTCCTATGCAAGAGATATGTCACCAAAATCCTATGGCTGAAAAAATTAATATGTACTAGTTGAATTCGAATGTTGTGGAAAACAGATTGCAAAGTTCTTGTATGACATAATATCTTGTTCGAACGCTTATTGTTTTGCTTGTGAAAGATCTGAGTAGCAAATTTGGAGACTCACTCAATAAATTTGGACTTGAAGGTGATTCGTTTTTAAATTTTTCTGCAGACCTAAATTTAGTCTTTGTTGAGTCATTTATGCGTTTTGTTTGGAGAAATATTGGACTAAAATCTTCCTTTTATTCCAAGACTTAATGCTTAAGTTACTGATTAGATGTAACCTTCCTGTATACTTTTCTAGAAATTGAAATCTTTTCACTTGTGTTGCAATGCAGTTTAAGTCAACTAGAGCTCTCAAGTCCATTTGCTGGCAAAGAGTGAGATTCCACAGGCATCACCTATCAAGGGTGGAAGGGGAAGGGGAAGAGGGTATGGGGGCATGTTCTCCTGGAAAATTTTTAAAAAATGAAATAGCAAAAATGTGCATTTCTTTAATCTAAGAGAGAATTTCTGCTGTTAAAAAGTGTGTGAAATGAGTGCATAGGGCAGGGAACAAGGATTAAATTATTATATTTGGAAGGATAATTTTATAGGTACTAAATGAAAGCAGCAGTTTGCTATCTCAAAATCAACAGAATAAATGCAAAACCTTGTAGAAGAGAAAAATAATGACTTTAGCCATGAGAGTGTAAGAATTAATTTGTTTGTGTGAGTCTCACACCTAATGTGTGAGACTTGAGAGCTCTAAGTCAACTCAACACGTTGAGCATACTACAGCATTTTTTACTTTTGTTTCTTTTATGTACCCAGTAATTTACAAGGGATTCTTCAATGCATGTCATTTATTTATTAATGGTACTGTAAATTTTTAGTGGGTAGGGAGGTTCAATGTAAAAGGAAACGATAGGATGAGGGCTGGAAGAATAAAATAACATTTCAATATTCCAAAAGGAAAAACATTTCCAAACTTGAATATGTCTGTTCTATCTTTAGAATGATGTTCACCAACCAAGCATTAAGCACAAAAGCAAAATCAAATAGTAGAATTTAATACAATTAAAATAGAGGAACTGTATTTTCATGAGGGTGAAAAACAAAGAGACAATATTATTGTGATGCTGTGATCAGTGCTGTCTCCACTGCCTTGAGTGTAAACTTCACCAATAACTATTTTGTTTTGATCAGGCAACCCCTTGAGGAGGCTATAACACTGTTTATACAACAGCTCAACAGAATTGCCCATTACTCCTGTGAAAATAACCTCATGTCTATGATAGATTTTGTTTTCATTGCATTATTTCAACACCACAACCTGTATCAATTTCTTCTGACACAAGAAGGAGCTGATGACATCACCAAGTGTGAGCTGGTTACTCAGCCACCCTTGGTTCCACAACCTATGAGGGATGGTGTACTTAAGAGTGTTTGGGATGAAGAACAAAGAATAAAACACATTGAAGAGATGGAACAAAAATGCATACAGGTATGTGACTGTATGTGCAACCATTGACTAGGTAGCAAGTTAACTTAAGAAGTAATGTCCATTCTAAGAAGTTGTACTGCCTAACTCACCTCAGAACCTTTCTTACTTGAATCAATCTAATTTAATGTGCATTACGCTCTTTGTCAAGAATGACACATGTTATTGGAATAAAAGTGTAACAATATGATGTATGTACAAAATCAAGCAAGGTTGTTTATGGTCAACTGGGACTGACAGGTAAACATTTTCTGTCCTAACTTTAAAGCCATCCAGAAGTACTGGTTATTAAAGAAGATGCATTCCCTCTAATGTTTTCTCAAATGTTCCTCTTTATTGGAGTAATTAGTGCTACAAAAGAAAACATAGTTAATCACATCTGTTTCATTATGAAATGGGTGATCATTAGACTGTTGAGACTGTTTTAAGAGGCACTGTGTTAAACAGTCACCCTGTAATAAAGGGTCAGTTGTCAGTTTTCTCCCCTTAATTACTGTTACCGCAACATTACGTAACAGTAATTTTCACCTGTGTTAAGGGGCCATGGTCATCCTTGACTGAGTCCCAGCTTCCTGTTTTTATTGTCTTCTTCTTGCATGTGTTGAACAGTCACTTAAGCAGAATCTCTCAAATAAAACCAGGAAAAGTACTTTGAGTGTAAATGTGCTCAACGTGTTGCAAATGATCTAATTCTTCTTTGAATAGAATCTCTCAAATAACACTAGGAATAGTAATTTGAGTTTAAATGTGCTTGACATGTTGCAAATTATCTAATTCTTCCTAGAACAGAATCTCTCAAATAAAACTAGGAATAGTACTTTGAGTTTAAATGTGCTCAACATGTTACAAATTATCTAATTCTTCTTAGAACTGTTGGGACAAATATTATGCACAAACATTACACAAGTCAATCGGCCCATGGATATGACCTAGAGGTCCAACTGATAGAAAATAGTAGACAGTAATTCTGCTTTAGTGTTCTCTTTTTATGCTATGTCACCATTTTGATGATTCTGTTTATTGTTATTAACAAAGAGTCAATGCATTTTTTAGCAAGCTTGTCAATAAACTTTGAGTTAAGTGCAATTATGGTATAAAATAGCATTTTTTTAACAGCATTTGACTCCTATTCTGTGGAAATTGTTTCAGCAGCCTCCTTGTAATTCCCTGTGGGTGACTGCTTAATACAGGTTTGACTGTATGCTTTTTTTTCACCAATCACTGCTACTTGACACTGATACTATTCTTTTTACTATTTAGGAAAGAAATGAAGTCTAACAAGCTGTCTAGAAACTGGAGCAGCAGTTTTTGGAGTTTGACTCGTCACCGGAAAACTTATCAGCATAAAATTTAGCCACAATTGTGGCTATTATGTTACTGCTAAAAAGGCTGCTGTGACAAGTGCCACTATCAGTTATAAAATCGGAGAAATGCATGATTCTTTTAATTTCAGGTGCAAATGGGCCACTGTTAGTCAGGACAATGACAAGGGAGGAATAAAATCTGCAGCTTCTAGTTGTTGTTCCAAAGGAAATTCTGGAAAGTAGTGATTTCATTGCACAAGTATACTTTTCAGTTGTAAATGTACCTTGGTATAATTTTTTAACTTTCAGACAAGATGTTTTAGGGATAATTTCCCATCATTATTTATCATTGTATTGACATTATGAGCTCATCATGTGTAGCTTCATGGACTTAGAGTTAACTTTTCTTCTTTTCAAACTTATGATTGCTAATACTTTAAATTTCAGATGAACCTCTATCAAAACATCCACTGAATTTTTCTTTCGTTTTGCTTAACATTATATTGTTGGGTTGTTGATTCATAGAAGAAAATGTGCGTATACAAAGGCTCAGAAAATTAGTCCACTACAAAATGAACATTTTTGGCATCACCTGGCATTTCTAAACAAATAGAGATATTTCTCCAAACAAGTTGAAATAGGGTTTTCTGTGGAACTGAGTGGAAACTGGAAGAAGCCTTACCCTGCACTAGTGTCTCTGTTCAGGAGATTTTCACTTCTAAGATCTCATTGGTAATTCTCCTTACTGTGTCCCACACAATTCCTTTGATGTTAGCTCAAAGAATTTGGTATTGGATCAACTAATATTGCCCTAATGGACATTTTCTTTATTCTCATCACTTGTCTGCTTGATATTGTATTTATATTGTGAGGAGATATTCTGTCTTTGTCAGTTATAAGAGTTAAAGAGTTTTAAAAGAAATTCAAAGATTTGACCAATAAAGGTGTTTGGACACAGAAGTTCTAATCATTTGCTTTTTCAAAAAAGTTTGTAGAGTTCAAAAGCATTCTTTCAAAAATGTGGAAAGTTACGTTTTCATTCTTCACCCTTCTACCCCCAAGATCTTATTTGTAATTCTCCTTACTGTTTTCCATATAGTTCTTGTTATGTTAGTTTTGAGAATTTGGTATTGGATCAACTAATAATCTCCTAATTTATATTCTTTATTCTCATCACTTGTCTGCTTGATATTGTATTGATATTGTAAGGAGATGTTCTGTCTTGGTCACACATGGGTGTTAGAGGGTTGAGTCTTGCAAAAATCATGAAAACTGGGAATGATAGTGTTGAAAAAAATGAGAAGTTATGTTATGTTATGATTTTTCTTAACTGCAACAATCTAAGTGGAAATCTTGGAGGTTTTCTTGTTTCCTCTTCCCACTCTTTTTTACATGTGGGATTTATTTCTTTTCTCTGATTTCTTTTCCGTTATTTAATTTTTGTGCGTGCCGAGGTGATTTCATAAATCTTACTTTAAAAAAGGTTTATAGGTGCCCTAAAAGTGGCCAGGAACCTACTCAAGGAAATCTTTTGCATTGATTTTATTTCTCTTGCATTCCACACTTCCTTAGATGTTTTAATGTTGGTGTTGAATTTTTTCTTCAGTGTTAAAAGGAGGTGAAAATCATTTGATTTGAGATAGGGTAAGGATTTTTTCAAGGGCTGTTCATACCCTCCCCTTGAGGCAGTCTCTCCGGTAGATTGATAGATTTTGTCTAATATTGAAAAGGCCACACCCCTCCCCCATTAGCTTCCAAGTTGTATCTAACAGTTGGGCTGAATATATCACAACACAAAGTTGAAATTGGTCTACGAAATTTATTCTTCAATGACAAATTTGGGAGGTCTGGCTCTATTAACAATGACTAATTTAAAATCTTTACTGTTCAAGTCTGATACTTCTTTAGATTTTGAACTGCAACTCTGACAAGTAAAAGCCCATAAGTAGGTACAAAGATTACACTAATATTTACAAAAAATGCAGAAACCTCCCTGAAAAAAATTATTTGAATGTGATAAAATCTTGCTCAAATAACCTACAGAAAGGCCTTCTCTCTTTGAAAGCATGATGATTTGATTTAAAATTTGGTTACAGTTCCCTTTTTAGATATTTTGCTAGGTGTGAAACTGGTTTGCTTCTATCGGAAAATACAGAAAACAAAAGAAATTAAAAAAACCCTGCTGAGAAATCTGTAGGGTAAACATTCATCTGATGGGCTTAAAATCTCCCACAAAACTTCAAGCGATCAAAACATACAGAAGCATGGAGAGAATTTAGGATTGAAACTAACCAATCATAAAATAACAAAGTTTCCTGAGAGGTCAGAGGTTTGTGGTAACCTCACTGTAATTTGGATTGGAAGTGGTTCAAATAATTTCTTTTCATTTTTTAATTGGAATTGCTGAAGCTTAAAGAATTAGCTTACATTTAGACTGACTATTGCTTAGTAAATTACGTGCCTTTTGCTTACCTCCTTCTGTGATTGTATTGTGTGAGAGGTTTAACGTGTGTAGCTGACAGTTGTTGTTGTTGTTGATGGCTTCAGCCAAGAGCTGTGCTCCAATGTCTAAGATGTTATTTTTTGTGAGGTCTAGCGTGTGTAGCTGACAGTTGTTGTTGTTGATGGCTTCAGCCGAGTGCTATGTACCAATGTCTGAGATGTTATTTTGTGAGAGGTCTAACATGTGTAGCTGACAGTTGTTGTTGTTGATGGCTTCAGCCAGGCGCTGTACTCCAATGTCTGAGATGTTATTTTGTGAGAGGTCTAATGTGTGTAGCTGACAGTTGTTGTTGTTGATGGCTTCAACCAGGTGCTGTGCTCCAATGTCTGAGATGTTGTTTTGTGAGAGGTCTAACGTGTGTAGCTGACAGTTGTTGTTGTTGATGGCTTCAGCCAAATGCTGTACTCCAATGTCTGAGATGTTACTTTGTGAGATTTAATGTGTGTGGCTGACAGTTGTTGATGGCTTCAGCCAAGTGCTGTGCTCCAATGTGTGAGATGTCGTTGTATGTGAGGTTTAACATGTGTAGCTGACAGTTGTTGTTGTTGATGGCTTTAGCCAAGTGCTGCGCTCCAATGTTTTAGGTGTTATTTTCTGTGAGGTTTAACGTGTGTAGCTGATAGTTGTCATTGATGGCTTCAGCCAAGTGCTGTGCTTCAATGTGTGAGATGTTATTTGCTCTGAGGTTTAAGGTGTGTAGCTGACGGTTGTTGTTGTTGATGGCTTCAGATAAATACTTCACTGCTTCATCTGTCAATTGATTTCTTGTGAGGTTTAACCAGCTCAGTTGAGATTCCCTACATTTTAACAATTTACAAATCTCAAAACAACCTAATAGACCAATGTTATTGTAACTCAAATCTAAATGTGAAATTTGTTGAACATTATTACATTTACTAAAAAGAGCAATCAACAGCAGTGAGGTGACAATCAATAAAATTTACACAATTAAATTGATTTGTTGAAGTTTTCTTTGTGCTTCTAACTTCATTGTGCTATTTTCGTTTAAACATTTAATTAATGTTACTGCTAAATCTCGTTCGTCTTCAGTTGGCCAGCAGGTCACTTTCCTTTGCTCTTCATTCTCTGTCCACTGTTCGTTGTAGTCTGCGCTTTCTCTTTCTTCAGTTTTCACAGGAATAAGGTCAGTCATTATTTCGCTTGGTAGGTAACTTTATCCTCCATAAGTCCTGCCAGAAACTGAAAAACCTAGTAGTATAAAGCACTTAATGGTCATCTAAAATAACACTTCACTCAAAGCCCCCTACCATCTACAGTTAAATATAATGATCACAATAAAAATTTGAATTGATAAATAAAATATGGGGAACCCCTCTCCTGTATTCATCACCATGATTATATGTTACAATAAAAATTGAGTAAGGCAGGATACCTTTTATTCTATTCAGGCTGAAAGGAATATATGTAAGAACACTGAAGTTTTACTCTCAGGCTTCTTTCAGCAATTTATTGAGAGAAGCCATATGGCTAAGAATATCCCTAAGACATTACAAATAGACCCCTCCCCTCCCCCCCACCCCCTCCTTTGACAAGCCTGTCTCCAAATGCTATAGCAACTCCATTGTAGAGCACACCCTGCTGTGAAACTCACAATTCAATTTTCTACCTTTGGGGGTAGCTTGGCCATTGCTTGTACTCAGTTCTGAACTTCTTCTGTGAACTTGTCATGAGGGAAATCATCCATAACCAATCCACAGTCTCTTGCTTCAACTGCTATCAGTTTGCATCCAGAAAGCAACATTTCATTGGACTAAAGAAGGAGAAGAATTTGTGGTGTAATTTCACAAATTATGACAATAACTTGAAATATGTTCTTTAATTCGTGTTATACAAAGTTTTCAACAGAAATTAGAGGCAAGTCAATGTACCTTTAAAGGTCCTATTATCCTTGGGAACATAAATGAGGAACATCCTTCAGGGCTATGCCCTAGCTCCATAAATGGTGTGTGAAATCAAGGCTGTGCTCTAAGGAAAATTTCAGGGAGCCCTTCGGGCTCCCAAGCGTTTTAGCTTGGGTGCCCAGGCCTAAAAGATGGTCGCCCATATCAAAATTTCGGGGAGCCCTTTGGGCTCCCAAACATTTTAGCTGAGGTGCCCCAGCCTCCTAGTTGGTCGCCCAAATTAATAAATCAGTCAGTTAATTATTAAAAATTAAACAAACTGTTTTCGTAACGAGTCAAATAGAACTATGTGCATTTATTTATTGTTTTTATGTTCATGAAACATCGTATCCTTTGACCTCCTGAAAACCTATCATCACTTATAGTCAAATAATTATTTAATTCACACTTACAGAAACAGTGCAAAACTATTTTCCTATGTTATCGGTGAAATGTTCAAGACAAATGAGCTTTTTGTGGATTCGGTCGATTTTATTTTTAGTGCGTGATACGTAATAACTTGTCAGGTTGTGTCCTCGTGTACCGGTACACAAAGGAAGGAAACATTAACGAACTGCGTCATAACTCCATGTATGGTTATGAAAACAAAAGAAATTCCCTCGTGTACCGGTACACCAGGACAGCCCCACTTGTCACGACACCAAGGACAATGCGGGACTTATAGAGTTTATACCCGTTTCTAAAACAATCACAAAAAAAACGTATCTTTTCTTTTTTATACATCGTGTTTTACTGGAAAAACAATCTTAAGTTATGTTTTTGCCTCGCAGACACGGCAGTAAAAAGCCGGCTAAAATATTAAATTAGCATAGAAGAGCGACACCCGTGTTTATTCAGCGATTTATTAATCGCCGACCGTACTTTACGCCTATCAGAGCAGAAGTAACAACTTCTTTTGAAAAACTAGCCGATGAGCCATCCCAATTTAAAGGAAAAATTTTAATGCTATCGGAAAAGCCGTTAAAATCGAAAACTGTGCAGCTAGTCAAGTTCAAAGTTAAGGATTATGCTACATGTGAATTCACGTGGAACGACCTTTGAACATCAACGCGCGCCCGATGGAACAACATTTTCTTTTAAAAGAACGACTCCCGTGTTCATTTAGCCATTTATTAATCGTCGACCGTACTTTACGCCTGTCAGAGCAGAAGTAACAATTGCTTTTCAAAAACTAACTAACGAGCCATCCTAATTTAAAGGAAAAATTATAATACTATTTGGAAAAGCGGTTAAAATCGAAAACTGTGCAGCTTGTCACGATCAAAGTCGATGATTATGTTACACGTAAATTCACGTGGAACGACCTTTGAATATCAACGCGCGCCCGATTGAACAACATTTTCTTTTTTTTTTTGACTGTAAATCAAGAAACCAACACCAGCCAGTCGCCCGGCCGGGCGACCAAGAAAATATTTTCAGTCGCCCGAGGCCAAATGTTAGTCGCCTCAGGCGACCGGGCGCCGTTAGAGCACAGCCTTGGAAATGTAGCCTTATCTGATGCATAGATCAAGCCAAACAGGCCCATGACTTTTATTGATATTTCCACAGCAGGTCTATTGACTGCAGTAATCAGAGGCTGAGAGAAGTCCATAAATTGTTGTACAAAGTTCCTGTCATAATGGTAACAATAAAAATCATACTTGATTTGCATGTACAAGTAAGATTAGTGTGTAGTAAGATAAGTAAATATGTATTGCATAAATGGAAGAGAACTAACCTCTAATTTCAGAAGGTTATTGCGGAAAAAGATTTCCAAAGTGGATGGTAAGGCCCCTATTCTAATAAAGCAATCAGTGGATAACAAAGAAATGAATGTTTTGAGGTAGTCAATGATGAGTTTGAGAGACTTAACTATCTTCTATCTATTTTTTAACATCAACTGATCTTTGAGTAAAAAGCTTCATGACAGCAGTTTTCTGGACACCCATTACTTATTATTAATTCATCAATTATTTGCAATGTATTGGGAAAGCTTGAACTCTTTTGGAGTTCAACAGACTTTAATTCAGAGGACATTAAGTTATGTACAGTTCGAGCATAAGGCTATTGTTTTCAAGATTTGATTGGTTCTTGTGCTGTATTGGTTGCTGTGATCTACCACACAAAAATGTAATTGTCCAAAGTCAATTGATTTCTTTTCTGCTCTATTTAAAAGTTTACCAGATTGAAGCCTTCATGAAATAAATTTGTTATCATGATCATCATTGTCATAATCATACTATGCTCTGTCTGGAGTCCAATGTGCTAACTATTGGGTCTCCATATCCAGTGTTCTCCAGCGATTTGAAAAACCGGCCAGAAAAAATAATTGCTGGCAAAGGTTAACATCTATTTCAGATAATCATACTGTGCTCAGCCTAGAGTCCAATGTGCTAACTATTCGGGCTCCATGTAACCCAGTGTTCTCCAAAGATTTGGAAAACCAGCCAGAAAAAATCACTGCTGGCAAATGTTTAACTACTTTGTCTAAATCAAGCAGCCAGCCCCTCTGTACCAACCCTGATGCTTCTTCCTATTTGACGAAAACTAACGCTCGAAACGTCAGCACCTTTACGGTGGCTAAATGTTTTAACCCAGTTGTTAACACTAAATAAAGCTAGCTCCCACCGACGCAGCACCACAGTTTCTTTAGAAACTTACCCCTTTATGCTTCTGAAGAACACTGGTAGCCTACAAGAATGAATAAACAGATGATTGGAGAATCTGGGATAAAGGAAAAGACATTGATCCCCTCACGTACTTAAATACTTTCCATGCATCATTTGCCATCTTTTGAGGACCCTCGGGCGGAATTCTGGTAAAGTTTCCCAGGTCATTTCCACTGCAGTAATATTTCCCAGATCCAGTCCACACAGTAACCACACAAGCATAATATTTCCTATCAAAGTAGTCATTGATTCTTGGTACACCTTTTTAAGATAATAGCAAAAAAAGTTGAGTTCATCCTTGAGTCTTGTCCATGAACACAACACACAGACCGCTGTCTCTCAAACCACACCCTCTCCACCCAGAGTATAATGATTAGGCCACTTAAATAAATACAAAATTTACAGAAGGTTCTGGATCATGCCTATAGTGTGTTTACCTAAAGTCCAGAAAACAGTGGAGACGAGAGCACGATGGCCATATGTAATTTAAAACATTTTTAGCCTCTCTCACTTGTGAAAATTTTATCACTTACCCTCTTCAACATCAGCTTGAAATATGTTATTCCGTGGACTAACGGTCAACAATCGAACAGGTGCCTTGGACTTCTCTCGATCTTTAAATTGGTCATACTTCTCTGATGAGAAGCAAACGACGCGACTGATTTCCTTCTTCTTTTAAATTTTGGAATCAAAATATCTGTTACCAGAGCTGGGACTCTTTAAATAATATCTTTCGGTTTCTTCATATTTTCGCTTGTTTTGGACTAACAGAACTCAACATTCTAGATGAGATCGACGTCGCCGCGCTCCTCTCGATCTCTGTTAAATTCATAAGGTGCGACTGTGTAACCTCGTCCCGAGGACTATCTGCGCGCTGGCTCATAAGAGGTGTTTTGTCGAGTTTACTCATGTTCCGAGTAATATTCTTGCATCACTTCGTTCTTGTTATATGAATGAATATGTATAAATGAGTTAGCTCTTAGGAGCCTTTGGTCTCTTAGGTTAGCGAGGAAAGCGTGAGGGAAGCGGGAACCGTGTTTGGGCCTGGGGAAAGCTTTTGCGCGACTGCCACTTGGCTGGTTCGTTGATGATAATTCACGGTTGAAGCATTGGAACTAAATAAAGTTAGAAATGGTTGATTGCAACTCATGATTTTGCAATTTTCTCTCAAGACGTAGAACATGAACTAAGGACGAAACGTAAGATGTTGAAATTCTTTAACTTGCTAAGTTATTCGCCTGCTAGGGAAAAGGAAGATGATTTGTGAATGATATCTAAAGTGAGTTCGACCACAGAAACATAAATCGATCCTTCATTCGCTTGGGGAGTTTTTTATTTGGTGAAGAGAGGTAAAGATATCTAGAGTTTTATTTATTTTCTTTCTGCGGGTAACTGTTTGTTGCGAATAAAAAAAAACTTCTAGTCCAAAAAAAATCCCAAATGATTTATCTTAAATTTTCATAATGTATTTCAGTTTCCCATAGGTTCTTGTGGCTGCTGTAATTGACATTGCGTTAGGATTTGGTACAGCACTGTTCATATAGTGTGACATAGTGTGTGTCAGAAACAAGGTTTGTCAAATATAACTCACATCATTTTAAGAGTCTTGATATTTGCAGCCTTGTTCTTTTAATTTTGTTATTATTTTAATTTAGAGCTGAAACAGTAGTGGTTTAGTAAAGTTTTAGTGGTGTTAGGGGCCCTTGCCTCGATCTCGTTGCTTCGGTACACGGTTACCACGCAAGAGAAACGTTCATAGTTATAGTAAACTGTGTTCAAAAGAATTCTTAAAACAATGATTATTAGAAGACAGACAGTATTTTTTCTTTTGTTCAGGCAGCGTTTTAGACATTTTTTACCAAATGGGGTCATCCTCCCCATTGGGAAAAGCTGAGGTAGGTACTTTAACTTGATCATCAAAACTAATAAAAAATTGTGCAACTCTGATTTGTATGATGTTTTAAATATACCAAGATTATTCCAGCAAGTAGAGTTCAGATCTTTAAATTCTCTAAACTTTTTATATTGTCCTTCAGTTGGATTTGAAATGACAAAAATATTTCCAGTAAGGCCTTTAGCTACTTCAAAATTTCCAACCTTTGGCTGATACAAAGCATCATTAATCCCTGATGATGCTGGGAATTGCCAAAAGCTTTGACACCAATTTTTTATTTTTACAGTAGAGCCTCACTAGAAACTATTATATCATTTTGATTCTCTGTTTCCAGGATCAAGATACATAGGACAATGAAGCTCTTGAAGTGAAGGCAGACAACAAGGTTATTTATTTACTTACTGTACTCTACAACTCTTTTTCAGTCAACTCTGTTTCTTGCAAGGACTGTCAATTCTATTATTGAATCAAAAGATGACTGCCAGCCAAGCATGAAAAAAGGGACTTGTGATGGAAGTTTCCAAATCAGATAATTTCTTGGAACAGGTTGACAAGAGAGTTACACTAATGGCTGCTTTGTCGAGTAAGGTAAATGCTTTAGCCTCTTCATATGGCTTCCAAGCCATATGAAGTGGAAGCAATGTGTAGATGACCCAGCTTTTATTTTCTGTTATTTTTTAAGAATTTTACATGATATCAAGACCATATCCCCTTCACCCCTTTGCCAGGGTTCAAAACTAGTTTCATAAGATGGGTTCCAAGAGATTGAATATTATTTTTTCCAGTCTCTGAAATTGAAATATATGAGGTTTCAATTAAAAAAGGGTTTTTTTGCTGAAAATGTATTCCTACTTGTGAGTAATAACTGGTAGAGTCCAGGGTCTAGATTGCAATAGACATGGGCACTAGTGTAACTTAAATTTTCTCGCTGGTGAATAGAATTTCTTGTTTTGTCTCCACACCATGAGTGGGAACATATCGTACTCTTACTTTTTGAGTCCCAAGGAAGAGCCAGACCTCAGAGTTTTGAATTTTTGTAGTTAGAGGCTGTACAAACCCTTACTTCAAGGAACTCATTGGTGAACAACAAAATCAAAGGTCACGTACTATGACCCAATGTGATGATTACAATCAACACCTGTATATATAAGAGGCTGTGAATATTCCTACAGATTTCTCCTGTGAGCCAAAAAGTTCGGGGGATGGGGGGGGGAGAGAGAAAGAGAGGTTTCCACCCAAGGCTTGAAGACTCTCTTCTTTGTTAGACACCATTAATAGCTTTGTTTTTCCTTGCCAAACTCAACATTTTCTACTGGCAAAACCTGATAAGCATCATTTTAGATTTTTAATAGCCACTGACTGTAAATATAGGGAATCCATTTGCAATGGCAAAATTTTGTCATTCATTTTATTTTTCTGAAAGGACCCATTTGATGAACCTTTTTATAAAAATAAAAAAAGTCAAACTACACCTAGAAAGCCATTCCCTCTCCCAGAATAATGTATTGCCAACTGTTGGACAACTTTTACAGAAATGATCATGGCCAATCCTTCAGCTTGGCCAGGAACTCATTTCAACCTGGATGCACTGCTTTTGCTGGGCAAAGAGAAAAAAATTTAAGGAATAAAACTTAAAGGATAAAGCTTAAAGTTGATGGATATTATGATCTGTAAATAATTATATATATCTGACCTTGTTATAGGCCCTTTTCCTAGGGTCTTATAGACAAATTAAATGAATGACAAAATTCTTACAACTGTGGATGGATTCTTCATATTTAGGGTCATCAGCTTTTTATCACTTATTTTATTGAAGAAATTGGGTTACTTGTTCCCTTTTGATTTGTTTGGCAATTTTGAAAGTTCTCAAAGGTTACCAAATCTAACTTAATCATTTCTCTTTACAGATTCTACAGGACACAAAATCTCTCATCAGGCATTCCTACCGAGAGACACTAAACCATGCCAACAATGAGGAATGTAAATTATTTCTGAAATATCTTGGAGATCATAAAGTGTTAGACACTCTAAAAACAAACTGGCTTCCAGATGTTATTACTTGATTTTACTATTGTCATTAATATTATTATTGTTTTAGGTTGTAACTTTGAAACAGATAATGTTGCATTTGCTGTAAACTTTAAGGCACTACAGAGTTTCATCCTCTATGAAGGTAAAATGTTCCCTCTTTTTAGCTGCTTTTTGTCAAATTTTTTAACATTAGTTTTTTCTACTCTTTTTCATCTTTAATACCTGTTCTGAGGGATATTCTTTCAGTTACCTTTGGTTTGCAGTCAGCTGATGAGATAATGATGGCAGACCTAGTGTCCAGCAACACATTATTAACATCCACTACATGTCAGTGTACTTACCCCTTTACATTGTACTTTCTTGAAAAATAAACAGTGTTTAGATTGTTTGTAATAGAGACTTTAAGCAAACCACCATGGCAACAGCAACAAAAGCATGGCCAGACAAAGGATTCAGTGGGCACACAAATAGCTCAGTATGTACATTTTAATATTTTATTGATTTTTTATCTATTCTCTGAAACAAAACAACATACATCACTAAAATTTGCATGGGATAAGAACAGAACTTCTGATGGCAAATTATTTACCTCACATTGTTTAGAACTAAACCCTGCTCACTTTTGTTATGGCAAAGATGATGTCTTGCTCTGTTAGAGAGGGTAATCACATCCACCATCCATTTAGTGGACATTTTTGTCAGCTTGCCATCCTGACTGCTTAAGATCCCTAATGATTTCTGTGGATTAACTCTCTTGTGTTTACAAATTACTTCTAAGCACAATCATCCTCTCTTCCTGGTAAACTCCCCTTTTTCAAATTCTTGCTGGACATAATAACTGTTCACTCTCCACTTAGCTGGCTTTTTATCTAATCAACATTAGTTGAAGACTGAAGAACACATCCTTTTGAATTTAATTTTTTAAAAAACCTTTTTTTATTTTGTTTTTATTTGTGGGAATTTAAGAAGCCAGTTTTACATTAGTTTTGAAAGACCAAATATATATTTCACACTCAGGCAACCCACAATTTATACTCTCTTAGTTGGGAAGAAAATTTGTAAGGCACCTCTGATATTATATATTTGTGCTGTGAAGTCCTCACCACAAAGTAATGTGTATTTTTTATAAAGAAAAAATCCACTCTGATTTATATTTCAGATTAGTTTTTTCTTTCCGATTGTCAAGTTTTCTTATTGTTACAATGATCTTCATGTAAAGCCAGATTAATTTCTAATACCTGGGTGGGATGTTGATGTTTTTAACTAATTTATGATACAGACTTCTTTTGTTGTGTCTGTGAAGGGTTGCTTCTCTTATCCTTTTGGTACTGTTTTCGTGACTGGTTTCACAAATCTGGGATTCTTTGTAAATATTTTAACAAGTTTGAAGTTTATTTTATTGGAAAATGCTGTTTTTTTATAATTTGTAAATTGAGAAACATAATTTCCTTATCAAGTCTACAGCATTCCAATTGATAGTATGGTTACAGCATCAAAAGCAGAGATGATAAACTTAACTAGTAAAGGTGGTTTTTGAAATTAGCTTTTATGAGGTGCAAAACAGAGCAACAAGATTTTAATTGCACTTCCTTGTAAGAATTGTGAGTTTTCACCCCATTGTCTCTTCTCATGTTATTAGCTAGAAGTTGTTCAGATTGTGTTTAATTAGTTTTTTCCATCCCTAAGATGACAATATAAATTATCTGCACTGTTTGTTATACATTTATTGGAATTTTAGCTTTCAGAATTTAGTGTTAGATCAAGCAAATACCCACAGATGTTAACTATTATTTTTCTCATCACCTTTCTGCTTAATAATGCATTGTATTGTAAGTAGAAACAACTTATTGAACACCTCTGGGAGTGAAAAGATTTTTATTATGGAGGGGGGGGAGGTTAACCTAAATATATAATTTCTTGTTTTTATGTAGATGCAGTCATTATGTCGCTGTAACATGCATTCAAATGAGATTAAAAGATTAGTTTCATTAAAATGCTTGGATGCACAGGAATTGTAATTACTTGGTGTTTTAGACCAGGATTGTACAGATTTTTTAATTCTTCCTTATTAAGTGTTGAAAAGAAATGATATATAGACCTGAAAATATTACAGGAAATAAAGGGGAAAAAAATGGGGGAGAAGAAGTCTCTTCTATTATTCATAAGCTGCAACAAGTGGTTAATTCCAGGTGGAAATCTTTATGATCTTTTGCTTCTTCTTGTTCTTTTTACTGAAATAATTCCTCTCTGTTTCCTGATCTGGTTTCTTTTGTTTAATTAGTAGTTTATTTTGACCCTCATGGTCTTCTGACCTCATAAACACGAGATCAATGACATTTTCGTTAAATGTTCCACCAGACTAAGTTTGGCCAAAATTTTAAATAGGAGGCTAAAAAATTTTTCACATTCATTTCATGTCTGTGACAGTTTATACTTTGTGAGATATTTCATCATTGGTTTTAGGTGTGGAGTGGAATTCTGTTTTTTATAATTGGAAGAAGAAAATCAATAATATGGGATACGAAGAGGGTTTTAAGAGGAATGCTGCATACCCCCACTTACAATTTTTCTTACTATACCCTCATCCCCTGTTCAGGGTTAGAGGATTAGATCTTCTCTACTGGACTTGAGGCATTTTTCTTAGGTAAATTTACTTTATTTTTGTCTGATATTGGGAAGGCTACATTTCCCCTTTTCTCATGGTTTTTCACTTTGGTTTGATTATTTTAAAAACAAAATGTAGCCCTTCTTTAACAAAACTGCAACCAAAAAATACTCAATTTAGCAAGATGTTTTATCTGAACATTAAATTATTGTGAACAGGGTAAAGAGGGTAGATAGCTAACTTTGGAATGACAGTTACTTCATTTCATAAACCCTCTTCTAGAGAAAGCCTGAAGCCCACTGATTGGGTGAAACCATGGTTTGGGTTACACTGTGTAAATAATAAATGGCCCTTTGAGTCTAACCATTGGGGCTCAACGCATCACAACGAGTAAATATCTGTTTACAACATTTATTCTACACTGATGAATGTGGTGGTTCTGAATCTATTAACAAGCACTGGTAAGTTAAATTGTTAACTGTACGTTGAAGCCTGATGCCTCATCTTCAAATTTTGCTGTGGAACTTATTGACATTTTCATTCTAAAATGCTAGTAACAGTCCCAAAATGGTACATTTGTTTAAAAAAAATACACTAATATCTACAAAACAATGCAGTAACACCAAAAGATTTGTAAAAAATTAGTATGCTAAAAAATCTCGCACCTCCAACCTACAAGAAAAGATTTTGACTTTTTGTGTTTTTACTTCAATGTTATTGGTTCGTTTATAAAAAAGTTTGACATCCTTTGTTCTCAATAAACATGTTCATTGGTTCATTTTTCTTCATTTCGATCCGGTTCAAATAGTCTCGCTGTTTTGAGTACTTTACAGATTTCCTTTACATTCAATCACGAGTTGAGTCATTGGGTTGAGATTGTTACTGAGCTGGTTACTTCACTGTTATTTTGAATACTAAGTGGTTGAAATTATTTCTTTTTAGATTTTATTTGGAATTGCTTAGGCCTAAAGAATTAGATCACATTTAGACTGACTATTGCTTAGTAAATTACGTGCCTTTTGATCACCTGCCTCTGTCATGTTTATATTGTTTGAGAGGTTTAACGTGTGTAACTGACAGTTGTTATTGTTGATGGCTTCAGCCAAGTGCAGTGCTCCAATGTCTGAGATGTTATTTTGTGTGAGGTTTAACGTGTGTAGCTGACAGTTGTTGTTGTTGATGGCTTCAGCCAAGTACTGTGCTCCAATGTTTGAGATGTTATTGTATGAGAGGTTTAACGTGCGTAGCTGACAGTTGTTGTTGTTGATGGCTTCAGCCAAGTGCTGTGCTCCAACGTGTGAGATGTTATTTGCTGTGAGGTCTAACGTGTGTAGCTGACAGTTGTTGTTGTTGATGGCTTTAGCCAAATGCTGTGATCCAATGTTTGAGATGTTATTGTATGAGAGGTTTAACGTGTGTAGCTGACAGTTGTTGTTTTTGATGGCTTCAGCAAAGTACTGCGCTCCAGTGTCTGAGATTTTATTGTATGTGAGGTCTAACGTGTGTAGCTGACAGTTGTTGTTGTTGATGGCTTCAGCCAAGTGCTGTGCTCCAATGTGTGAGATGTTATTTGCTGTGAGGTCTAACGTGTGTAACTGACAGTTGTTGTTGATGGCTTCAGCCAAGTGCTGTGCTCCAATGTCTGAGATGTTATTTTCTGTGAGGTTTAACATGTGTAGCTGACAGTTCTTGTTGTTGATGGCCTTAGCTAAATACTTTGCTGCTTCATCTGTCAATTGATTTTTTGTGAGGTTTAACCAGCTCAGTTGAGATTCCCTACATTTTAACAATTTACAAATCTCAAAACAACCTAATGGACCAATGTTATTGTAGCTCAAATCTAAATGTGAAATTTGTTGAACATTAATTACATTCACTAACGAAGAGCAATCAACAGCTGTGAGGTGACTACGAATAAAATTTACACAATTAAAGTTCATTTGTCGAGATTTTCTCTGTGCTTCTAGCTTCATTCTACTATTTTCGTTTATACATTTAATTAATGTTACTGCTAAATCTCGTTCGTCTTTAGTCGGCCAGCATTTTACTTTCCTTTGCTCTTCATTCTCTGTCCACTGTTCGTTGTAGCGTGCGCTTTCTCTTTCTTCAGTTTTCACAGGAAGAAGGGCAGTGATAATTTCACTGGGTAGGTGAACTTTATCCTCCATAAGTCCTGCCAGAAATTGAAAAACCAGCTGCCATTTGCCGTTCTTAATGTTCTCGGAAACAAAGTTTCTTAATTCTGTTTCACTAAAGTCGCTCGCTAGGTGCCTCGCTGCGAAAAACTCTTGTATTGTCAGATGAATGAAACAGAATTGCACCTCATCTTTTAACGCGGCAATTTGACGGTCGGGTAAGCGGTGAAAAAGAGCGCTGTCTTCCATTCCTTGTACTTCGTTTCCTCCAAGGATCAGTTTTCCTTCTTTGATTCCTTCGAAGGCTACTCTTCCTAGTTTCTCGAATTTCTCCTCTACCGCCGAGGGCAAATTATCTGATACAAAGTTTTTGCGGGTGAAATGTTGATCGCTGAATTCTTTCGTGTGTTTGAAATAAAACACTTTCACTGCAATCTTGTATATCGTGGTTAATTTGGAAGGCAGGGTAACACTATCGGAACCTTCAAACCGCATTATTTCTGACAGACTTGAGCACATGATGAAGCTGTTCACAGGGACATAACAGAGCGAAAGTAAGTTCATGTTGCTGCTGATGTGTCGCCATAGCGTTTCGCCTGCTTCCTTGTCATCTCCGGCGAATTTGTCGATATACTCTTTAATTTGCTCGGTTGAGAAGCCTAGGATTTCAAAGATTCTGTCGAACTTCAGATGTGCAATACTTGACAAAGCCGTGGGTCTCGTAGTCGTTACAATTGAAGCATCTTTAAGAAGTTTCCCGGTCACAAGCCATTGATAAAGAATTTGAAGCGGCTTTCTATCTTCAATGCTTCTGGGATAAGTGGACGCCGCGGTTATGTTTTCGTTATGTTCGAATTCGTCGAATCCGTCAAAAAACATAAGAACACCTTCTGGGTTCTTTTGGAGGTGATTCCAGACCTTGTCATCCATGTCATGTGTAGGGAAATACTCGGACCTTATCAACAGTTCCTTGAGGCTAAGGTCGTCGGCTGAGTTGAATCTTCTAAATTTTACGAAGAAAGCAGCATTGAAATGTAAATTGGCACCTAATGTCGCTTCTAAAACTTCATCCGATGCCCAGTCTCTGAGAAGTTTGATACAACATAATGTCTTTCCGATTCCGGGTCGACCGACGATTAAAACTTTCTTACTTTCAACATCCAGAATGTCTTCCATGCTTTTCAATTGTGACTTTTCGTCGTGCAACCTTGGATAAACTTTGCGGAGTTGTTCCTCTCGGTTTTCAGTAAAGTCGTGCGTTTCCCTGTTCTCAATTACCACAAGGTTGGTGTAAATCTGATCAAGAGTCAAATTTTTAGCTGTTGAGTGGTCGCCTGGATCACCTAAAAGAGGTGATTGGAGTTCTAAAAGTCCTTCGGTCTCTTGAGCAATTATTTCCTTTGTCCGTTCGATGAATTCTTGAAACTTTCGTTCTTGGAGTTCTTCAATGTCTGTTTCAGTGAGTGGAATAGTTTCGTTCGTTTCATCTACGTGTTGGTTGAGACCTAGATGGCTTGTTAGAAACTTTGAGTCTTGCATGAAACTCCTTTCAATGCATGCCCGTGATAAAAGGTAGACGGTTTCGACCAGAATGCCAGCGACAAGAATTCCATTCACCGTAAGGACAGCGTACATCCAGAATGTTTTCTTTTCTGCTCGTTGATTGTGACAGTAGTGTAAAGTAGAGTTTTGGGTGTTGTCAGATGAATTGCTTGGCTGAGTGGTTCCATCAGTTAAATAACAGTTAAACTTAGAGGAAAACTTCAAAGGATAAAGCAACTGTGTTTGTAGGATGATGAAAATAACTCCTAAAACAAGTCTTGTTAATAGTTGACAGCAGTAAGCGACAAAAAGCTTGTTTCCAGTTGATGACGCAGTCTTTTGGACGAGCAACTGTCTCTCTTGATCACCGTTGCGGTTGCCTCGCGACAGTTGATCGACTTTGGATCTCACTATTTGGGAGTAAATAGCACATACAAGTGCAAGAAAGACAAAATTGATGATCACGAAGCCAAACATAGGAAAACCGAATTTGTTGTACTGCTTCATATATTTCTCGTAACATTCTCCACGGACGATGTCGACGTTTTCACTCTTCGCTCCGCCACAGCGGAAATCAAACCTGGACTCGCTGTTTTCCATGTCCACGAATATGGCGAAGAATATAACACTGATGAGGATCCAAAAACCCACGGCCACATAGTGGACTTTGTTGAAAGTTTTTGGCTCCAAATATTCTAAAACCTTTTCCATGGATACTGTTGGTATCGTTACTCACTTTGTTAGAATGCTTATCAGCTCTAAAGCTGGAATAAACAGCTAATGCCACCTTGGTCTATTTGTAGCACATGACACTGGAAACTTTTAACTGTCAAAAAGACAATGGGTTCTTTATGCAAGTTATTGTTCTACATAAGAGACAGTTGTCAGAAACTGAGACGGATATAGATATCTGCGTATGCGGCAATAAACGAGACCTCCGGTTTCTTCCCACCCCCTCCTCCGTGCTCATTTTCACCCCCCCCCCTTCCCCTTCTCCCTTTCTATTTAAGTCACCGCTGAGGTCCTGAAAAGAAACTCATTGTACCGATGTAGCTTATTTTGAGTGACTAACTTCTGAGTTGTTAGGTGTAGACATTTCATCTGGTTGGTAATTGTTTGGAAGGGAAATTATAACCTTTGGCTGATTCAAGTCACGATTGGTTGAGGTTTTGCATCTAATCAATTTTGAGGGTGGTGTGAGGTTTTCTAGCTAATACCAAAGCGGCTTAGTGAAGCAAAACTAACGCAAATCAAATGATTCTCGACTACGTCGTGAAAATACTGCCCTGTTTCGCTCAATGTCCTCATCTTATCACGATCATGAAAGGTGTCAGGGTCTAGAAATAAGTTAGCGTGTCCTTTGTTCTTTAGTGGAGGCTCTATGCGTTTCTGAACTGAAAACTCACAAATTAATTGCTCAACTTAAAACGAAGAAGTCATACATCCGGAAATATTTAGAACAAGATCAGAAAAACAGCTTCTTAAGATCTACCCTTACCCTGAAAACCATATGATCCTTCAAAAATCCTCCACCCACACCTCCCCCTTTTTACAGGTGATAAATGATGACTCCTCCCTTGCTTAGCCATAATTTTTCTTTCCGATTTTCTTTGCTGCTTTTTTAAAGTTTTCCATGATTAAATTTTTGCAGCTAACTGTATAACAGAATAGTCAGTCAGAATAGTCTGAAAGACAATTAATCCTTTAAACCTTAAGCCTTAAGGTCACTCTGAGAGTGACTAGCATCTAATTTCTCCCTACAATATCACCCTTGAATCAAACATTAAGGTCATAAGAATAAAAGAGTGACCCCAAGAGTGACTAGTATCAAATTTTTCCCTACAGTACCACCCCTGAATCACATGTTAAGGTTATGAGAATAAAAGAATGACCCCAAGAGTGACTAGTATCAAATTTCTCCCTACAGTATCACCCCTGAATCACATGTTAAGGTTATGAGAATAAAAGAGTGACCCCAAGAGTGACTAGCATCAAATTTCTCCCTACAATATCACCCCTAAATCACATGTTAAGGTTATGAGAATAAAAGAATGACCCCAAGAGTGACTAGTATCAAATTTCTCCCTACAATATCACCCCTGAATCAAACATTTAAGGTCATGAGAATAAAGGAAATGGTCACCAGGGAAGGAATCTTTTGATTGGCAAACAAATTCTCCTTGTCAGCATCTTAGGAAATGTATAAAGAACAGCGTGGAGAATATGCATACTGATGTTAGGGCGTCAAGAGTTAGGAAAATGAAAGACGTCTTCCTTTGCTAGTCTTTTATGAGAGCTTGTTGACAGACCTGTCAATTCTGTTGCAGCAGTTTCACTAATTAAATTCATATTCTCAGATTTCAAGAAAATTGTCCTTAATCTGGGCACGGACTTGCACAATTTTTAGCGAAAATATGTCAGGGAAAAGATAGCGAAATTTTTATCATGTGGTTAAGATTTAGGGAAAGGTTAGGGGCTTAGTACTGGACGCAAATATATCCAGATCGAACTGATTCAACGAGGTATAAAATTTAATCATACGACCAAGTTCCGTTTAAGCGTATCAATCAACCTTTTTCTTGTTAGATTTGAGAGATGACAAGTCGGGCGATTTTGTTTGTTTTCGCGTCTTCGTTCGCATCGGAAAAAAACTCTATTTTTACGGTTTGCCTATCAGTAATGTAACAACCTTCTTGGAATTTTTTTACCCCATAAAAGTTTGAGCATAACCTGAAATACGAGTCAATTCTACGCATCTGAAGCAGTTATTTCCTTCTGCGGTCAAATTTTTCACCCGAAGAATGAAAATGTTATAGTCTCTTTTTGAGTGTTGTGTTCTTTAGTTTGAGCTCACTTTGTTTTGGGTATTTTTGTAAAATGTGTCATTTAAGTTTTTTTTCATATCTCACATTCAATCCTTTTCTAACTACAACACTTTGTTTCTTTTTGCCTCTGGGTTTTCTGATGTTCATGCCTCAGTCCAATTCGTGTTTTATACCAGGATGCCTACTGTCCCTGCAACACGCTCGAGCGGTCTTCACGTGTCTGAATAAATACAGGTATAAGTGATGCTAGAACGCTGACAATTTCCAGTTTCAACAATTGCATTTAATTACTTTTTTTGACTGAACATACCACCAGTAAATAAGATTAATTACTATAGCCAATTAACAATTGAATAATTGGCAAAGAGTGAATTTAACATTTAAAAAATCCTTAACATCGATCAGCCAATGTGACAAACGTCCCACGATTTCTATCACGTGACAGTTTGATGCTTTTGTTGCCACTTGACTGGTCTCCTTGGCTGCCGTTTTGCTTCAGTGACATCCCCCTCTTCCCTTCCTCGAAACACAATCCACTGCGAATAAAACTACTTGATTGGGTGATAGAAAGCAACACTAAAACTTTAAGCTCTTCAGTTCATCGTGGTTGAGTTCGATAAAGGTCATAAAGCCCTAATTTCAATGCGGCAAGGAAATGAAAGCTGGGCTACAATTTGGATTTTCTCTGAATGAAAGCCATAACGGCTTGCATACACTTTTCTGAAAGCCATCGTTCTTCAAGTAAAGCACTCTCCTTTTCATTGGCTCCATGTAACAAACCCCGGAATGAATCACGTATTAACTGCTTGGACAACAGCAGAGACTGTAAAGTGAACACAAAAAAAAACCGAGAGAAAAGATCACTTTTTGAATGATAGTATAAAACATTGATTGATCGTCTATATTAACGCTTCACTCAAAGCCCCTACCATCTACAGTCAAATATAAATGACCGTGATAAAAATTAGAATCGATAAATAAAATTGGGGAAACTCCTCTTCTGTCTTCATCACTATGATTGCATGTTACAATAAAACTTGAGTAAAGCAGGATGCCTTTAATTGTTTTCAGGCTGAAGGGAATACACATAATAACACTGAAGTTTTAATCTCAGGCTTCTTTCAACAATTTATCGAGAGAAGCCATATGGCTGAGAATATCTCTAAGAGATTACACAAAAAACCCCTTCCCTCACCCCCCTCCCCCTCCTTTGACCAGCATGTCTCCAAATGCTACAACAACTCCATTGTAGAGGGCACCCTGCTGTGAAATTCTACAATTCAATTTTCTACCTGGGGGGGGGGGGGTGCAGCTTGGCCATTGCTTGTGTTCAGTTCTGAACTTCTTCTGTGAACTTGTCATGGGGGAAAACATCTGTAACCAATCCACAGTCTCTTGCTTCAACTGCTGTCAGTTTGCATCCAGAAAGCAACATTTCATTGGACTAAAGAAGAAGAAGAATTCACGGTGTAATTTCACAAATTAAAACAATAACTTAAAATATGCTCTTCAAGTCAACAACTTATACAAAGGTTTCAACAGAAATTAGAGGCAAGACAATGTACCTTTGCAGGTCCCATTATCCTTGGGAACATAAATGAGGAACATCCTTCAGGGCTTTGTCCTAGCTCCATAAATGGTGTGTAAAATGTAGCTTTATCTCGTGCATAGATCAAGCCAAACAGGCCCATGATTTTTATTGATATTCCCTCCGCAGGTCCATTCACTGCAGCAATCAGAGGCTTAGGGAAGTCAATAAATTGTTTGTACAAAGTTCCTGTCATAATGGTAACAACAAAAAGTCATACTTGATTTGCATGTACAAGTAAGACTAGTGTGTCATAAGATAAGTAAATATGTATTGCATAAATGGAAGACAATGGACTCCTAATTTCACAAGGTTAATGCAGAAAAAGATTTCCAAAGTGGATGGTAAGGCCCCTGTTCTAATAAAACAATCAGTGGATCAAAAAGAAATGAATTTTAGTCTCCACCCCATAAATTTTTTGTTCGGTTTCATTTACATCAGCTGTTCTGACTTAATGGTTTGAGGTAGTCAATGATGAGTTTGAGGGAGACTCAAATATCTTCTATCTATTTTTTAACATCAACTGCTCCTTGACTAAAAGGCTTCATAACAGCAGTTTTCTGGACATCCATTACATAATATTAATTCATCGATTACTTGTAATGTATTGGGACAGCTTGGACTCTTTTGGAGTTCAACAGACTTTTGATCAGTGGGCATTAAGTGACTGTCCATCATGGCACGCACATGGTGGAGAGTCACTTAATATGGGTGAGCTACTTCCACAAGACACTACATGTATGCGAGATAAAGATGCATGATGCCATACTGAGGAATGAGTACTAAATCAAAATTCACATATACTGCTACACACCATAACCTGCAGGTCCACTTGAGGGTTCCAATCACTGTCATACAAAATCACAATATCTGCCATGGCCAAGTTGATCCCCAGACCACCTGCCCTGGTGCTCAACATGAAAATAAACTTTTCACTTTCAGGCATGTTATATATGCACTGATTGCTGATTGTCTCTCCTCATGCAGTGTCTGTCCATCCAGACAGCAGTACTCAAATCCTTTCCACAGACAGTAGACAGTCTGTTGTCTACAAGATGTTGATCTGTTGTGTATGGGGGACCTTTAGGAAAATCAATCCATCAATCAGTCAACTAATTGACCCCTAACACTCTAACTTCAGTATCCAAGTTCTCCATATCAATCTCTTTACATTTCCTGCAGTACTTATGAGGAGAATTTGTTTACTTTATTCTTATTAGCTTATTGTTTGATTCAGAAGTGATACTGATGGGAGAAACTAGATACCTATCACTTTTAGGGGCTAAAGGGTTGATCAATCTATCAATCAGTTAGTCTGTTTATATAGTCAGTCAGTCTGTCGATCAATTTGTCAGTCAGCTAGACAACCAATCAGTCCATTGGCAGTCAATTGGACAGTTGGTCCATCAGTCAACCAGTTATTCAGTAGGTTTGATCTGTCTGTCAGCACAGAAATCAGTTAGTCTGCCATTCAGTCAGTCAGCCTGTGCTTGATACGACTGATAGTTACTCGGTCAGTACTTAAGTCAGTCAGTCAACTACCATTTATCATCATTAAAAGAGTCAGTTGTTAAGTCAGTCTGTAAGTCAGTTAGTAAATCTCCCAGCAAGCCAGCCACTTGTCATCAGTCAACTAGTCAGCTGGGCTTCAAGTCAGTCACTCAGTCTTTTAGATTACTAGCTGGCATCACAAAGCCTCTCAGTCTGCAAGTCAGTATATAAATGGTTCCTGCCCTTGTACCTGTGTCAACTTCCCAATCTTATCACATCAGTCAACACAGAGACCATAAGCACTTTGAATCTCACTCTTCTACATACCAGGCTCTGCTCCATCAAACAAGTAAGGGTGGTTTGTACACTTTCGTAACTGCATCAGAATGTTCAATAGTTGCATCATGTCTGATTTCCCAGCTCCATTTACCACATCAATATTCTTCATCAAGATCTTCGTGCACCTAAATAAGCAATAGTAATATCAGTGATTATTGCTATCCTCTTATAAATAATGCTCATCAAGGGCTTTCATCCTAGGTAATTTCATGACTACAATTTGGTTGAGTTAGGTAAGCAGTTTTTAATGTTACCATCTTGCAATTTGCAGTTTTTAAAGCAGATTTCAGATTTGGTGTACTATTGGCTGGTTTCCATTAAAAAGAGACCTGCAATTAATTCCTTGACCCTAAGAGTGACCAGCAACTTATTTCTCCTCACAATATCACCCCTGTGTCAAAGAAATAATCATCAACTAAAGAAGCTTTTGACAGTTAAACAAATTCTCCCTGTCAACACTTCAGGGAATGTATAGAGAACAGTATGGAGAATATGCATACTGATGATAGGATGTACATGTAAAGGGCAATTAAATCTACAATTTTATTGGGAATTATTTCAAGGAACATTGAAGGAAGCAGTATCAATGTCTTTGCATCTTTGCGAGTCTTACATAGATCTTTGTCTTCTTTGGGAGAAGTCCTGTTTCAACATCAGCCTTGAGACGACGCAATAGGAATGGTCTTAGAACCTATGATAAAAAGAAAAACATTCACAACGAGCGTTTTGACATGTTGGGAGAAAAGATAACTAGTCACCTTTTGACAACAATTTTATAATACCACTCCCTATTTAATGGAAGAGTATGCTCAAAAAGCCCAATATAAACTGAAGTCTGTTACAGAGCAGTTTTGTTAGAAACCTAACCCTTTAGCTCCCAACATCTCATTAGCTCTTCTCCTTACTGCCCCTTTACAATTCTTATGATATTAGTTTGGAGAATTTGGTATTGGATCAACCAATAATCCACTAATTGATACTTTTCTCTATTCTTGTTACTTGTCTGCTTGGAATTGTATTGATATTGTATGGAGAAATTCTGTTTTTGTCACTTATGGGATTTAAATGATTAAAAAAACCTTACAAATGAGCAGCCAAGTTGCAAACAAAATGAAAATTTTGCATATCACAGGTAAGCAGCAACATTTGAAAACAACAAGGAAATAAGGACATCCAAGGTCAAATTTTGAACACATTTGAGGACAATTTTCATACATACAATATCCAGGGACCATGTATAGTATGCATGTATAAATCCTGGACAATACTTAAAACAATATGAAATTAGGTTCACAAAACTGAAGTTGTCTCCTTGGCAGTTATATCATATCATGCAGTACTAACTAAATGAAGACTTCCCACAAGTTGGTTTTCTTCCACAAGGGAATTGGCGTTGAACCAAGCATCAAATCCTAGTAAAGAGCCCAAAACAAATTAAATGAAGTCCTTAAAACTAAAACCTTGCTAGTCAGCTAGTTACCTTTATTTATTTCAAGTACTTGTAAGCTCCTTCTAAAATTTTTCTTTGTTCTGAGCAGCATAAGTGATTAGTCTCACAAAAATAAATCATTCAAGTTCCCTAATACATTTAGTCTTATTATACAGGAGCAACTTAAATCAGGCGAGCTAAAAACATCTGGCAATAGAAAGTTCAGCAACAACCACAGCTCACAAAGATTGTTCTGCAAAGGAGTTCCTGTCAGGAGCAACCGATTTGAGGAACGGAGTTCTCGCACAATTTCTGAGAGCTGGAAACAAGATAAGAAACATAGTGTTAATTCACCAGAGCACAACCACAAAATGTTAAACCATAGAAGTAAAATGTGGCAACCATACTTGGTAGATACATACCTTAGACTTCTCATTCTTAATTCTGTGTGCCTCATCAATGATGATATACCTCCAGGCAAACTTATTAAACACCACTTTCTCTCTTATCACCATTTCATAAGATGTTATACAAGTGTACCACTCTCCAGGGAGCATGGTGTCTCAGAAAAATGCTGCCTAAAAATGTACAATAGTACACTAACTTAGCCCTTTGACCACTAAGAGTGACTAATATCTACTTTCTCCTTACAATATCACCCACTGAAATCACTAATAAAGGTGACAATAATAAAGGAAATGATCACCAACTAAAGAATCTCTTGATTGTTACACAAATTCTCATTGTCAGCATGTTAGGAAATGTATAGAAAACAGTACAAAGAATATGCATAATAATATTAAAAATTCTGAGATATTCCATACCTTGGGTGGATAAGGAAGGGGGGGGGGATGCCATACACTTCCCTGTCCTCCATCCAAACCTAGCTTGGCAAGGTCTTGATTTACTTTCCATTTTTTTTTTTTTCGAACAATATGCCACCTACTCTAAATTTGTTCCTGGAGAACACAGACATGTTTAACTCACTCTTTGCTCTTGATTGCCAATGAGACAAACAGCTCAGATAGTTGGACACCACCTTTCAAATTCAGACTTCCAGTCAGCTTATGTGGACTTTGGCAAAATAACAAGAAGAGGACTTGCCATTTCTCTGAAATGCTTCATGTACCCAAGCAAGGAAATGGTCTGCAAAGTCTTACCAAGACCCTGTTACAATAAAAAAAAATTAGTTAATGTCTTTAAAGCCTGCTGATGAATTAGCCCAAGAGCTTATTTTGCATTTTTTTGTTAGCAAGAAGAAAGGCAAAATATTATCCATCACAGATTGTCCTAACAAATTCCTCATGGGAACTCAGGACACTCAGAAAAAAAAGTGATGTTAACAATTTTCTCACAATCTCATCAGCCAAAATTCCATTGATTCCATTCTCAAACAGTGAGATAAGCCAGTTAAGATTCTTGATGTCTACCAGAAAATACAAAGCCTTTGAGTTAATTACTGCAACATTTCACAGCACAGGACTTCTAGAGACAAAACATGTTAGTAATAGCATTTTAACTCCCGTGAGTGACCAAGACAGAATTTCTCCTGACTATATCTATAAAATATCATGCAGGCAAGTGATGAGAATAAAGAAAAATATCAATAATGGAGTTACCCAATGATCCAATACCAAATTCTCCGAGCTAACATAATGAGAATCATTTGGTAGACGGTAAAGAGAATTACTAATGAGATCTTGGGAGTAAAAGAACCAGAGTGGCTCTGAAAAAACCCTTTTACTTTTATGCTTCTATTCAGTCTTTGAACTTGTTGCTGATTTACTCACACTTATGTGTGATTTTTTTTTGCTCGTGTTCTTAAACAAATACAAGCAAGTTTTTTGTTCTAGTTTAAATTGTGTTAAAGTACACCTGAACATGATATGGCAATTGCCTGAGTGCTCTTTGTAACCAAAAAAATATGTTATGTCTCCTTATCTATCAAGAGAATTTCACTCACAGTGTGGATTCTGATGAAATTGAATCTCAGATATCTGCGAGTGTTCATTTTGGCTGATCAGTTTTTCACCTTCTTCTTGCTCTATGCATCGATACCGATGACTATGACTAAAATATTAAATAATTTTCAAATTGAGATAAACTCTTCCCAAACTCTGCAGTTGAGAGGAGTTCAGTCCCTTAGAACTCATTCAAGCTAGTGTTAGCTAGAAAGTTTTCAGTTATATACCAGTTATCTTAAGATTCTTCAACTTTCAAAATTATTTACAAGCCCTGCAAATCTGTTGTGAAAAGGAGTAGCATGTTTCATATAGCCCATTTTCAATCAAATACTTACTCCCCACAGTCAGACAACTTCCTTGATCTGCTTGGAAACTGAGGTGCCTTCATTTCCAATGGACTTGTTGACTGTTTCTTTGATCTCATTGTGTTCATGAAATGAGCAGAAGATCTCTGTTGGTTTCAGCAGGTAATTGAACCTTGTGGCCTTGTCTCTTTTCTAAAAACCACAAAAAGACAATTAGAGATCCTGAATATCTAATTAATACCATAACATTGTTACCATGACTATTCTCTTTTACTTGAAGAAAGCCAAGTTGATCATTTCCTATTTCACAACTCCTCAGATAAAAGAAAATTAACAAGAAATTTTACAAACTTTTATTAATTAACTAAACTAAAGCATTTCATACCTTTCCTCAGATATTTTATTGATCTGCTTTGCATCAATTTAAACTTTTCCAAAAAATGATTGAAATAAAAAAATAAGGGAAAATTTTTTTTTTAATTGATTATGGCAACACGACAAAAGTTTCTGTTACTAATGTTATATAAGGCAAATATGCGCGTATGGAAGTTTTGATAGAAACAAAGACTTTCTTAGCTCCTTGGCCTGTCAAAGCTTTTTTTAGCTGCGTAAATTTCAGGTCTTGTGGATTATAGTCTCAATCAAAATTAACCATTCTTACCTGGATAAGATCGAAAAAACTTAAGCACTTAAATCAATAGAAGTGTACTGGATACATCCAGCTGAAATGCACCTGGCTTAGTTTGCATGCACGAAAGAATTGGCGTGACTTGAGAGCATTTACTCGTGAAATCAGCTAACTCTAAGCTCAATTCCTGTAAATTTGCCCCTAAAATTAGCCATTCAGTAACTTTTACCTCCTCTGGTGTTGTACTTTCGCTGCTGGACGATTCTCCTTCGTCGTAATTTCGCTGCTGGACGATTCTCCTTCGTCGTAATGAGGCATGTTTCCAATGGAAGAGAAAAAAATTACTTTCAATTCGAATAGCTGAAAAGCTGGGAAGATGATTTCTGGCGGCAGACGAGAGAGGCTATTGATTAGCACCTCGAACTGCACTGCGACAATTCCTACCGGCTGGGGGTACGCCCGAGGAGCACTAGTAACGAGTTTCCCAGTCGGGTGATTATCAGATTATTATCAATTTGACGGACTATTCCAGTGACACTATTTGCGATTTATCAACAGTCAAGCGACGTGATTGAACCAGACATGAACATTATAACATGCTTTACATGTGAAGAATACATAATTGAGTTTAAATCAAGTAAAATTCGCTAAATTTTGTATGGCTGTTTTCTTCACCTTCGTCGATCTTAAGTTTCTTGTTCAGCAGAGTTTTAGCTTAACACTGTAGCCGCTAAGACCTACGCTTGCAAAGGTAAGTATTATTTAGGATTTTTAATAACCACTGACTGTAAACAAAGGGAATCCATTTACAATTGCAACATTTTGTCATTCACTTTATTTTCCCAAAGGACCCATTTGATGAAGCTTGTTATAAAATGAAAAAAGTCAAACTAAGCTTAGACAGCCATTCCCTCTCCCAAAATAATGTATTACCAACTGTTGAACTGCTCCTATGCAAGTGGTCATGGCCAATCTTTCAGCTTCACCAGGAACTCTTTTCAATCTGGATGCACTGCTTTTGTTGGGTCAAGAAAGAAAATTTAAGGAATACAAATTCAAGGATAAAGCCTTAAGATGATGTATATTGTGATTTGTTAGTAATTATATATATCAGACATTATATATATCAGACCTTGTTATAGGCCCTTTTCCTAGGGTCCCATAGAAAAATAGAATGAAAGACAAAATTTTTGCAACTGTGGATGAATTCTTGATATTTAGGGTCAGTAGCTCTTGATCACCTTTTTTATTTAATAAATTGGGTTACTTGTCCCCTTTTGATTTGTTTGGTCATTTTTGTAAGTTCTTAGAGGTTACCAAATCTAACTTAATTATTACAGATTCTAGAGGACACAAAATCTCTCATCAAGCATTCCTGCCAAGAGATGATTGACAATGCCAACAATGAAGAATGTAAATTATTTCTAAAATATCTTGGAGATGATGAAGTGTTAGACACTGAAAACAAACTGGCTTCTGTATGTTATTACTTGATTTGATTATTATTGTCATTAATATTATTATTGTTTTGAGGTTGTATCTTTCAAACAGATAATGTTGCATTTGCTGTATACTTAAAGGCACTACAGTGTTTCACTCTCTATGAAGGTAAAATGTTACCCTCTTTTTTAACTGCTTTTTGTCAAATTTTTTAACATAAGTTTTTTTCTACTATTTTCATATTTAATACCTCTTCTGAGTGATATTCTTTCAGTTACCTTTGGTTTGCAGTCAGTTAATGATATAATAATGGCAGACCTAGTGTCCAGCAACACATTATTAACATCCACTACATGTCAGTGTCCTTACCCCTTCACATTGTACTTTCTTGAAAAATAAACAGTCTTTAGATTGTTTGTAATAGAGACCCTAAGCAAACCACCATGGCAACAGCAACAAAAGCATGACTGGACAAAAGATTCAGTGAGCACACAAATAGCTCAGTATGTACATTTTAAAATTTTATTTATTTTTCTATCTATTCTCTCAAACAAACAATATAAATCACCAAAATTTGCATGGGCTAAGAACAAAACCTCTGATGGCAAATTATTTACCTCTCATTGTTTAGAACTTGATCCTGCTCTCTTTTGTTATGACAAAGATGATGTCTTGCTCTGTTAGAGAGGGTAATCACATCCACCATCCATTTAGTGGACATTTTTGTCAGCTTGCCATCCTGATTTCTGAAGATCCCTAAAGATTTCTGTGATTTCACTCTCCACTTAGCTGGCTTTTTATCTAATCAACATTAGTTGAAGACTGAAGAACACACTCTTTTAAATTAAATTTTTTAAAAAACCCTTTTCTATTTTGTTTTTATTTGTGGGAATTTAAGAAGCAGGTTTTACATTAGTTTTGAAAGACCAAATTTATATTTCACACTCAGGCAACCCACAATTTATACTCTCTTAGTAGGGAAGGAAATTTGTGAAGCACCTCTGATATTAAATTTTTCTTTCTGTGAAGTCCTCACCACAAATTAATGTGTATTTTTTAGAAGGAAAAAATCCACTCTGAAATATATTTCCGATTAATTTTTCTTTCCAATTATCAAGTTTTCTTACTGTTACAACAATCTTCATGTAAAGCCAGATTAATTTCTTCTACCTGGGAGGGACGTTGATGTTTTTAACTAGTTTGTGATACAGACTTCTTTTGTTGTGTCTGTGAAAGGTTGCTTCTCTTATCCTTTTGGTACTATTTTCGTGGCTGGTTTCACAAATCTGGGATTCTTTGTAAATATTTTAACAAATTTGAAGTTTATTTTATTGAAAAATACTTTTTGATAATTTCTAAATTAGAAACATATTTTGCTTTTTGAGTCTACAGCATTTCAATTGATAGTATGGTTACAGCATCAAAAGCAGAAATGAAGAACTTAATTAGTAAAGAAGGTTTTTGAAACTAGCTTTTATGAGGTGCTAAACAGAGCAACAAGATTTAGATCGCACTTCCTTGCAAGAATTGTTAGTTTTCACCCCATTGTCTCTCTTCATGTTATTAGCTAGAAGTTGTTCAGATTGTGTTTAATTAGTTTTTTCCATCCCTAAGATGACAATATAAATTCTCTGCACTGTTTGCTATACATTTCTAGGAATTTTAGCTTTCAGAATTTGGTGTTAGATCAAGCAAATACCCACAGATGTTAACTATTATTTTTCTGATCACCTTTCTGCTTAATAATGCATTGTATTGTAAGTAGAAACAATTTATTGAACACCTCTGGGAGTGAAAGGGTTTTTATTATGGAGGGGGGGGGAGGTTAACCTAAATATATAATTTCTTGTTTTTATGTAGACGCAGTCATTATGTTGCTGTAACATACATTGAAATGAGATTAAAAGATTAGTTTGATTAAAATGCTTGGATGCACAGGAATTGTAATTACTTGGTTTTTTAGACCAGGATTGTACAAATTTTTTAATTCTTCCTTATTAAGTGTTAAGAAATGATATAAAGACCTGAAAATATTACAGGAAATAAAAGGAAAAATAAAATGGGGGAGAAGAAGTCTCTACTATTATTCATAAGCTGCAACAAGTGGTTAATTCCAGGTGGAAATCTTTACGATCTTTTGCTTCTTGTTGTTCTTTTTACTTAAATAATTCCTCTCTGTTTCCTGATCTTATTTCTTTTGTTTAATTAGTAGTTTATTTTGACCCTTAAGGTCTTCTGATATCATAAACACAAGATCAATTACATTTTCATTAAATGTTTCACCAGACTAAGTTTGGCCAAAATTTTAAATAGGAGGATAAAAAATTTTTCACATTCATTTCATGTCTATGACAGTTTACACTTTGTAAGATATTTCATCATTGGTTTTAGGTGTGGAGTGGAATTCTGTTTTTTATAATTGGAAGGAGAAAATTAATAATATGGAATATGAGGAGGGTTTTAAGAGGAGTGCTGCATACCTTCCCTTACAATTTTTTGACTATACCCTCATCCCCTGTTCAGGGTTAGAGGATTAGAGCTTCTCTACTGGACTTGAGGCATTTTTCTTAGGTAAATTTACTATATTTTTGTCCAATATTGATAAGGCTACATTTCCCCTTTTCTCATGGTTTTTCACTTTGGTTTGATTATTTTAAAAACAAAATGTCGCCATTCTTTAACAAAACTGCAACCAAAAAACACCCAATTTAGCAAGATGTTTTATCTGAACATTAAATTATTGTGAACAGGGTAAAGAGGGTGGATAGCTAACTGTGGAATGACAGTTACTTCATTTCATAAACCCTCTTCTAGAGAAAGCCTGAAGCCCACTGATTGGGTGAAACCATGGTTTGGGTTACACTGTGTAAATGGCCCTTTGAGTCTAACCATTGGGGCTCAACGCATCACAACGAATAAATATCTGTTTACAACATTTATTCTACACTGATAAATGTGGTGGTTCTGAATCTATTAACAAGCACTGGTAAGTTAAATTGTCAACTATACGTTGAAGCCTAATGCCTCATCTTCAAATTCTGCTGTGCAACTTATCGACATTTTCATTCTAAAATGCTAGTAACAGTCCCAAAATGGCACATTTGTTAAAAAAAATACACTAATATCTACAAAAAAAAATGAAGAAACACCAAAAGATTTCTAAAAATCAGTATGATAAAAAATCTCGCACCACTAACCTACAATAAAAGCTTTTGACTAAGGCACGACGATTTGAGTTATAATTATTTTTTGCGGTACCACTCGAACCGGATTGTTGCGATCGAAAAAAAAGAAAAAACAGCCAAAAAGAAAAAAACAGGTGTTCTACCAAGCAATTTCTACTGCATTTACTCATCTGATCGCCTTACAATCTCCAAACATATCTAAACAGGTGATCAAAACGTGAAGAAAGATGGAGAGAATTTACAATCGAAACTGACCAATCATAAAATGACAAAGTTTCCTGAGAGGTCCGAGGTTTGTTTGTTTTCGCTGCAGGAAGCTTTGTGTTTTTACTTAAATGTAATTGGTTCGTTTATAAAAAAGTTTGACATCATTTGTTCTCAATAACCATGTTCATTGGTTCATTTTTCTTCATTTCGATCCGGTTCAAATAATCTCACTGCTCTGAGCACTTTATAGATTTGTTTTACATTCATTCACGGGCCAAGTCAATGGGTTGAAATTATCGCTGAGCTGGTTACCTCACTGCTATTTTGAATAGTAAGTGGTTCAAATAATTCCTTTTTAGTGTTTAATTGGAATTGCTGAGGCCTAAAGAATTAGCTTACACTGAGACTGACTATTGCTTAGTAAATTACATGCCTTGTGTGAGATGTTATTGTATGAGAGGTTTAACGTGCGTAGCTGACAGTTGTTGTTGTTGATGGCTTTAGCCAAGTGCTGTGCTCCAATGTCTGAGATACTATTGCCTCTGAGGTTTAACGTGTGTAGCTGACAGTTGTTGTTGTTGA